TGTTCCTGATTTACAGCATCCACAGTTCTTTTGGTTTTTAGAATCTCAGTTATACCTGATTGAACATGTTGAAATGTTTTGTTGAGTTTCAAACAGTGCTGTGAGAGTGAAGAAAGGGAAGTTGGTTCCACATTAGGTAATTACAATGATCACTGGCTGTGATGACACAGTCCATAACACAGCCTCTAGCAGAGTAGTGAATGACAGAAAGCAACTTTGGAATTTCTCCATTTACCCAGACTTGTGTGAAATCCTGAAGATATGGTCAGTTTCAAAAGAGTAGTGAAACCTGCAGCTATTCATCATCAGAAACCGATGCTAAATTCAGGTCAATTTACAACATCATATCATGCCACTTTGTGAAAAGGAGAGGGAAGAAGAGCAGAAGTGCTACTTAAGGAAGAGTTGTTGCTAAAAACACAGAGGAGAACTGAGGAACACAGAGTTAAGCATTCAGATTAGCTTCCAAGTAAAATTTAGTGGGAAAATTAGTTAGTTTATTTAATAAGCTAGAAAAATTAATGTTTGGAAACAATGGACAATGTATTTATCGACATTACTGGCACAGTGTTTTTGGTTGGGGGGGAACATATTACTGTTTTCTCCCTTCACTACAAGCACATTTACTCTGCTTTCAATTATTTACCATAGGCTAGAGATGGCCTTAATGCTGTGCCATCTTCACTTCAAGAGGAAATGGATTGCAGTTTGATTCTGACACCCCAGCAAATTCATCAAATATCCATTGGTAAGATAAATGTTTATAATTGATCCAGATAAATGATTTTTTTCATGTGATGTAGACATAACTACCAAGGCCAGGGTTTGTTGCCCATCTCTAATTGCACTTGAATTGAGTGGCTTGTTAGGCCATTTCAGAAGGCAGTTAAAAATCAACTACATTGCTATGGGTCAGTTCCATGCAGGCTAGAACAGGATAATAAGGAAGGTAGATTTCCCTCCCTAAATGGTTTTGTCACTACTATGAAGATTAACTTTATATTCCAGGTTCAGTTGTCAAATTTAAATTCCAGCAGCTGCTATGGCAAGATTTGAAACCATGTCACCAAAGCAATGGCCTGAGCTGATGAATTACTACTTCAGTAACATTACCACTGCACCACCATTTCCTTGTTTGTTTCTGAATAGTCAGTTTGTTAAGGTCATTATTTTCCGGTCAGAAGGTTGCGTCTGAAGGACTGTTTATTGAAATGTAGGTATTTGTCGCATATCTTTTACCAACCATTTATGTTAGTAGTTAAATATTAAATGTTCATCTGATGTTTAGATCTGAAGTGTTCCCTTTTGAAAGTGGCAACTTGGACAATGGGTCTGAATATGTCAAGGAAATTAGTTTGGATCAATGGAGTGTGGTGCTTAATGGGTGATGATCCTGTCAGTCAGTTGATGTAGTCCTCGGGGTTTGCCTCTTCCACTTGCCCCATTGTGAGATCATCCAAAGAATGCCAAAGGTAGTGATGTGTGGAGAGCAATGATTAGAAAACTTCAGAGATGAAGAGAGTGTATGTTGATAATAATTTATCTTCAAATCAATATATAGAGGGAATATTTGCTTTTTCCATATAAATGTTTAACATCTAAATTTTAAGCCAGTAATAAAAAGAATGGGCTTTTGGTTATCTTGTTACTAGGGGTCTTATTGTGCATGCCTGCTACAGACTTTCATCTTTCCCATCCTAATATGTCCCTCACTAACATAGAATCCCTACAGTGTGGAAACAGGCCCTTTGGCCCAACAAGTACACACTAACCCTCAGAGAATCCCACCCAGACCCATCTCCCCTAATCACTATGGACAATTTAGCATGGCCAATCCACCTAGCCTGCACATCTTTGAACTGTGGGAGGAAACCCATGCAGACACGGGGAGAATGTGCAAACTCCACACAGTTACCAAGGGTGGAATTGAACCCGGGCCCCTGGTGCTTTGAGGCAGCAGTGCTAACCACTGAGCCACCATGCCTCCCCTCTTCTTTCTGGAGTTTGTTTCTGTTGCTCCAGGCTATTCTGCAATAAGTTTCACTGTGGCCTTGATCGTTCCCTGTCTGGTTGGTCCTTGCATATTTACTCTGCAACATGCTGTCCTCTAAGACTGAATCCCCTGACCCAGTTGATAACCACAAGTGCTTCTCTGAGCTTGGTGCAAACCCAGTCTTGTTACTTCTCTATTTGTTGGCAGCTCTTGGAGGTGGAATATCATCCCTTAAGGAGATAGGAGAATGATAACAGTTTTCTGATTGCTCCCTGAAATGGCCAAGTTGGGATTGCCTGGGTTTTTAAATCAGCTGCCGGGTCACCCTTGAGTCCTGATGAAGGGGCAAATATGAACTTCATTTCTCTTCCATTGATGCTGCTAGGTCTGCCAACAGTGTTTTCTGTTCTTAGTTCAGGTTTCCAGCATCTGTAGCATGTTGCTTTTGAATCTCAGAATATTGACACTTCCATAGTTTAATTAAACAATTACACACAGTTTCTGGCCATAGCTTTAATCAGTGATCTTCATTTTCTTAATTTCTAAGTAAATCCAATCTAATTCTAAAATCTGAAAAGAGTTTCTCCTACACATTGGTCTTCTCATTGAGATGCTTTTGTTGCTTTCGGATGTGGATACCTGGGTGTACTTAAAACCTTATCTCAAATTATTTATAAGATCATGTGGAAATTCAATCCTTACACTTTTTTTTAAATAGGACTCACTTCTAAGCTATTTTATCCCTCTATAATTTTAGAAATGCATTGACTAATCTTCCCTTGTTTATATATTCTCTTCTATGCTTACTGGAAAGGGTCTGAGATCAAAAACTGAACCAGCCCTTTCTGAGATCTTACACAATTAGCAATTCTTAATGCATGATCTTAGATAGTGAGTTAAACCAGAATCAAAAACACTATTTTAGAAAGTGATGGAACTTAATAATTCACTAAGTATAGTTGGAGAAGAAATATTTGAGTTTTTAAGTTTGTTTTTACTCTGTTCCCTTGCAAATTATTCCCTTTAACAAACAAAAGTAAAGCCTAGTTTTAAAAATTGTCATATTTAAATCTTAATTATAAACAACTTTAATTGGGGTAAGCTTTAACAGTAATTTTGGTGACAAATTAATTCATGAGATTAAACATATCAAATATAAGCAACAATATTATCATTGTTATTGTAACATCACTCCACTATGAACTGTATACCATTTTCTTTTGTCTAAGTAGGAAGAATCCAGCACTCACTCCCTCAAGTTTTGATCTTGGAAAATGTATTTAATGATCAAAGAAATGCAATCCTTTGTCCCTTGCGTGATTGCTTTTCATCCATGACACAGACAATTTGTTTGTTGCAATTATTTTGAATTGTGTTTTTGTTTTAACTTCAGGCCCAACTACAATTGACTTTGGAACCGTTTGTGTATATTCAACATCAAAGCAGATTTTAAATATTGTGAACAACTTACCCACTCACATTCTAATTGAAGTGACAACTGACTATCCAGAACTCCGAGAGTCCAGCCCATTAGCTCAGGTGGTACCACCCTTGTCTGCAGCTTGCCTACCAATAATATTTGAATCTACATCAGAGGGAGTGTTTCAAAAGTAAGTTTCAAAGAATAATTGCTTTGTTTTTCAATAGAAAAGCAAACTGTGGGTGAATATAAATAAATATAAGTTGGTTTTGGTTACTTGAATATGAACGTGGTAACAAAGCAGGAAAAATAGCCTTTTTTGTCTCTCATATGTCAATCTAATATTCATTTCTATTCAAGTCCATTTAAACAAATGTGAGATGGGTAACCAATACAATACTGTGCCATTTGTGTCCTTGCCCATTGTCAATTTCATTACTACACTGCCTAGTATGTTTTGATGTTGTAGCAAGTTAAGCGTGAGTTATTGTTCTTACCTTCTGAGATCTTAGGCCACTGAGATGTCTTGCATTGGGGACCTTACTGAAAGATTTTGCCTGCATGTTTCCACTTATTTTGCTGAAGGGTCTTGGAAAAATAATGAATATTTTCAAAGGCATAAATTAAAGTTGGTCTCAATTTCCAGATTAGAATTCTTGGAGGAGTTAACAAGTAGGATAGATAGAGGGGTGGCAATAGGTCTAATATGTTTGGATTTTCAGAAAGCATTTGGTGAGGTACCACACATTAGTTACTTAACAAGATAAGAACCCATGGTATTGGGATTAGTATCATAGAGTCCTACAGTGTGAAAACAGGCCCTTTGGCCCAACAAGTCCACACTGACCCTCAGAGCATTCCACCCAGACCCATTTCCTTATAACCCACCTAAGCTACACATCCCTGAACACTACAGGCAATTTAGCATGGCCAATCCACCTAGCCTACACATCTTTGGACAGTGGGAGGAAACTGGAGAACCCTGAGGAAACCCATGCAGATACAGGGAGAATGTGCAAACGTCACACACACAGTTGTCCAAGAGTGGAATTGAACCCAAGACCCTAGTGCTGTGAGGCAGTAGTGCTAACCACTGAGCCACCATGCAGCTGAGATAAAGCATGGGCACCACTGGGATATTAGCATGGATAGAGGATTGGCTTGCAAGTAGAAGACAGAGTGTTAGGATAAGGCTGGATGTTTTCAGGCTAACAAATTGTAACTAGTGGTGTGCCACTGGAATCAGTACTACAACCATAATTATTTCCATATATATTCATGGCTTGGATAAGGAAAGTGAATGCACTTCAGCTAAGTTTGTGGATGACATACAGATAGGTGGGAATGCAAGTGGTGAAGATAACTTGAAGTGTCTGAAGAGGATACAGACAGGTTAAACAGGGAAAATAGAAGAGCAGAATATTATTTAAATAGAGAGCAGTGCAGAAACCGAGGGAGTCCCCGTGAACAAGTTACAAAAAGCTAGCATCCAAGTTTATCAGGTAAGAGGGAAGGCAAATGGATCATTGGCCTTTATTTCAAAGGGAATAGAGTATAAAAATAGGGAGATCTTGTGAAAACTACACACGGCACTTATCAGACCACAGCTAGCATACTGTGAAACGTTTTGGACCTCTTAGCTAAGGAAAGATATGCTGGCATTGGAGGCAATCCAGAGAAGGATCATTAGGCTGATACCAGGTATGTAGGGACTGCAATATGAGGAGAGATTGAGTAGATTGGGCTGTACACATTCAGAAGACTGAGACTTATTGAAACATGCAAGATTCTTAGAGAACTCGATAGGTAAGATGGTGGCTCAGTGGTTAGCACTACTGCTTCACAGCACTAGGGACCTAAGTTCAATCCCACCCTTGGGTTTCTGTCTGTGTAGTGTAGTTTCTGCCAGGAGTGTGCAGGTTGGGTGGATTGGCCATTGGAAATGCAGTGTTACAGAGGAAAAGGGTGGGGGGTGGGATGCTCTTCGGAGGGGTGATGCAGACTTGTTGGGCCAATTGGCCTGTTTCCACACTGTAGGGATTCTATGTGGAAAGATTGTTCCCTGTTGTGGGAGACTCTAGGAGCAGAGGGCAAAATAAGGGTTGCACAGTCTGATTCCTGGAATCAGAGATTCCACCTCTGCACTTACTTCTTTAACCGTGAGCCTAACCCTCCCTCTACTGACCCCTTCTCCTGCCTTCAACACACCCCCTCCTCCTGGACACCACCCCAAGGCCTCCTACCCTCCCTCGACCTCTTCATCTCCAACTGCCGCTGAGACATCAATCGCCTCAACTTCTCCACCCTTCTCACCCACTCCAACCTCTCCCCCGCAGAACGTGCAGCGCTCCGCTCCAATTCCAACCTCACCATAAAACCCGCGGACAAGAGAGGCGTAGTTGTAGTATGGCGCACTGACCTCTATATTGCCGAGGCCAGGCGCCAACTCTCCTACACCTCCTCCTACCACCCCCTTGATCATGACCCCACCCCTGACCACCAAACGTTCCACAACCTCATCACCTCAGGTGACCTCCCACCCACAGCCTCCAACCTCATTGTTCCCCAACCCCGCACCGCCCGCTTCTATCTCCTTCCCAAAATCCACAAACCTGACTGCCCTGGTCGACCCATTGTCTCCGCATGCTCCTGCCCCACTGAACTTATCCCCACCTATCTTGACTCCATTTTCTCCCCCTTGGTCCAGGAACTCCCTACCTACATCCGTGACACCACTCACACCCTCCACCTCCTCCAGAACTTCCTATTCCCCGGTCCCCAACACCTCATCTTTACCATGGATGTCCAGTCCCTATACACCTGCGTTCCCCATACAGATGGCCTAAAAGCCCTCCGCTTCTTCCTGTCCTGCAGGCCCGACCAGTCCCCCTCCACTGACCCCCTCATCCGATTAGCCGAACTCATCCTCACCCTCAACAACTTCTCTTTCAATTCCTCCCACTTCCTACAGACAAAGGGGGTGGCCATGGGTACCCGCATGGGCCCAAGCTATGCCTGCCTCTTTGTAGGTCATGTGGAACAATCCCTCTTCTGTAGCTACACTGGCCCTAAACCCCACCTCTTCCTCCGTTACATTGATGACTGTATCGGCGCCGCCTCGTGCTCCCATGAGGAGCTCGAACAGTTCATCCACTTCACCAACACCTTCCACCCCAACCTTAAGTTCACCTGGACCATCTCTAATACCTCTCTCTCCTTCCTGGACCTCTCTGTTTCCATCTCTGGCAACCACCTAGAAACCGATATCCATTTCAAGCCCACCTAGAATACACCTCCTCCCACCCACCTTCCTGCAAAAATGCCATTGCCTTTTCCCAATTCCTTCACCTCCGCCGCATCTGCTCCCAGGATGAGGCATTCCACTCCCATACATCTCAGATATCCTTGTTTTTCAAGGACTGCAACTTCCCCCCCCTCAGTGGTCGAGAACACCCTCGACCGTGTCTCCCGCATTTCCAGCAACTCATCCCTCACACCCCCTCCCCGCAATAACAACCAAAACAGAATCCCCCTCGTCCTCACATACCACCCCACCAACCTCCGGATCCAACGCATCATCCTCCGACACTTCCGCCATCTGCAATCCAACCCCACCACCAAAGACATTTTTCCCTCCCCACCCTTATCTGCTTTCCGGTGGGACCACTCTCTCCGTGACTCCCTTGTCCGCTCCACACTCCCCTCCAGCCCTACCACACCTGGCACTTTTACCTGCAACCGCAGGAAGTGCTACACCTGCCCCTACCACCTCCCCCCTCAGCCCCATCCCAGGCCCCAAGAAGACTTTCCACATCAAGCAGATGTTCACTTGCACATCTGCTAATGTGGTATACTGCATCCGCTGTTCGCGTTGTGGCCTCCTCTACATCGGGGAAACCAAGCGGAGGCTTGGGGACCGCTTTGCAGAACACCTACGCTCGGTTCGCACTAAACAACTGCACCTCCCAGTTGCGAACCATTTCAGCTCCCCCTCCCATTCCTCAGACGACATGTCCATCCTGGGCCTCCTGCAGTGCCACAACGGTGCCACCCGAAGGTTGCAGGAACAGCAACTCATATTCCGCTTGGGAACCCTGCAGCCCAACGGTATCAATGTGGACTTCACAAGCTTTAAAATCTCCCCTCCCCCTACCGCATCCCAAAACCAGCCCAGCTTGTCCCCGCCTCCCTAACCTGTCCTTCCTACCACTTATCCCCTCCTCCCACCTCAAGCCCCACCCCCATCTCCTACCTACTAACCTCATCCCGCCCCCTTGACCTGTCCATCCTCCCTGGACTGACCTATCTCCTCCCTAACTCCCCACCTACACTCACCTTTACTGGCTCCATCCCCGCTTCGTTGACCTGTCTGTCTCCTCTCCACCTATCTTCTCCTCTATCCATCTTCTTTCTGCCTCCCCCTCTCTCCCTATTTATTTCAGAACCCCCTTCCCCTCCCCCATTTCTGAAGTAGGGTCTAGGCCAGAAACATCAGCCTTCCTGCTCCTCTGATGCTGCTTGGCCTGCTGTGTTCATTCAGCTCTACACCTTGTTATCTCTGATTCCTGGAATGGCAGGTTTGTTGTATCAGGAGAGATTGTGTTGTCTGGGCCTATATTTACTGGAGTTTAGAAGAATGAGACGGGATCTCCTTGAAACATGTAAAATTCTTGTCTGGACAGACTGGATGTAGGGATGATGTTTTCCAGTCCTGGGGAGGTGGATCAAAACAAGGGGTCACAGTTTCAGGATACGCAGTATGCCATTTGGGACTGCATTGAGGAGGAATTTCTTCATTCGGAATTTGGAGAGCTGGTGGAATTCTCCTTCTCTTTGGGTGGAATGTTGGGTCAATGGTTGCACTACTGCTTCACAGTGCCAGGAACCCAGGCTCAATTCTAGCCTCGGGTGACTGTCAACGTGGAATTTGCATGTTCTCCCTGTATCAGCATGCGTTTCCCTTGCGTGCTCTGGTTTCTTCCCGCAGCTCAAAGAAGTGCAGGTCAGGTAGATTAGCCATGGCGAATGCAGGGTTACAGGGACAGCGTGCGGGAAGGGATGAGTCTGGGTGGGATGCTCTTCAGAGAGTCAATGTGGACTTGTTGGGCTAAATGGCCTGTTCCCACACTGTAGGGATTCTTTTGAAGGCAATGGAGGCCAAGTCACTGAATATATTAAAGAAAGAAATAGATTTCTACAAGCTAAATGTGTCAAATGTAAATGTGCCGAACTCACCTTATTAACGACCTAAATAAAAACCAAAAAAACTGCGGATGCTGTAAATCAGGAACAAAAACGGAATTTGCTGGAAAAACTCAGCAGGTCTGGCAGCATCTGTGAAGAAAAAGATCAGAGTTAACGTTTTGTGCCTGGTGAATTCTGATGAAGGGTCACCGGACACGAAACGTTAACTCTGATCTTTTTCTTCACAGATGCTGCCAGACCTGCTGATCTTTTCCAGCAACTTCCATTTTTGTTCCTTATTAACTACCTGCCCTGCTCCAATGGCATCAGGCATGTCTGACTTTAGCCTTATCTTATTAAGCATCATTCCTGAAACAACTCGCTACTGCTGAGATGTTTCAGAATTCCCCAGGAACCCGTGCAACTGTTTCATCCTTATAGCTTGTTGTGCACTTGGACAAGCAAGCACTGTCAGTCAGAGCTGTCTTGTACTGTTCCTGACCTTCATCCCAGACACGACAGACAGGTGGAAACTGGTACCCTGCTTTGCAGGCAGGACTGCTGGATGGGGTAGGGCAGAGGCAGGACTGCTGGATGGGGTGGTGCAGAGGCAGGGCTCCCTCTTTCCCCAGGAACAGCAGTGGAGGCAGCAACACCAGACCATGACAGCCTAATCTGAGATTGCCACACATGTTACAGAAGTCTCAGCCATGTGGATTAATGCCCAACAATGTAGGAAGTAGGTCATTCTTACAATACCTCACACTCACTCTATCTCTGCTACTGTACCTGCCTCCCACCAAGATTCATGGCTCGATCAGGCTCACTATTGTTTGCAACACCTTAACTTACTCACTCTCACCCACCTCAAGCCCTAATGTCACAAACCCCGCATGTCCTCTGCACTCACTCAGGATACCTTGCTGCCTGGACAAATGTAATGGCTGTGCCACTCAAATTCACATCCCTTGATATTTTCCTCACTCTCAATCGAGGAGAAATACAACCTTCAATAAGGCAAAGCTTGTGGGCTGATTGACATTTGGCTCCTTACTCCTTACAAGGAGAGCACGCTGACTCAGAACATTTCAAGTGGCTTACTTATCATGCCCAGGCCCTTGGGCTGGTATCAGAGACTACCCTTGACTTCTGTCACTGGGATTCCCTGACTCAAGGCTAACCTTCTAGACTTGGCAGTAGCCTGCTGACAGCCATGACAAGCTTCCTGCCCTTCGGTCTGCGCTCAACAGCACAATAAGACAGCAACAATGTGATAAAACAAAAAAAACTGCGTATGCTGAAAATCTGAAACAAAAACAAAAATTTCTGGAGAGACTCTGGCAGCATTTGTGGAGAGAAGCGGGTTTACCGTTTTGAGTCCCCTCATGGGTTCTGAAGAAGGGTCACTGAACGTGAAACATTAACTCTGCTTTTTCTCCAGAAATACTGTCAGATGTACTGAGTTTCTCCAGCAATTTCTGTTCTTGTTTCAGTAGTAGCATGGGCCTAGTATCTCTGACTGAGTGGCAAAGTTCACAAAGGCACATCAATGCAAAGCAGGAATGTTGTGAGCATCCAGGTACGCTCAGGGTGAGTGAGTGCTGTGATGGCAGGTGAAGAGTCTGGACCTACAGCCTGGTCCAGTCTATGAGCTGAGTCCATGTCCCTGAGCACACAGTATTCTTGCAGCAGCATTACAATAATAGTTGTTGGTGCAATACAGAAGTGCAGAAGTGTCCTCTAAGTGGATCAGAGTTAGTGGATCGATTGTGTTTAGCTGTTTGCTGTGTTTGATAACGTAGGAAATTGCATATTAATGAAGTGAGTTGGGCAGTTAACAAGACATTTAACAAGCTAATCTCCATTAATTGGCAACTTCCCACTGCCCAGGAAGAAACTCACCATGCCATTTATTGAAAGCATAACAGATGGTGAGAAATATTCTTGACATTGAGATGGGCCTCACTGGTCTTGCCATCTAATTCTGTCACAAATCTCCGAATAGACCCTTACTTAGATCCAATGAGATTGTGCCTTATTTCTTGATGAAGGCATGACAGCTAAACCTGATCATGTCCTTACCTAACTGTGCAATCTCACAGTTCCAGCAGAGATTACTGGATAAGAATCAGGAGCATGAACTCTTTCATCGATTAATGCTGATTTTAGTTTTGACACCACAATTGCTGCCTGGGTAAAAGCACGGCTAATTCACAGAAACGTGAAAGGAGAGGCTGAACACAGGAATGTCATGATTTATATGGCTCAAGTCCACACTGACAGTGTGCTATAAGCTAATGACCGCGTTTCTACAGGAAGTTTCTGAATTGAATATGACAACAACTTGTAATTTGACACAGTCACTTGAGTATCAAGAGTAACTTGTAAGACTGTTGCTGAGGTATTAGAACAGGCAGTGAAGTTGGATGAATTGAGGCAACTGTTCTTTAAAATATTAACTTGTAATGTTCAGTCAACAATGACAGCTACGATCTATAAAGTTGGCATTTGACAGGCTTATTAGCCTTAGTGAAGTGACATCTTGGACTCCTAAATGTAGTTTGAGAATCTGAATGCTGCCTTGAAATGGGCACAATTTGAAGTTGTTTTAAATTGTGGATGTTACAATTGGTAAGTTTCATTTATTTGCATGATAATTGTGGATCCTTCTCACATACTGTTCTCCCTTTCCCAAGAAGTATTTGCTGTGCTTTAATTTCTATCACATATTTGGCAACGCAATAAAGGATGGATCTGTCTTCAGATTAGAAAAGCAGTCTTAATGCTGGTCAGGAATCTTTGTAGGAACTGTGCAAGAGACTGAGAGGAGCTCGTATGTTTCTAGAATTTTAAACGGAACTGTCTGTTAGCAGTGAAGGTATTGTGTCAATAATGTTTGTTTCTTCAGCTGTTATTGCCAAAATATTCGCTTTTTTTTATGATGTAGGTCAATAGACTACAAGATAAACAACCATCATATCGGTCGTGTATTAATACTGGCAAACGTGGTTTGTGTTGCTCTTGAGCTGTCAAGCAACGAACTGGTGCTGACCCCAAACTATGGGTTCCTAGCAGAAACGGGCTTCAGAACAACCGTGCGGCTTTACAACAGGCGAAACTACCCTGCACAATTTAGCTGGAGTCCAATTCTCTCAGAAGATGGAATCGCATTTTTTATCCGCCCTGATGGAGGTATCTCGTGTAAAAATTAATTTAGCTGGGGAGGAAGGAACATAAAGAGAGTTAATTAATCAGGTCACTCTTTCCTACTTAAAAATATCATAAGTAACACAATCACCATCAAAGACAGCACCATCAGAGACACCATCATCAGAGACTTTACCATCAAAGATACCATCATCAGAGACACCACCTTCAGAAACATCAGCATCAGAAACATCATCATCAGAGACATTACCATCTGAGACAATACTATCAGAAACACCACCATCAGAGACAAACCATCAGAAATATCGCAATTAGAGACACCACCATCAGAGACATTATCATCAGAAATACCACCATCAGAAACACCATCATCAGAGACATTACCATCAGAAACATGACCATCAAAGTCATTACCATCAGAGACACTGCCATCAGAGACACTTTTGATAACACTGGAAGATACAGCTGTCTCCTCCTGAAGAAAATTCTTCTCTGAGAATGGTGAATCTGTAGAATTCTTTCCCGCATAAGTGTGCTGAGGTGTTGACCTTATAGACGTTTATAAAATCATGAGGGGCGTGGATAGGGTAAAGAGACAAGGTCTTTTCCCTGGGGGTTGTGCAAAACTAGAGGGCATAGGTTTAAGGTGAGAGGGAAAGATTTAGAAAGAACCTAAGGGGCAACTTTTTCATGCAGAAGATGTTGCGTGTGTGGAATATACAGCCAGAGGAAGCGGGGGAGGCTAGTACAATTACAACATTTAAAAGTAATTTGGATGAGTATATGAATAAGAAGGGTTTAGTGGGATATGGGTCAAATGCTGGAAAATGATACTAAATTAATTTAGCATACCTGGTCGGCATGGATGAGTTGGATTGAAGAATCTATTTCCATGCTGTACATCTCTATGACTCTATGACATAAGGCTATAATGGCTGTGTCATGAAGTATATTCAAAGCTGAGATGGACAGACTTTTAAAGGCAGGAAAATAGAGTTGGAGATTATCCAATTAGCCATGATATCATTGAATGACAGATCAAACTCGATGGACCAAATGGCCTACTTTTGTTCCTACTTCTTATGGTTTTGTGGACTTACATGCCTCTGACATGGCAGAAGGAATGAACACTGTGGTCCACCTGAAAAGATGTAGTCTCAGTCTCTGCTTTCACCACAATGTGCGTTCTCTTCTGCAAGGCAAGAAAACAGAAATGTGTGAGTATTCATAATGGTTTGAGTGAGAAAGACAACATTTGAAGAGGCTGACTTTGCAAGAGAGGAAAAGGATGAGGCTGTGTAGTGGCAGGTTAGATGAGGAGAATGATTCAGGGGAAGTGATGGCCAAGTGGTATTATCACTGGACTATTAATCCAGAGACTGAGATATTGTTCTGGGGACCTGGGTTCAAATCCTGCCATGGTGGAATTTGAATTCAATAAATATCAGGAATTAAGAGTCTAATGATGATCATGAATCCATTGTCAAATGTTGGAAAAACCCATCTGGTACACTAATGCCCTTTAGGGAAGGAAACTGTCTTCCTAACCTGGTCTGGCCTACATGTGACTCCAGACCCACAGCAGTGTGGTTGACTCTTAACTGCCCTCTGGGCAATTAGGGATGAGCAATAAGTGCTGCCTAGACAGCAACACCCTCATCCCATGAATGAATAATGAATAAAGGAATGTGAGGAGTTGGCACAGAGAAAGGAATGAGTGAAACTGCGAACTGTTGTCCTCAACAGTTTTATGGAGAAGAATGCTGTCAAGGTCACAGTATCAGGCTTGGTACCTGCAGGTATTATGCCATTCACTTGTCATGCCCTCCCGGTGTCCTGAAATATTTGGATGTGCTGTCTCCAGGTTGCAGCTATTATGCTCATTCTGCAGGCTCCATTGGAACATTCATCCATGGCTGCTGGGGTGGAAATCCTTCCATCCTTAGAAGAGCTTTCCTCCGTGCAGCTTCTCAGACCCTGCAACAGGGCCACCAGGTAAGAGAGAAAGAGGCCCGGGGAGCAGCTTTCCTAGGCCTGTTCTCCACTTGGTGTGGCTCTGCAGCCTCAGAATTACAAATGCTGGTAAGTCCTTCTAACCCCATGTCATGGTCCTGTATTAGAAATTCCCCTTTTGACAGATTCAGTGCATCATCTCACTTTGATTGGTCAGGGAATCTGGAGGGTGGATGCTAAGGATGTGATTCTGTGGAGGAGCCTTGTCAAAATCTGCCAATGACTGTAAATAGTCCTGCTGTTCCAGCGATATCTAAATTCAGAAGATTTAACTGTAGAGTTCAAGATGCCAGAAATCCATCCTTAATATACAATGGTTAGGCCTCAGACAACTGTGCAATCGGAAGAATGCTAAGACATTAGATAGGGTGGTGAGGAGCATTGTACCAGACGTATATGACTGGAGAAGTTAGGGTGTCTTTCTTAGAGCAAACAGGTTAAAAGGAGATACGATAGATGTATTCAAAATCATGGTTTTGATAGAGTGAGTAGGCAAAGCTATTTCCATTGACAAAGGAATCAGTAATCAGACTGAAACAGATTTGTAGACTCGTAGACATTTCAAGCGCAGAAGTGGGGCATTCACCCATCATGTCCACACCAATAAACAAAGGTATGACTACATTTTACAGCTTGAGGCTTATGTCCTTGGAGACTATGACAATGCAAGCAAATACTGCTTAAATGTCACAAGAGTTTCAGATAGTGAATTCCAGAAAAAAAAATCCTCCTCAACTCCCCTCTTCGTCTGCTACCTCTTACCTTAAATCTATATCTTTTGGGTATTGACCCCACTTCGACTGGTTAAAAAAAAGTGCCTTCCTATCCACCCTAACTGTGCCCTTCATTATCTTATACCCCTCTATCTGGTCAGATCCCAATCTTCACTGGTCCAAGTATATCAATCCTAGCCTATCCAAGTTTTCCTCATAGCACGAGCCTTACTTATTTATCTAACTACGTATTTCTTTATGTCACAAGTTAGTGTGACCTAGAAAGCATGATCCGAAAAGATAGTGAAAGTAGATTCAACAGTGACTTTCAAAAGATACCTGAATAACAGCTTAAGGGAAAATAAGAATGCAGGGCTCTGGGGACAGAACTGGGGGCTAATTGGACAGCTCTGTCAAAGAGCTGATGCATATACAATGGGCCACATGGCCACTATTATTCTATGAAGGGGAAAGTTAGGTATTGAGAAGCTGACCAGAAAAATACCCATTATGTCGCCTCAAGTTCAGCTTTTTTTCTTACAATTGTGCTGTTCATTATAAAAGTACATGCAAACCATGTTTTATGCAGGCATTGTGGATGCTTTCAATGATCTGGAATGTGAAGTGGTCTGGCATGCTTCATTCTTCTCCCCTAAGGAAGGAGAGTTTGACCTCATTGTACGTCATGGGAAAAAACTGAGATTGAAATGTGTTGTTAAGGTACAATTTTATTTTGAAATGGTCTTCTGTAAACTGAGTTTGAATATATTCTTTATATTTGTGCAATTTATTACTGAATATGAGTTAGCTTCTCCTGTCCTCTAATAGAGGATGCTTTACCTTTTGCATCCATTGTCTTCAAAATCTTGAAAGAATTGTTAGAATGGTTTCTTATGTGATGTGAAATTACTATGTTCATGTTAAATTTTACTTATAATCTGTACCCCAGGCATTTAATTCTTCTGATTCATTAGAACGCACACAGTTGCCCTTAGTAGTCATGTGACAATGAAGGGTTTAAGAAGTTCCAAATTAAGCAATATCTTCAGTTTCAAAGCAACATCTTTTATGAATTTAAATGTTTCATTTGCTTTGTTTTTAGTCTTTTCATTTCTATAATCCGCAGTCAGAAAAGAATCATTTTCAGTTCAGATTTCATTAAGAGATATCTATAATATATTAACCTTTTTTCACTAGATCACATGTTCTATTGTCTCATTGCCCTGTGGTCACTGCCACCATTTCTTTAGTCTCAAGGCTGGTGGTTCAAGTTCCACTCCAGATGGTTGTGCACAAATTTAGACTAGCAATTCATTGCAGTGCTGAATGATTGCTGTGCTTTCAGAGAGTTGGTTGGAATTTAATCCAATTGACAGAGGTCTGCCCTCTATTAAATCCATTGGGGAAAGATAATATAGAAAGATAATATAGTCCGAACACCCCCAGAGAGTTGTGAGTCAATCAGAGGTTGGGAGTGCTCCATTACAGTCTGCACCACCAGGAGCAGTGGCAGCTATTGGTAACGCGCCTTCCAAATCTGTAGTATTGTTGAGGGATCCAACTGATGTTGGAATGGGGTGGTAGGTGGGATGTTGCTAGCTAGACAAGGCCTTCAGTCCACCATGTCTATGCCGACCAACAAACACCAAACTACACTAATCCTAATTACCAGTACTTGGTCCATGGCCCACTATACCCTGTTGTTTAAAGTAGTCATCCAGATGTTTCTTAAATGTTGCTAGAACACCAGCCTCCACCACCATCTCAAGCAGCAAGTTTCATATTTCTACCAACCTCTGGGTGAAAATCGTTTTTATCAAATCTCCTCTAAATTACTTGCTCCCCATCTTAGACTTATGCCCTCTGTCTAAACATGTCTAACAGTTAAAACTCTAACCCTCTTATAAAACTGCCCCCTCCATATAGAAACATAAATTCAGCTATACAAACAGGGAAAATAAAACATGGGTGTCATGGGTGAAGGGAAAGATTGGGAAGACACTTCAGTGGTCCCTGTCTGCTGGGTTTGCTGAGATGATCTTGTTGGCTTGTCAGGTCCTGCTGCTTCTTGAAGTTCCTTCTCCAATAGTTTCACTTGCTTGTCAGAGGCATAGAGTGACTGGTTCACTCTTATAAAGTCTTTAGTTTATTGGTTAGGATCCAGAGCTTGCAGCAACTGATGAGGAAAGTAAGCTGGCTTTCTTTAAGCCTGAGACTTTTATCTTACTGCAGAGGAAGGACAGCACCTTCCTTTCCAGTGGTATGATGATTTCTGACTCAAACATTCACACCCGCAACCTGTTTAGCTACCTGGGAGCCAGTCATATACTTATTAGTAGGCAGATGGCCTTTGTCATTGAAAACCTGTCACTGGTTCATGAACCAAAGAGCTACTTGTTGCTGGCTGAATCTCCATTTGTACCTAGTGTCCTGGCTTCAGCTCATCTGCAAATAACTTCCCCTGCTGCTTGAACAAGCAGTTGTGCAATCAACACTTACAGGAATGTAAGGTAATTTTTTGAAAAATGCAGCAATTCTTCAATAATTCTTGGTTTTTAAAACAGTTTCTCTCCCATTTCAGTCCACAATAAGTAATACAGAAAAATAAAATATATGGTCTTTACATGCTGTGATTCAGTTCTGCATTCAAGATTTGTGGACGGGGGCCTTCTGTTAAGAAATAGCACAGACCTGTCCAGGAAACATCAGAGCTAACAGTGGAGAGAATTATCATTGAAATCACACCTTCTTTCGCAGTAACAAGTGTGCCGTATTCTGAAGTTTAAATGTTCAGCAGTACAGGCAGCCTCTTTGACAGCTACTGTGAAAAGATTAGTAAGGCAGATGTGGGGATCTGATGGGATGGGGTGGGTGTGTTGGGAGATGGTTTGGGTGCCAGGTGGATGAGGTGGATACATTTCTAGGTAGTTGGCAGGATGCTAGATCACATAAGCTTTATAGTTAGCCAGAAGTTAGTGCAGATTTTTAATCCTCTTTTCTAGTTAACTATTAAGCTCAAAAGTGTTGGAACCCTCCAAATTCTCCCACTTTAATGGGTTCCAGATGCAGAGGAATTGCACATTGGAAATTTCAATTTCCTGGTTAATTCCCCCGTTGGAGTCAGCTGTGTCAGGATTTCCACGTGGTCCTGATGTCCAACTCCATTTTATGCTCCAGAAACGACTAGCTGTCTATTAAATATCTGAGACTTTTTAAAAAATAGCTTTTTCCTATGGAGATCAAGCATCCCTCGTATGTTTAGTATCTCAGTCGACTTATTGCCTCATAAACATCTACTGCTCAATAAGTGTCTTTCTCAGAAAAAGTTTCAGTGAGTCTCTTTGGGGGTCTTTCAAGGAAAACAATCTCCATTCCACATCAAATGAAGCAATTTTCACAACCTTTTGGACATGAGTCCTCAAAAAAACAATAGTGGATGCGCCTTCATAACACTTCGCTGCCAACCTTTCTTTAAGTAGGTCTGCTTTGAGTGGCCAGAGGAATCAGAGTTAGGAGGTGGTATGAAGTGGAAAGTAGGTCAACACAGTGTGGAGCTGGAGGAGCACAGCAGGTCAGGCAGCATCAGAGGAGTAGGAAAGTCGATGTTTCAGGTCAGGACACTTCTTTACAACTGTTCAGCCAATTCTGAAGAAGGGTCCTGACCTGAAACATTGACTTTCCTGCTCCTCTGATGCTGCCTGGCTTGCTGTGTTCCTTCAGCTCCACAATGTGTTGACTCTGACTCCAGCATCTGCAGTTCTTGCTATCTCCGAGGAAATGAATGTGTTGTGGGAAGTCAAAAAGAATGAGACAATATGAATCACGAGAGATGATTGGATGAGAACGGAGTTGGTCAGTGACCATGCGCATTTATGTATTAGCTCCTATGGGAAAAAGTAGCTTTCATCAGCTACTTTCCACACAACTCGATACCACGCCACTCACCACCCCATCTAAAAGCTGAAAGCAGAAAAGAAAAACACCAAGATTGTGGAACAAGACACAGAGAGAGCCAAAATGAATTACAGTGTGACAGCAGTAAAAGTGGACAGAAAGGAACAGCAATGCAAAACTAACAGGGACAGTTACATCACAATACATTTTCTGAATTAACTGTGCATGATGCACACGAGATCCAGTGTTAAATGTTTAACTCTACAATAAATCTGAATTAACCTGTTAAAAAAGTCACAGTAATTTGGGTCTTGCTATATCTAATCAAAATGGCAATTCTCTTTTGTTTTGAAGTTTGGCCATGTGAATATTCGCTTTGCTGAGAACCGTCTGCTTTTTAAGTCTGCTCCTTGGAATTTAACTACCATGAAAACAGCTATTCTTAAAAATTATGGACAATATCATGTTTACTTTAAGGTCTGTGAGTTACTGATTTTTTAATTAGGTTACTGTTTCTATTTCTTTCTCATTATTTGTTTGATAAAAATACAGTTGGATTTGTATGATGGCTGAAAACAAATGATAAGTATTTTAGTTTAGAATTTGAGGAAGTATATGTTTGAACACATAATGTTTTCTCATTGCTTTCATACATGTACATCAATGGGGTTGGTGTTCAATGGGAAAGACAATACAAATACAGGACAATGCAGAACTTGATACAATTTGTCATCATGTGCACTTATAAAGTGCCCTTAAAAACGTGAAATGACCCAATATGCTTCACAAAGTGAATAAAGGAACAAAAAAGGAGAAGTGTTAAGGAAACAAGAAATGGGAACAGGAGTGGACCAGACAGTTTACTGAGCCGGCTTAACCGTTCACAATGATCATGGTTGATCTTAGTCTTTAATTCGGCTCTCAAGTCTGCTCCCCATAACCTTGAATGACTAAACATCTGCCTATCCAATATAGATGATGATAGAGTATTTTTCAAAACTTACTCCTGGGATGTGTTGCTGGCTGAGCCAGCATTTATTGCCCATTCTGAGTTGCTCTTGATAAAGTGTTGGCAAGCTGCCTTCCTGAACTGCTTTTGTCCATTTTGAGGAGGTACACCCACAATGCTGTTAGGGAGGGAGGTCTAAGATTTTGACCCAGTGACACTGAAGGAATGGCGATATATTTCCAAGTCAGGATGGTGAGGAGCTTGGAATGGAACTCGCAGGCTATGATGTTCTTGTGTATTTGCTACAATTGTCCTTCTTGATGGTAATGGTTGTGGTTTGGACAGTGCTGTCTCAGCAGCCTTGGTGAATTTCTGCAGTGCATCTTGTAAATGGTAAACACTGCTGCCACTCTGCGTTAGTGGTGGAGGGACAGAATATTTGTGGATATGAAATCAATCAAGTGGGTTGCTTTGTCTTGGATAGTGTCAAACACCTTATGTGTTGTTGGAGCTACACTCATCCAAGTGGATGGGGAGTATTTATTCATGCTTCTGACTCGTGCCTTGGAGATGATGAACGGACTTTGGGGAATCAGGACGTGAGTTCCAGAATTCCCCTGCCTCTAATCTGTGCTTGTTGACATAATATTTATGTGGCTGCTCCAGTACCACATCTAGTCAATAGTAATCCCCAGGATTCACAACCCTCTGGTGTTTAGACTTCCAACAATTCATTATTCTTAAAGAGTAAAGAAATTTCTCATCATCTCAGTCACAAATGATCATCCTTTATCCTGAGAATATGCTGGATTCACAACCAGCAGAAATAATCTCACAGCATTAACCCTATAAAGCTATTTCAGCATTGTGAATGTCTCAAGGAGATTGCATCTCATTCTTCTAAACAGAAGAGAATATAGGCCTAATACACTCGGCCTCTCAATATCGAATAATTGCCTCATTCCAGGGATCAATTTAGTGAACCTTTACTGTGCTCCAATGCAAGTATACTGTCTTTCAATATGCAGACTAAAGCTGTGCATTCTGTGTATTTCCAGATATGATCTCATCAAGGTTTTTTCAATTGTAGCAAGAGACATCTTTATTCCTGTACTGTAATGCTCCTCAATAAAGACCAACAGACCATTTGTCAGGGAATGCCGAAGTTGCACAACACTCTGAGTGAAGAAATTTCACCTCTTGTCAGGTATATGAGGCTGGTCCCTTACTCCAAGGCTGCACCTAAAACTTAGGTTTTAGAGTCTACAGTGCAGTGGAATGCCTTCCAGGCATCCACCTTGTCAAGTCCCTTCAGCAATTCAGATGTTTCAGTGAAATCACTTCTCAATCTTCCAAATTCAAGAGAATTTGGGCCTTGCTGATGCAATCTCTCCTCATAGGACTGAACCCTTATCCCAGTAACCAGCTTGTCAACTTTTGGAATATCTTACTGAGTTCTTTTTTCAGCTTGTTAGCAAAAGGATCAAATCATATTCCCATGTTTATTCAGTAATGTAACTTGCTTCAAATTTATATTCTGCCTCTTTCTCCTTATAAGGTAAGAAATGTGCATCCTGTTCCTGGAATGACTGTAACCCCTACTTATGGAATAGTGCCTGTTGGGGGTTATGTGCTTTTCAAAATTTTCTTCCACCCAACAACAGTGTTTAAATTTGATACCAGATTAAAGGTAAATCAAAAACAAACATTTTTAGCAAAATTACTGAAGAATAAACAGCTGTTTGTTTTGCAAGACACTGAGATTCTGCATTTCCTGATTAAATATTTATGGTATTTTCTCAGCTAGACATTCGTAATTCAAAACTATTGAAACTGCGGGTTGGTGGATCAGTGATAAGACCAATGGCAGAAATTGATGTGGTCAGTATTTTCCTGGTATTTCTTTACTTTAAATCTGAATTATTTCATGCTCATGCTCCTTGAAAACTTTAAAAATAAAATTTTCTAAGCGTTTGTTTGAGAGGCCTCTGAACACTCCCTTTGGAAATCACCAATTACACCAATCAAAGCCTGCTTCAAATAGATGATCTCTATATATGGTGCAGTCTCTACCACATCTATTAAAACTTTGCATTGATGAAAAGAATCAAACATTTTATCAAAGCTTTTCATCTTGCAAGAATACCAATATAAGGGAAAGCCATCATTCAGATTGCATGAAAAGAGAGTGCAGACTGAGAATGCTCCCATTAATGCTGATTAAGAGTTATAAGCAGGCTTTGTTCAAACTTTAAAACAAGCAGGTAGACTTTGCTTGGTCAGGGCATTACCCTCAGAAATTAATGAACAAATGGCTGTCCACATTTTGTTGAGTTGAAACAGGTGTAGTACATGTATATAACATTTCTGTCTGTAAAGAACAGAGCCCTTAACATACATACATGTAACTTCCAGTATATACAAGTGTATCACAATCCAAAGCTGACTGACAATCCTGAATCGATTGTCAGAATAATTCTTCATGCGTTCAGGATTGTCCAGCAAATTGGGTGAATTGCAGAATCACATCTAATGTTGACAGTGTTGTGAGTTTTGCAAGTGGGGGCTGATTGGATATGATCAATGGCTTACTTGTTACAAACAACTGAAAGGACATGCTATTTGATTCAATCTGCCATTCTTTGTGATTTAGCCCCTACATACCTGGTATCACACTGACACTGAAATTCAAATGCCACATTACTCATTTTTGTCATAGTCATAATAACTTCTTGGTAGCATCCTGTTAGTGGTGAACACCACTCATGTTGCTACTGCGTAGTAGCAGCATGAAACAGCTGGCTTCTGTCATGATTGTAACAAGGTCAGCCAGGTGGACCTCATAGAATATAAGTTCCCTGATTGGGGCTGTTAATATGGTCCAATGAGGGAGTCCTGGTTGACAGATAAGAACTGGAGTGTCAGACATCCTGGTCATTCTGAGAGCTAGTCCTGGGAAAGCTGGATCAGTTTCAAGGACTTTTCATATGTAAATAAAGGGTGACTTGGAGTTTTTTTCACCCTTCCAGGATAGTCTGAAGTAGACTGGGCACTTTTCAGGACTAAAAACCTTTGTGCTTGAGTCAGAGAGTTTATGAGCTGAATTTTCACTTCTGAGGTGGGTAGCTTGAATCTGAAAATGTCCTAACTTGGTAGACCGTTCTTGTTTCAAGGATCACTGTCAGATCAGTTTATTTTCTATGAAGGTTGAGGCAGAATAGCTTTGAGACTCCTGACCCCAAAGGCAGATTTGAGACTATTTCCCAATTGTATTAGATCCTGTTGGATTTTCCAACCTCACCATTGACAATGCCTGACATCATTCACTCCCTGTGAATTCACTGGTTGATATTTATGTTAGGATTCCCATAGTTCCATGCGCTACAGTATCAATCTTATAGGCAACCTCATGAGTAAGACTCGAGCCACCTGCTCACTGTGTGAACTGTTAAATTAACACAGTATATAAAATGTGATGATAGCCCAACAAATCCACACCTTTTTCTCAACCTGTATAACTTGTGTTCATTTTCCAACCCTGATTTCTTGCATTCCAGTCCTGATGAGTGCAAGGTAAAATGCTTTGACTCCGTGTCTCCTTTTAGTAATTTTTTTTATTATTACTTCATGGAATAAGAGCTTTGCTGGCTCAGCAGCATTTATTGCCCATCCTTAATTGCCTAGAGGGCAGCTAAGAGTCAACCACATTGCTGTGGGTCTGGAGTTACATCTAGGCCAGACCAGGTCAGGATTGCAGTTTCCTTCCCGAAAGGATATTAGTGAACCAGATGAATTTTTCCAACAATTGACAATGGATTCATGGTCATCATTAGATTCTTAATTTCAGGTATTTTATTGAATTCAAATTCCACCATCTGGCATGGCGGGATTCGAACCCAGGTCCCTAGAACGTTATCTGGGTCTTTGGATTAACAGTCCAGCAATAATACCACTAGGCCATTGTCTCCTCATTTAAGTTTTGTCCTACTAAGCAATTATTTGTCTTTATGATTATTTCAAAGAAACTTATTCTGGCTTCATACTAGTATTGAAATTATTTAGGTAATTGGAATTGAATTAATAGTGTGATATTAGTAATGAATATTTTAATAAATTGAAAATACTGCATACCACTCCAGGTTTGTGAATTAAACCTTACAGAGGTTTATAAAATTGTGAGGGGCCTAGATAGGGTGAATAGTCAATGTCTTTTTCCCAGGGTAGCAGAGTCTAAAACTAGAGGGCATAGGTTTAAAGTGGGAGGAGAAAGATTTAAAAGGGTCATAAGGGGCAACTTTTTCATGCAGAGGGTGGTGACTGTATGGAATGAGCTGCCAGAAGAAGTGGTGGAGACTGGTACAATTACAACATTTAAAAGGTATTTAGATGGGTATGTGAATAGGAAGGATTTAAAGGGAAATGGGACAAATGCTGGCAAATGGATCTAGATTTATTTAGGATATCTAGTTGGCATGGTCGAGTTGGACTGAAAGGTCTGTTTCCATGCTGTACATCTCTAAGACTCTAAGTGCCAGATAATGTGTATTTTATCTCGGCATGAATGATTGATTGCCTGGTTGGTTTAAATGCAGTCTTAATCTTCTGAGTTAGTAAATGTTTTAATTGTCCTTTTAAAAAGAAAGGAAATAATCTCATCAGGCCATATTATGTATAATTTATTAATAAGATATTTGCCAACATGCTCCAAAGTGGCATCACATTGGACAGTATAAGGTTTTATGAAGACAGTTAAAAATCAAAACACAAGGAAATTATTTTGCTGTTTAAAAAAAAACAATGACTGAAAAGCACTATTCCTCCTTGATTCTGCACAAAGATTTGGTTTGACTTTCTTATATGAATTCTGATGTTACTTTCTCGCTACCATTTTAATACAAAAATGCCAGTATATTCTATAAATTTGAAGAAAAATCTAAGGAGAATGTTCTGTGGAACATTTCAATATTTTTCTGATTTATCTAATTTAACTAACGTTATTTTAATGTTACTCCTCTTTATCTGCAGAAATCTTTTGTGTTCCATGGTGTTTACTGTGGTTCTTCTTACATGATCCCATTCACTTTAATGAATTCAACTGAATCACCAATCAAGCTTGAATTTGACTTTACGAAGTACAGAGATTTCTCACTGAATTTTGAAGCCTCTGCAGGTATAATTAACAAAATTCAGATTGTGGAGTTATTCATTGAACTGTTAAAAGACAGCCTGGAATTTCTGAGGATTTTCTATTGTTTTCAGTGTAAAATGGATAGATTCTTTGCAAAAGTGGCTTTTCAGGGTAATGAGCATTCTCAGCTATTTACACCATTTTTCTGAGTCTTCTAAGAGTCTGCCATCACAGTCTGCCGAAACTCAGAGATAGTCATGGAGAGCTTCTCTTTGGATTTTCAGTTCAATTTATTGACTTGAGCTACAATGTTTCAGGAAAACTCCTACCCCGAGAAGCCCTCTTTATAAAAGACCTGCTGCCATTACGTCTCTCCACGATCCTGACCATCTGGTGGCTGGTTGTTCTGAAAGCATCCACTATCTCCCAGGTCAGGTTGCTCAGCAAATGAGTTGCTGGCCTCGGATTCACAGTAACTTTCAGTAGGCAAAAGCTGCTGCTGGCCTTCTTTCTGCCTGATGTCAATTCCAACTTTCTCACTAAGTCACAGACTATCCTGATGCGGACATATGTCTCCTGCATGGTTTAGAATTTAAACAGAGCTGGGTAGTTAACTGTCAGTCACCATTAACTGGTCATCATCATCTACAAGTCTAGGTCTCCAGAGGTTATACCAGCACAAAATCTGGAGTGATTGTCAAAATATCTACATATTTTATAGATCCTTAGACTTTTAAACTCATTTTTTTCAATTCTCGCTTTAGGGTAAGTAGTTCTGCTGTTACCTATATATATGTACTTTTCATTCTCCGTGCATATATTTGAATATGCTCATGAGCCAAGTAGCAGGATGACACCGCATGACCTGCAATTTGAAGGATTCCAAGCAACAACAAGCTAGACTTAGAATGTAATTTGCAATTATAAAGTAATTTATCAGTTTGTATTTTAGGTCAGCCTGTTTGAAATTTTTAAGTGAATTGAACTTATGCTACCTATCAATCCTGTATGAGAATAATGTTTCTGTGTTAAGGGACACAAGAATACAACAGCTCCCAGTGGATTGAAACATTGCTAATGTAATACTTCTGTTCAAGAAAGGAAGGAGACAGAAAGAAATAATCTATAGACCAGTTAGACATCAGTCAATGAAAAAAAGTGAGAATTCATTATTAAGGAGGTTGTAAGGAGATGTTTGGAAAATTATAATGCAGGTACAGTCAGTACAGTAAAAATAAAACAAAGAACTGTGTATGCTGGAAACTGAAACAAAACAGAAATTTCTGGAGAAACTCAAAAGATCTGGCTTCATCTGTGGAGATAAAACAGAGTTAACATTACAAGTCCAATGATCCTTCTTCAGTTCAGCCTTCAGCTGCAAGATCTGATGAGTTCTTTAGCAATTTCTGTTTTAGAGTCAGTATAATTTTGTGAAAGTGAAGTGGTATCAGACAAGTAGCAGCGATGTAGATAAAGACAAACCTAGAGATGTGGTGTACTTAGATTTCCACCAGGCATTCGAAAAGGTGTCGTACGAAATTTACTGCACCAGTTGAGAGCTCATGGTGTAGGGGGTAAAATATTATCAGGGATCGAGGATTGATAAGCTGACAGAAGTAAACAGTAGGGATAAGTAGATTATTTTTAGGCTAGCGAACTCTTACAGATGGAATGCCAAAGGTATTGTTGCTGGGATCAACTATTTACAATGCATTTTAATGACTTAGATGAAGAGACTAAATACCTGAAAGACCAAATGAAAGATACCTTCCAAATTCTCAACCTCTGCCATCTAGAAGCATAAAGGCAGCAAATGCATGGAAACACCACCTCCTGAAAATTCCCCTCCAAGGCACAGCCCATTCTGACTTGGAACTATATTGCCATTCCTTCAGCGTTGCTGGGTCAAAGTAATGAATCTGCTTTCTAACAGCACTGTGGGTGTACCTACAGCCCAAGACAGCTCACCATCGCCTTTCCAATGGGCAATAAATGCTGGCCTTGTCACTGATGCCCATGTACCACAAACAAATTTTTAAGCGTGGTCAGGAAGATAAATGGAATATTGATACGAGTTGCAAAGGGAATTGAATATAAAAGTAGGGAAATTTTGCTGTAACTGTACAGAGCTATAGTTAGACCTCTTTGGAATACTGCATACCAATTTGGTCTTTTTTCTTAAGAGAGGATATAATGGCATTAGAAATATTTCAGAAAAAAGGTCACTTGATGAGTTCCGAGGATTATCTCTCGCGGAAGGTTGAACACCATGCGTTGATACCCTAGGGATTTAGGTGAATGAGAAGTGTTATTATTGAAACATTTAAGGTTCTGTGAAAACTTGATGGCGTGGATGTTGAGTAGATGTTTTCCGTTTTGGGGCAGTCTAGAATTGGGTGCACCATTTAAAAATTAGGGTGTCCCTCATTTAAGACAGGCAAAGATTATTCTTCCTCTCAGAGGGTCATTAGTGTGTGGAATTCTCCTCCCCAGGGAGTAGTCATGGATATTCATTGAATATATTCAAGGATGAGTTGAATAGATTTTTGAGCAACAATGAAGTCCAGTGTTATAAGGGATGGTCAGGTAAGTGGTGTTGATGCTATAATCAGATCATCCATCATTTCATTGACTGACAGAGCAAGTTCAAGTGGCCAAGTGACTTTCTCCTGCTTCTAATCCGTGACTTCTTGCAACTTCTTTATTCCTGGAATTTCTGGGTTCCCCTGTAACTACCACACTAACCTGCCCCTTCCATGCCTCTCTGTAAATATCAGGGCCTCTAATATTCTCTAATTGCAGTCCTATAGATTTTTTAAAATTCACTACAGTGTAACAGGATTAAAGTTTGTTTTCACTTTACTTGAAAAAGTAAGTCCGTTACTGGTTCTAATTATTTTTATTTTTACCTGCAGATGCAACACAAGATCTGATGGATCATCAGCTGTATATTATTTCTCTAAGAGGGAAAGAGAGTATTAAGTGTGAATTAGTATTCAGTCCTAAAGATGTAAGTATTGAATCAATAGTAAGTCTGTTTTTAAGTTTAATGTTTGTGCTTTACACCTTGCTAAGGTTTACTTTCATTATTGAGATCTATGCTATCAGCACGGGTATGGAGTGGCTAGGCTGGACTCGTCAAGGTCCTAAATATGTGGAGCAGGAGGACACTGGTTAGGTTGCTCGTGGCGCAGAAATACTAAGAGTCTGTGTGCAGAAAGGGTGCAGGAGGTGTAGTGGCATAGTTGTAATGTCATTGGGTTAGTAATCCTGAACCAAAGGTTAATGTTCTGGGGACGAGTTCAAATCCCACCATAGCAGATGGTGAAATTTGAATTCAATAAAAAAAAACTGAGTTTAAAAACAAAGCTGGCTTTAGGGTAATGCCTGTCAATTATCATAAAAATCCATCTAGTTCACTAATATCTGTTAGGGAAATTTGCCATTCTTACCTGGTCTGGCCTACATGTAAGTCCAGAGCTATAGCAATGTGGTTGACTCTGAGCTGCCATCTGGGCAATTAGGGATGGATGCTAAATGTTGGCCGAGCCAGTGAAGCCCACATCCCGTGAACAAATATCTTGAAAAAGTGAGTGCAGGAGGTTTCCTTAAGAAAAACAACCTGGAATTCACAGGTAAACTGGCCGTTGGTCAACATTCTGCTAAATTGATCATTTTTGCAACTGTTTTAGGCCCATAAAATGGCCATAACTATGTTAAATTGAAAAATAAAGGCACAAAATGCTAGAAGTACTGAGCAGATCAGGGCTGCATCTGTGAAAAGAGAAATAAAGTTAACTCGTCAGGTGAAAAGTTTATCATTCGAACTTAGATTAAATGGATCTGGTAAGGTCTGAATTAGAGTATGGCCTGTTCTCATTCCTTATTTAATGTTCTTAGAGGCAAACTGTGGAAAAGATTGGGAGACAGAATTGAGACAAAAGTGACTGTGAATTATATCCCAGTGTTCTCTGCTGGCTGTGGATACTTTAACCAAGGCAGTAGGTCAATAACTGCTAGCACTGCTTTCCGTAAGCCTTGGTTTTGGATGACTTTTCCCCCACTTTGCCTGTTAGGTCGGTGTAGGCATTGCGATTACCCCATTTCCTCAAAATATGTTTGATGTTTTCTTTTTGTTTCCTTGTGAACCGGGAGGAACAGCAATGCTCCTCCAAACCCCATAAGAAAGATTTGAACCTCTCAGGCTCCTTTTTATCTGCCTTGACTTTGATTGCCTCCAGACACTTAATTTTGCTTTGTGTTCAGATTTCTGATCCCCAGTAGCAGCAGCCACACTGTTCTGGCCTGAAGACAACTAGTATTTCCCACTTGGTTGGGGGAGGAAATGACTCTGGAATTCCACTGGATAACTCCAACACTCAGGTCCAAGTTAAAATTAGGCCTTATGGTTTCCACTTATGTGCACACCTCTATTGAAGCCACTTGAGGGCAGTAGTGGTTTACAGAACTTTACAATGAGTAGTGAAGTATTGAATAATTTGTGATTAAATATTTCAAAAATATCTTGACTGAAATTGTATTTCTTCTTTAAAAAATATCAAATTGTTGATGCACTTTTTCATCATCCTTGTAGAGTAACTTGAACATTTTGATCAGTATAAATGGATGAAAACAGATTGGTTTGTGAAGGTTGGATCATGTCTGACTAGTGAGGAGGTTGCTGAGATGGTGGATTGGCAATTGTCTATAATTTATCCCATGTTGGCTTTCAGAATATAAATGATAAGCTTTGTACAACAAAATTGAAAAAAAATTAAAGCATGTGGAATTAGAAGGAAATTTGGGATAGGATTGGTAATTGTTTGGGTAGTAGTAAAAGAAAGCCGAAGAATTAATTTAGTCTAGTTTCTTGGATTCAATGTATGAAAATAATAATCCTTGTGCCTGATTGTGGAGGCTCGGTGAGTATTTTGAGAAATTGATGTTCCTCAAGATGATCCGCCAGTGATTATTTTTTTGTGTCTCTGCATGACTCTCACCAGATTCAGTCAGTGAATTTTGGGACAGCTGCTTTAAGTTATCTCTAAGTAAGCCTCTGGGGAGAGTGGGAAGAATTATGGAATGGGGACTGATTTCAGGCCAGCTCCGGCTCTTAGGAGAGCTGTGCAGCTGCAATGAATCATCCTGCTGCTGGCTCCAAAGGAAAATTATTTTAAGTTAGTCAATGTACCTGAAGAACCATGAACAGGGCAGACTAAATATTAATATAAATTTCAGTGCAAGAGCGTAAAATGAGCTTTGGGCTCCTTATTTACGTAAGTGACAAGTCTAATGGCATATTGAAGGCTGCCAGACATCTGGCAAATGGCCTGAGTTAATACCAGGCTGGCCATTACACAGAACACAGAGTGTTTGTTCTCAAAATTGGATCTTGTTTGTGCCATTTTGCACTGAGTTATGTGCTAGATTTCTAAGAGATCAGCAGAAATTTGCTTTTGGTGAGCTTGCATTTTAAAGAGCTCATTGCAAGTAATCCAGCTACTGAATTGTTTTTTTCATGGATGATTGGGAAACCTTCCATCTGTACCATGGTTCATTGACATTCATGGAAGTTTAAAATTATTGCTCAGTTCATCAAGCTGCTGGAGAGCTTGACTTTCCTGATCAAATGGGCAAATCATTTAATTATCTGGAACCACTGTATCGTCAGAAATCTTTTATATTAAATGACAAGGATGGTTGTTCACTTTCTAACTAAAGCTTCCATTTCTTGAATGAATCCAATGAATAGCTTTGTCCTTAATGAATGCTTTGTCAACCGCTTGTTTGCTAGGAGTGAATGGGGTTGCAGATTAAAGTCATGTCTGTTCCAGACCGCATGATTCCTACCCCAACCAATATTTGTTTTTGATGCTCGTGAGGTAGCCTTCCCAGGCAAATGAGGCTCCAGTTCATGGTCATTGGTTGTTTGTTGCTGATGCTGTAGCTAATACCGTTTAATTCTAATTCAAATTTGCACATGTTCTGTGCATTCTCAGTCCCACCAACAAGCCCTACATCAGGGGAATGGCTGTATGTTCACAGCAAGGCTACAATGGGTTTAGCACTCTGGTGGGTTTATTAGTCAAGATGAACACACCTGGATCTAACTGAAAAGTAGTGCAACTTCACCTGATAGGTTATCACAGAAGTCTGCCCGACTCCTGCAATATAATTTGTATGTGCTCCTTAAAGTTGCCACAGACGTGCAATTCCTTTCAGTTTACCAGAAATGATTGAGTCTGCAGTTCACAGCTGCAAAAGAGATGTAACCAATGATGGATTTTGAGGGCCAACAAATAGATCACCGTTCCTACTCATCTCAGCATGCAACAGGTCAGAACTTGTCATTCCTATATGGGTGAAACATGATTGACCTGATACATGTCGTCATTAAGCATGAACATATTAAATGTCAGTGTGTATGTTGAATTGGCCATATGATCTAGACCTGCCCCTGCTACTTAAACAAATACTTCTAAAGTTATTCATATTAGGGCATCAGTTAGCAACATTCATCAAAAGAAAAGACTGATGCATGGTTGATGTACAGTGCCAATGATAGGAACAGTTAACATCATGCAGGTCTGTACAAGGTTCCCAGCTTCTCTGTCTTTGACTTTGAACCAAGTTTGGCTGATGGCAAGGGACATCACCTCCAGACTCTAATGCTAAACACCTTTGTGAAACCCTATCTCTCTCAAGCAGTACAGATACACTGAAGGATGTGAATGAATTTTTGCAACAGAAAATCAGATGGGAGGTCCTTGCAATATTTTGGTTATATATATTAAGGTGTCACACCTGCTGCATACCTTACAGTACTGCATTTAAAAGATCCCTGCGTTTACTAGGGTAAGAGCAACTGCAGCAGTAATCATCAGATGAGGAAGGAAGCCAGGCAGGAAAGAAGGCCACATCAACATGTTACAGCCAGTGATAAGCAGTTCTGCTTGGATCTCACACACTGCTTTGTAGTCAAAGTTTCACTTCATAAGAGACCTTGTTTTATTCTTCTCTACTCCCCTAAACCTGCGTCAAATCATTCAAACAATTTCCAATTCAATTGCATTCAGGCTCAGAAGCTGCTGTTTAACCACGTTGCTGACCAAAGTCCCAAAGGCCTTAAAGATAATCAATTTGATGGCAACATGATAAGTGCCTTCCATTTATTTCTCAAGCAGGTGAGCAGCCCATCCTGACAGCCCTTAATGAGTGGTAGCACACTTGATTGTAAGCTAGAAGGTTGCAGTTCAATCTTCAATTCAGAGACCTCTTTTTTTTTTTTGTTAAATGTTCACATTTGTGGGCATCGCTGATGTTAGATTTTGGGGATTTGTGAGCTTAAAGTACCCAGTATGGTTGGTCAACCATTCTTCAGGAATTTTCAGGTGGTTTCCTAAGCTTGTTAGGAAGTGATAGTTTAGATATGATATGTTAGTTAATTATACACAATAATTCCAACTATGCTAATTGAGGATGTTGATACCAGATGATGAACAGGCACTTGGCACAGTGTATTGTTCTCATTAATGTTGTAAAGGCAGCATCCTGCTCTCTAGACGAAATGTTAGGACATTCTTCCCTGGATATTCCCTCAATCTCTTCTACTCCATCTTCCATTTGGAAAAGAGAGTTCCCTGGTTAGTTCATTCTAGGATTTGCCTGTGACCTGTTGAGGGATTCTTTGTAATCAGGCTTTTGGACTTGATCGAGAGATTCAACATCAGGGATGGAGATCCATTGCAACTCACCCCATTGTCAAGGCCTCCAACCCATTTGATCCCACAGTCCTGCAACCTCCATCCCATGACCCAAAAACTGCCTTCATCCACAAATGTATTGTATCTAAACTACTGCCCCTTGCAAGGACGTTCTGATGGGAACTGCCCTCTCACCCTGAGCCCTTGTTGATGTAGCCTGTTTCTAAGGGGCTGGAGTTTACCTGTGTCAATCACCCATTTGAATCCTTCTAGCCAGTGGACATGGGACAGCTACTCATGACTCTAATTCCCACCTTCACCTGAAGGTTATGTTTAATTTCATTTAAGGAACAAAGCTTTTATTTTCCGAAACACTACATTGATAATAGGGTACATATGGTAACTCCTAGTTTCTTGTCAGCTTATAGAATGACCTTGGTGGTCTTTTATTGTCACCTCCCTTTTGTCTTGTTTATTAGGAGTTGTTTATGTTTGGGGAAAGCAAGTAACTGCTCATGCAGTAAATAAGATCTCATGCTACACGGAAACTACTGGGGAAATTCAATTTTAAAGCAACCCCAATGTCTAAAACTGGCCTGTTTGGAATTTGTTGCCCATGCATAATTGCCCTTGACAAGGTGGTAGTGAGCATCTGACAACAAAGCATCCAGCAGGGATCCACAATTGCCAAGAGACCAGGCTAAAGGTGGATCAAGGCGATTTTTGGATCATGGGATGGAAGTTGCAGGACTATGGGATCAGGTGGGTCGGAAGCCAGAGCAATGGGGTGACTTGCAATGATCTCCATTCCTGATGGTGAATCTCTCAGTCAAGTCCAAGATACCTGATTACAACGAATCCCTCAAGGGGCCATGGGCAAATCCTAGAATTTTGCTGGACAGCCATCCAAGGGCATGGAAAAACCATGCATCATTCATTTAATCTTTGAGACACCTCCAATACATGGTGGATTTGGGGATGATTTGTGCCTCACTAATGAACCTAATGGACTTCCCCATCGGTGGCAACCAGGCATCTTGTATTAGCCCCTGCCATTTCCGATTTAATCGGGGAGGTTTTTCTGCTGCTGAGAGATTGAAATGAGGCTTCTCCTGTGACTAGGTGGGCCTAGTCGTCATGTTTCCCAATGATGGGATGAATTAAATCGAGCCCGTTGTCATGTACAATTCGTAATTATTGTTCAATCTGAAGTGACCAGCAGTAAGTTGAAGCCACTGACATAGTTATGCCTTTCCTGCTACTGTAGTTGTTTAACTTGAGATTAGTTTAGTTTAAATGTTGTCAATATATACGGTAAGACGCTATAAACATCATCAGTTGAAGCCATGCATGTGTATCTTGGTCTTAGTCACTAATGAGTTAATTAGAGACAGCGAAGCTCAGCACTGAATTATAGCCACAATGCAGAGAGAAAAGTCCTCGCCAGGAAACTATTTTTGTATCAGCCTTACTCTGAAGACTTTTTTTCTCTCGCCTTTTGTATAACTCACTTGTATCTTCAGACCAATTTGGGTCTATTCTTGACACAAGTTTGATTAAATTTGATTGGGCTGATAAATAAGAGGTTTTACTTTGGTGCATTGTGCTTATGATTTTGCCAGGAACTTCAGTGTGACTTCACCTTGGCAAAATTGTGCAGGGTTCTGGCTAGTCCGGGTAAATTTTGTTGGTTGCTTCCTAAGCAGAAACACCACTCCAGGTTTACGAGAACATTTTAAAAAATGTGTAATTTTTTTTTTGCCTTAGGTGGCATCCTATGATTTTAATCTACCCATCATTATCAATGGGAGTACAACACCATCTCCTCCTCCAAGTTCTATACCACCTGATCCGTATGATGAAATATCTGTAGGTTCTTCTGAAGTACAATTACTGAGTCCTGCTACTCCATCTCGCAGAGTGCAAGCTACCGGTAAGTTCAGTGGAAAGAGAAAATGTCAACGCAAGCACTTTTTAAAAATAGTTTCCAAGTGTGTGTTTCTCTAGATGTCTATGCTTTAATGTGATATTTGAAACTTGTGCTGCTTTGCTTCACTAAGTTTAAAAATAAATCAGCGTCCTTCATAGTCATTTAAGGGTTGTCTTGAGAAAGGTTTTGTCGTGTTAAAGTGAGTTCATGGATTTGCACACGGGCATACAAAAAAAAGGGGGAGAAAAATTCATCTGGCCAGTGTGTCTGGCCTGTCCAGTTCAATTTGAAACTTAATTATTAAAAAACCAAATCCTTTGCAGCAGTCTTTAAGTTCCAGGACCTGTGATTTCCAGGATCCAATTTGCTTCTTTTCTCAGATCAAGAGTTTACATCTGCATTCTTCAAATCCATGGGAAATAACACTGAGGTTCGAATAAGTGAACTGGCAGCTCATGTACTGCTTCAATCGCACTTTCCCTTAGATACAGAAGCAGCCAGTAACTGTATCAATAGTTACTTCAGTCTTGCTTTTCCCTGGATTTGGCTGTTCCAAATCAAACCATTTAAACTTTCGATTGTTAAAACAATGCCAAATATCAAGAGAACTGCTCTCTAAATTGGTTGCATCGTTACTATTCTTACTCTTACTGTTGCACTGGAAGCTATAATGTATGTGGAGAATCCCTTTGAAACAACTCTGTATCCAACTGCCTCAAAACCATTTTAGCTTCCTCTGATTATCAATAAACCTCCCTTTTCTTACAGCTATAAGTGTACCTCCTCTTTTGTATGTAAAGTTTTTGGCTGTCCCTTTTCTAATCCCATCCATTTTGGATTCCCTTGTGCCATTGCAACTACACTTCAGATACATTTATTTTCCAACATATTGCAACAAAGTTCTTAATGGAATCACGTATCTGTTAATACACTATTTCCTTCATTCATCCTTTACTGTTAATATATAAAAAAAATTTTCTTGACGGTATGTTTTGTGTCTTTTATAAAGTAGACTCTATCGATCCTCATCATTAAAGCTCCATAAAATGTTGCTACTATCATCAGCTGCCTTGCATTCCCTTAACCTAATTTTCCATAACTTGTTCTATCAATGCTGAGCCATCCTGTTCTGTGGGTTTATTTACTTCCCATCCTTTGTGGCCTTTCAGAAGGTGGATATGGACCTTCTTCCTGAACCCCTGAGGTGAATACAGTTATTTCTATAGTGCTGTTAGATCAGAAGTTCTCAAAACTTATCCCTGCGATGTTGAAGGAACAACGATGTATGCCCAATTCAGGATAACGTGTGACTCTCAGGCACTGAAGGTCATGAGTTTTAGATATGTATCAAAGAAGCCTTGGCACATCACAAAATTATTCTGTGGATTGTGTACACTGCAGTTATAGTACACTGGTGGTCAAGAGGGTGTACATTTCTGTCAGTAGATGATTGCCAATCAAATGGACTGCCTTCTCCTGGATGGTGTTAAGCATTTGAATATTGTTACAGGTGAGTCCATCCAGGCAAGTGCAGAGTATTCCACGACAATATGCCATTTAGGTCATCAGGAGTTGCATTAATTGCTGCAAAATACTCAGCCTCTGGCCTGTATTAATAAGCAAGATACTTAAGTAACGTGCCCTATTGAATTTTTTGTCAGTGCTGACCACCAGAATGTTAATGGTGGACATAGAAGATCATAGAATCCCTACAGTGTGGAAACAGGCCCTTCGGCCCAACAAGTCCACACTGACCCTTGGAGCATCCCACCCAGACCCATTTCCTTATAACCCATCTAAGCTACACATCCCTGAACACTATGGGCAATTTAGAATGACAAATCCACCTAGCCTGCACATGTTTGGACTTTGGGAGGAAAGCAGACCACCCTGAGGAAACCCACGCAGACACAGGGAGAATGTGCAAACTCCACACAGACAGTCACCCAAGAGTAGAATTGAACCCGGGTGCCTGGTGCTGTGAGGCAGCAATGCTAACCACTGAGCCACCATGCCGCTTGAAACTACTACATCTTAGTAGTTAATGTCATTGAATATCAAGGGGTGCTTGTTAGAATTTATCGTTTGAAATTGCCATTGCTAGGCACTTCTATGAACTTGTGCACATGTGAAAAGAAGCTGGAGTATGCCATTCATTCCCTAGTCTGTTGCATCATTCTATTATATTTTGACTGATATGATTGTGGCCTCAACTCTATATTCTCATCTACACTCAATAACCATTAACTCCTTTGTTAGTCAAAATCAATGTCCCTCCACCTTAAAAATGTTATATGATCCCACCTGCACTGTTATCTGGAGAGGAGACTTCCAAAGACTCATGATCCACTGAGAAAGATGTGCACTGTTTACAAAATAGAAGAGTCGTTTCTAGGCTAGTTCAAAGAAAGGAATTTTGACAAAGCATTTCTGAACCACCCTTGATTTCCTCTTGGGCAAGTTATCCTGATCTCCAAGTCTTCCACAATTTTCTGTGTGTGTACAAAGCATTGAATACCCCTTTACACCAATGTAGAATCTCTCTGCAGTTTAAGTGTGCTCCTGTATTATGTAACAAACTCTATAATGACAGTAAAATCAATGTAAAAATAAGTATTTGGAGTCAGAGATGTACAGCATGAAAACAGGCCCTTCGGTCCAACTCGTCCATGCTGACCAGATATCCTAAATTAATCTAGTCCCATGTGACAGCATTTTTTCAACGTATTGTAACATTGCATCATTCATAGAAAAAATAGACATCTTAAAGTAAATAGTGTTCTATTTTCTTCCACTGAAATTCTTCATATTGATCAATTCCAATTGAAAAATATATTTTGAAAATTTGTACAATTTATAAATTTATCCCAATTATCTGTATCTTAGCTGGTGACTATTCAGCATAAACTGAGTATTAAATGTGGAATTGCTCTGATCTATACATTTAATTTTGTATCAACCAAGCTTGGAGAAAATGCATTGCTTCTCCCTAGTCCCACTACTCCACTGTCCATAAGATATATTTAGATGTTTTACCCAGTTATCGATATGGCCAATTACATACTTTTTCTCTACTAGTTGTTAACAAATATTCTCCAATTCATCACAGTTTCAGCTTGAATACCCCAAGCTGTTAAACCTCAGGTGTGGAGGGATGAACTGGCTCCACTTCTTTATTTATCCACCCTCTCACCAGATTTCAACATAGATAATTTAAAAAGGATCCCTTCCTTTGTCAATACCTTTCTCCCAGACCAAAATGAACAGCTGTATAATATTAGGGTTTCAAGTCATCATGTAACATAGTTAAGAATAAAACAGAGATCAACCATTCCTTATTAGCAACAAAATTATTGATTTATTAGTGCATATAGTAATCTAATATGTTATCTATTTATTACAAACAGGACTTATTTGACAAAGATGTAAAGCTGATTAGCACAGTTTAAAATATGAATGCATAAATATCTTTTCTTCCTTCAAAATAATCCAACTCACCAATTAGAAGAAAAATAAAGGAACTTCCTCAGCAGAGAATATGCTTGAATCTGGGATCTTGAGATGTTGAGAAAATATCTTCTCAGGGAGAATAGCTGTTTCAGTTTTTCAGCTTTCACATGGAATGCTCGAGAATCTCTGGAAGGCCATAGACACATAACTTTCAATAAGTTCAAAGAGTTAGCTGAATGTCCTACCTTTCTAGTGGGAGAAGGAATTACTTTTCCTTTTGAAAAGAATTCCCTGTACCTTCGGGTATCTTGTTCAATTACCCCACACTCTTAGTCGTGCTTGTACTTGGCCTCACAGTCAAACATACAAACTATCATATTCTTGGTCATTACCTTTCCTTTATGATGAACCCACCAAGTTCCTATGGGTTTACCATATAACTTTTAGCAAGCTGTAAAGGATGTGCCCAACCTTGTGTCAATGGAAACATTTTGCCCGTTGGACATCAATTCCACTCACAACACTTTCCTTACTGGCATCATGATGAGACCTTGCAGTATTCACTGCTGTGCATTCTCATCTCTGGTTACTTGCCTTCTTTTCACCCACCCACCTGCTATTCCTCTTTGGTTTATAAGCACGACAGAGAAAGGGTTTGGACTTGTGGACAAGCTTATAATCATAAGTCATATCCGCTGACTGTTGGTGTCTTCTGATTTTCTGTTTGTGTTCTTATTAATGGAAGGGGTGAACTTTTAAATGCGTCCAAGTGAAATATTTCCCCAAGGATCTTGTGTGCAGTTTCTACTTTTAAAGCCCACATGCAGTGATCAAAGTTATTTTTTCTTTGCCCTCTCAAATTTGTGTCTACTGAGACTACGTCTGAATGTCCTGAAATTTCTGCCTGTAAGTCTCCTGAACTAACTCGTGTATACCCAGAATAGCCTTTTCTTTCATATCATAATCTGTTAAAGCATCCTCAGAAAGCATGGCATAAACTTCAGGAACTTTGACATTCCATGGCTTTGTGTAAGTAGTGTCCAGCTTTGTTTTGGACACCTCATCTGTTTAGCTATCATTCCAAAAGAAACAGTAACTGCATCCACATTTATCCAACATTCCAACTTTTCAAAATGCTCTTTTTTTCCTTTTATTCTCTATACCACAATTTCCTCCACAGGTTCAAGTTTTCTCATTTCTACTTCTCTTTTCTGTTCATGTTTCCTTTTCCTTTCTTTCCTATTTCAAGCTTCTTCACCTGCAACTCAATTCTAACTGATTCAACTCATTTACTATTTGGTTTCCCTTTTGCTTTTTTGCCTCTTTCAATTTCAGATGCTGTTCTAATACCTCAATGATGCCAGATTCCTTATGCTGTTCTTTTAACTACAACTCCAACTTTGCTGTCAGTATATTAGTTTAACCTTGGTTAATCCCTCAAGGAAAAATTCTTCTTTTCCAGAAAGGCTGGAGCAACCTAACACACAAAGAATGGTTTTATAAGCTTCACACCAGTGCACAACAAATCTTGCATTATAATAACTCCACTTCTAATTGCACATTGCTGACTTTGGGTTATCCCGTAAGAAGCCCAATTTTATGCAACAACTGAGGTTGCATATCTTTCTCTCACTCTGTCTCATCCCACTGCTACACTGTTCGCAACATATTTTTAAATGTTTTGCCCAGATATCAATGTGGCTAATAATATCCTTTATTTACGTCAGGTTCACAGTAAAAAGATCCATCAATCAAGTATCTTTAATCAACAACAAAATTATTAATTTAAAATATAGGATATAATCAATGAAGATGCAAAGCTAATTAACACAATTCTGAAATATGGAAGTACAAATATTTACAATTCTAAACAACCAACATGCACATGTAGACACACACACCAGTTAAAGGAAGAGAAATGAAACTTTTGCGGAGATTAACTTTGAAAAAAATCTTTGGCTAAATAATTATTCATTCTCAGGAATAAAAATAAAGAAATGAAATTTCCCGTATAACTTTCAGCCTGGAATTCTTGCACATTTAGATAGGTGTCACGAGACGCAGATAGTTGACCTTAGATTATGCATTTGCCCTTGGAATCTTTTTACCCACAGTTCTTTCAAGAGCTATCAAGAGGAAGTCTTCTTGATGCTCCTCAGGGAGAATAGCTGTTTCAGTTTGCAGCTCCCTCAGAGAACTTTGCATTTCTCCCAAAGGTGGCAAAGGCTGAGCTGGAGGTCTTCTGTCATCATAAACACCACAGCTGAACTCCAAACAGTTCTGAAATACCATAATTAACTCAGCCGTTTGCTAATGTCATGTGACTTCTAACAAGTTTTTTATAAAATGTGCCCTATCAGTGACCCTTTTCAAAAAAAATCAGGTCCAGGTATTTCCTCAGTATTTAAAATGAATTAATTTTTGCAATCTATTAGATATGAACAATTTAAAAATGTTAATAATGGAAATATTTTTGGAACAATATTTAATTGATTCATTAAGGATTGTTTTTATTTTCTATTTTATATGCAGCATTCACTTTTTATATATTCACTTTCTTTTGCATTTGTTAAATTGCTAAATTGGTTTTCTGTCTTTCCGCAAAACAGATGATCAACTAACACAATGATCTTTTATCTTTCAGTACTTTGTCCACCACTTGAGCTCTCAGATACCAAGTTGGAATTCTCACTTCTGCCAGGATACAACGATATAGGTGCTATCATAGCTGATCCATTTGTAAAAGTACAGTATATCATGATTACTATGAATATTTTCTCATTTTATTTTGCCTTCATAATCATGAAGTGGCATATTCTTTGTCCTTCTTTAAAAGTTATCTTTTTGTCATTTCTTTTAGAAAATTGAGATACACAACACTTCCTCCAAAGAAATAAAATGGTTGTTTGATTTGGACAGTCAACAAAATTCTGCCCTTGAAGATGGCACTTTTAGAATCTTTCATTACTATGGAAGTCTTAAACCAGGAGAAAGGCATTGCATTACAATTGGCTTTTGCCCACGTAAGTTTTTACAATAAAATTAATTTAAAAATTTTCTGCAGTAGCAATCAACAAAATACATTTGAAATTTAGGTAGTGCTAAAGGGCTAATTCTCTTGCACAACTATCTGACACAATTTCAAAAATAGTTGTCTTAGTTTTCATTGAATATAAATTCATTCATTTGGTCTCTGGATTGCATTTTATTTATCTTGAGGAAAACTTAATATTTGCTTTTGAAGTAGCTGTTTTGTAGTCCTTGTAGTTGGCAAGAAAGCTGGTTTGCAATGCAGAGTGATGCCAACAGCGTGCGTTCAATTCCTGCTCCAGCTCAAGATAACATGAAGGTCCCACCTTCTCAACCTTATCCCTCACCCAAAGCATGGTCACCCTCAGGTTGAAAACAGAACCAGTTATCTCTCTCTAATGAGGCAGCAGTCCAATGGTCTTTTGGGACTATGGTGAATTTATTGATCAAGAACTATGAAGTTTGCTTCTTTAAGATAAATAGTAACAAGTTAAATGCTCGCAAGAAAATACCATCTGGTGGGGAAGAGGACTTACCATCATGACAGTTTCAAGACTCTGCTACATCCAATAATGAATTATAAAGAAAATACTGACTGACACTGAATTGAATGTCTTTCAATATTGTAGCAACTTTTACTATTTGCAATACTTTGTATAAACAATGAACCCACAATATATCACACGATATGCCACAAATTGTGGTGTCAAGTATTTGATAGTTGATAATTATTGTCTAAATTTAATATGTATACATCCATGAGGAATATGTGACTGAAATATTTTAAACATGTGAATCACATCTCCCTACCTATCTGTTTTAATTCAACAAGAATATATTGACTTTTGTTTCAGTTTTCATGACTTAGAACCATAAATTCTAGAAGACCTTTTGTCGGCCTCTGACCTTTCTCCATGTGTCACTGATAATTTGAATATTGGGGCATGAGATTGTGCTCCATAATTCTGCTGGTGCAAACACTGGAAGTACAAAATGGACTGTACTTCTAGTCAAGACTGCAGTGTGCCCCATGCAAGCATGGTGTCAGCACCAGGAGCATTTGATGCCTGCAGAATTGTGACAGCAATCAACCATTCCAGTTGATTTGACATGTCTTTGAAACTTGTACTGCATGTATCCACTGAATTCCAGTTCTATTCAGTCTCAGCTCAACATGCTTTCAGCTGCAGAAGGAATTTCACCCACACACACTATTTAAAGGACCAGGCTCCAACTTTCAGTTGAATTATTTTTGACTTCTGATGTTGAAAAACTTGTGAAGATATTGTGGAATATTCTGAGAGTGTTCCATTAACTAAACTTGTTGATGCATCTATACAGGGAGTGGGGGGGTGGGGGACAGGGGCTTTGTTGACGTGTTCACAGGAAGTCTGCAATAGGGATGGAAATTATCATTGCTGTTCATCTCTCAGTCTGCCACATGACAGACAAATGATGCAGAGACTGCAGAGAGGTAAAGCTGGACATAAGAGAGGCTTCTCTACAAAAGTCCTTTCCCACTGAGGGTTTTCAGGGGGTGCTTCTCTCAGCTTCCCATCCAAGAACTTGAGGACCTGAGATTCACTACGGTGGTAGTCACAAAGCTACTGTTACTCCTTCAACACAATCTGCAGTCTCACACCAGGGAAATGTTCGGGGGACACAGGTTCACATCTCACCATTGCAGCTCATGGAACTTAAATTCAATTAATAAATTTGGAATGCAACGCTATTCCCAGTAAAAGTGGCTATGACAATTATTAATGAATGTTGTTAAGACTACTTGGTTCACAAATCATTTTCAGGGAAAGAAACCTGCCATCCTTATATGATCTGGCCTTAACATGACTCATAATCATTTTCTGAAATGGCCAGCAAATCGCTCAGTTACAAATGGGTAGCAATTACTGAGCGTTCAACATTACATGAAAGAACTAAAAAAAAAACTAACAGCTGTGATGGAGAATCCACTGAAACTCTTTTGAGTGAAGTAAACAAAGGCAGGTAATCCAAGTAGATTATATCCACTGGATTACCTTCATTCGTTTACCTCACTCAAAAGAATTTCAATGAAAATTGATATAGCCACTCTTACTGAGAATAGCTTCATATTCCAAATTTTTAAACTGAATTTAAATTTCATGAGCTGCAATGGTGAGATTTGAACCTATATCCCTAGAATCATTTAGCCTAGTAATGTAGATTATTCATCTAGTGGCATTACCACTTTTCCACCATCACTGCCTACACCTTCGCTCTGTAATTACTTGATATTTTGAATAAATTTTAAAGTTTGCTAGTCTCTCTGTAGAGAGTGATGTTGAGATTGTGGTGGTTGGGGGCACTGTACTTTAAGGACCCACAAATATTTTTACATTATTTCTGTGCTTGTTTACTTTTCAGGGTGTCCAGGCAAATATGGATGTGATATACCCATGTTTATTAACGAGGACAGAACGAGCCCATATCGAATAATCACTTTGATTGGTGTTATACACACCCCAAAATTGTTCATCGATCCCCCCTTTGTGATCCTGAACCCAGTTCCTCTGGGCACGGAGATATCAACAACAGTCCAAATTACTTGTTTGGACTATAGAAGGTTGGATTTTGATTTATATTCCTTTAATTTGTTCTACTTTGAGCCTGAGTCCTAAACATTATTTGTGTTGTTGTTTTACCATCGACTTCATCAAATGACACAAAAATTATTAGAAAAGAAACTCAGATAAAAAGAAAATCTGAGAGCTACTGAAATTTGAAATAAATATTTCAATATTTAGAAGGAATATAATTAACATTTTGCAAGCACACGGTTATCATATGTCTTAACAGGGATTTTTTACCTTGGTTTGCTCTTTGAAAGTTGTAAGGATGTGTTATGTATATGGCACTCATTGTTTATGCGGTGAAATATACAGGGTGACCAAGAATAACATAATTTTGCAGTCCCTCATATGACATTTGTAAACTGCTTTTATAGCGTCTGATGCTATTGCTTACTTCTGACAGTTCATAATTGATCTTCAAAATCTGCTGATGCTTTCATTGTTTTGCAAATAAACCAAACTTTGTGTCATAATTTTGAGTTTTTTTTTTGGTAACATTTGATTATAGATAAAATCTACAAACTCATGTCACAATTTCAACACGTTTATTGATAATTAGTTGAATCATTCTAAACACATTTTTATAAATAAAATTTCTGCAATTGAAACCTCTTTTGCCTGAAAAAGGATTGTAGTTTTTTAAAATTACGAGTTTTCATAAAAACATTGCATTTTCATAACTTTATTTTTGTGACTTTTTTTTGGTAAAGGAGCTTGTTTGTTTAATATCTTGATTTATTTATTTATTTGAAAATTGTAGCCTGTGATAGGCTGTAGCCTGTAACCTGTGCCGTAGATCTATGATAAGACTTCTCCAGTATGGTGAATCTGCCAGTGGCAGATAAACTAAAATTAACTTTGCACTTTTTTCAAATAGAAAGTCATGGGTATAAAAAATAGCAGACTACTTATTACACCTACTTAATTTCCTCTGATTGCAAGTACTTTAACTGTTGTAGAGCAGATGGAGCCAAACAGAGTCAGCAAGGAGAGCAGTAGAATTTTAGTTCTGCCAACACCATTGCTTTCCCTTCCCCTCTTTCCATGGCTGACTAACACAGATCTACCTGCTCTTCCACCTCCACCTCATCTTGCGGTACTACCTTGTTTCCTTTATCTTCCACCACTAAATTACCTGTGTTTCCAACTATATTACCAACTGACATGCAAGGCCTATCAGGGACGTGCAATTATACCAAAAGTGAGGGAAAGTAGGGAGAGAGGGAAGGGACTAAATCAAAATGGAATTGAAGGGTGAAATAAGGCAATCCACCCGCTGTGGTGCCCACCTTTCTTCAAAGTCAAATTAGTTGCCGCCCATCCCGTGGAATTCTCAAAATCTGGGAACTCCACTCAAGATCAGCCAAAATTCAGCATCGTTCCCCAGTCTTCCTAAACCCAACACTATCTCTCTTTCTTCATCTCTCTCCTGCTTTAATCCCCTGCTTAATTCCTTCCTTTGAATAATTTAGGTGACTGTTTTGTATCTTCTTTAATGGTTTGGAACAGTACTCTTGGCATGGAGGCAGGAAACAAGAGCTGGGTCTGTTTTTCGAGTCAGAAATTAGTGGAAAACTGACTAAAATTTGGATGTTTGAAGGTGTGATGCCTTAATTGATTTGGAGATGCATTTCCTGCCCACTTAGAGCCAGTGGAAGTGGAAAGGCAGTGGATAACATTAAAGTGGGACTCATTTAGTCATCCTTGAACAGTCTTCACTGAGGCTGCTCATTGCCCTGATGAAGGTATCTGTGGTTGATCCCAAAGTCTTTCACAGAACCAGAGGGAAGTAAGATATCAGAGGGGGGAAGAAGGCGTGGTTCCAAGGGCAGGGCAGCCAGTTGCTTCATCCTGCCCTCTTAGGTCTCACGATGAGGGAGAGAAGAGGAGTCGTGTTTTGAGAGACTGGCAGGTGGAAGCCTGTTAAAATGCTTGTGGAAAACATGTGACAATGTAGTGTTGACCATTTATAAAGTTTGATCTACTTTGATTATGCCTGAAAATTGTGATGTCAGATTTAGTATTAATAGGATAACTTCTCATGTGCAATTTCATGGGAGATTTCTATAATAGAATTCCTATATCCTTGAATATGAACCCAAAAGATTTGATGATGGCACTCCTTTATTCAGATGCAAAATGTGTGTCGAGGTGTTCGATATGGCTGCTTGCTCATTTCATTTGAAAGTACGGCACCTGCTATACTGTTAAAGGCAGAAAGTGGCTTATGCCTGAGGCTGACATAAAGACCTTAATGCCAATTTGAGACCCTATATTTTATATGTTTACTACTGAATAGCTCTTAAGTGACTGTTTTGGTGGTGGCCTGCAGCAATGAGTTTAAGAATCTGAATTGTTCAAGTGAGAGATTCCTTTACACTACTCCAGTGTGATGTTGATCAGCTCCTCCTTCCCAGTCACCAAGATTCTCCCCTCCTTCCCCATCACTTCCCCACCCTTTCCCACTCAGTTCCATCTTACTCAATTCTTCACCTGATGTGTATGCTCCCTCTTGATCACTCCCTCCTATATGCTGAGCGTTATTGTTGGCAAAACATGCAGAAGGTGATTTAAAAAACACATAGGTCATAATTCCTGTCTCAGGCACCACTTCTGAAGCTTTACACTTTACCTTGATTCTTTGAATTTTATGTTTAGATTATTCTTAACATCGACTGCTAACTCTCACCCCAGTACAGTATTTCAATGAAATTGATTTTGATCCCACGAAGACAAGCAATCTGTTATTTGTTGGAAAATTGAATAACTTTGTTGAAGTGAGAGGAGAATACGACCCGTAAGCACGTCTATGCATTTTTCAATATCATTGGATGTCCCAAAACACTTTACAACCAATGACGCATTCCTAAACTCAAATAAACAAGTTTAGCATTGTATTCAGAGATAGTAAGAACTGCCGATGCTGAAGTCTGAGATAACACAGTGTGGAGCTGGACGAACACAGCAGGCTAGGCAGCATCAGAGGAGCAGGAAAGCTGACGTTTCGGGTCAGGACCCTTCTTCAGAAATGGGGGAAGGGAAGCGGGCTCTGAAATAAATAGAGACGGTTGGGCGGGGCGGGGGTGCGCGGTGATAGCAGGTAGGTAGTGGTGGGGATTGGTCACTGAGGTGGGAGGAGCGGATAGGTGGGAGAGAAGACGGACAGGCCAATGAGGCGGGGATGAGAGGGGAGGCTGGTCTTGGGATGAGGTCGGGGGTGGGGAAATTTTGAAGCTAGTAAAGTCCACATTGAGACCATTGGGTTGTAGGCTTCCAAGGCGGAATATGAGGTGCTGTTCCTCCAGTTTCTGGGTGGCATCGTTGTGACACTGGAGGAGGCCCAGGATGAACATATCGTCCAGGGAGTGGGAAGGGGTGTTGAAGTGGTTCGTGACTGGGAGGTGTTGTCGTTTGTCACAAGCCGAGCGTAGGTGCTCTACAAAGCGATCTCCGAGCCTCCGCTTGGTCTCACCGATGTAGAGGAGGCCACATCGGAAACAGCGGATACAATAGACCACGTTAGCAGATGTGCAGGTGAACATATGTTTGATGTGGAAGGTTTTTCTGGGGCCTGGGATGGAGGTGAGGGGGGAGGTGTAGGGGCAGGTGTAGCACTTCCTAGGGTTGCAGGGAAAGGTGCCGGGGGTGATGGGGCTTGTGGGGAGTGTGGAGTGGACGAGGGAGTCCTGGAGAGAGTGGTTCCTCCAGAAGGCAGATAAGGGTGGGGAGGGAAATATATCCTTTGTAGTGGGGTCAGATCGCAGGTGGCGGAAGTAGCTCCCATGAGGGAGCTCCCACGATGAGCTCGAACAGTTCATCAACTTTACTAACATCTTCCACCACAACCTCAAGTTCCCTCTTCTGCAGCTACACTGGCGCTATCCCCCACCTCTTCCTCTGCTACATCGATGACTGTATTGGCACCGCCTCGTGCTCCCATGAGGAGCTCGAACAGTTCATCAACTTTACAAACACCTTCCTCCCCAACCTCAAGTTCACCTGGATCATCTCTGATACCTCTGTCTCCTTCCTGCACCTCTCTGTCTCCATCTCTGGTGACCACCTTGAAACTGATATCTATTTCAAGCCCACCGACTCCCACAGCTACCTAGACTACGCCTCCTCTCACCCACCTTCCTGCAAGAATGCGATCCCCTACTCCCAATTCTTCCGCCTCCGCCGCATCTGCTCCCAAGGTGAGGCGTTCCACTCCTGAACATTGCGGATGTCCTCGTATTTCAAGGACCGCAACATCCCCCCCCTCAGTGGTTGAAAACGCCCTCGACCGCATCTCTTACATTTTCCACACCTCAGCCCTCACACCCTCTCCCTGCAATAAAAACATAGACAGAATTCCCCTTGTCCTCACGTATCACCCCATTAACCTCCAGATTCAACGCATTATTCTCCGCCATTTGTGCCACCTGCAATCTGACCACACTACAAAGGATATATTTCCCTCCCTACCCTTATCTGCCTTCTGGAGGGACCACTCTCTCCACAACTCCCTTGTCTGCTCCACACTCCCCACTAGCCCCACCACGCCCGGCACCTTTCCCTGCAACCGCAGGAGGTTCTACACCTGTCCCTACCTCCCCCTTCACCTCCATCCCAGGCCCCAAAAAAATCTTCCTCATCAAACAGATGTTCACCTGCACATCCACTAATGTGGCCCATTGTATCCGCTGTTCCCAATGTGACCTCCTCTACATCGGTGAGACCAAGCGGAGGCTTGGAGACTGCTTTGTGGAGCACCTACGCTCGGTTCATAACAAATGACAATACCTCCCAGTCGCGAACCACTTCAACTCCCCCTCCCACTTCCTGGATGACATGTCCATCCTGGGCCTCCTCCAGTGTCACAACAATGCCACCCGGAAACTGGAGGAACAACACCTCATATTCCGCCTTGGAAGCCTACAACCCAATGGTCTCAATGTGGATTTTACTAGCTTCACAATCTCTCCATCCCCGACCTCATCCCAAGACCTGCCCCCCTCTCATCCCCGCCTCATTGACCTGTCCATCTTCTCTCCCACCTATCCGGTCCTCCCACCTCACTGACCAATCCCCACCACTACCTACATGCTATCACCGCCCCATCTCTCTATTTATTTCAGAACCCCCTTCCCCTCCCCCATTTCTAAAGAAGGGTCCCGACCCAAAGCGTCAGCTTTCCTGCTCCTCTGATGCTGCCTGGTCTGCTGTGTTCCTCCAACTCCACACTGTGTTTCACATTGTATTTATTGTTTGTCCAGGTTCTGTTCAGCTGTAATTTAACTTGCACACTGTAATAATTCATGCTGAAATGTTAAAGAACTTGCGAGTGATGTCTTAAAGGGGAATGATCATTTCTTGTCTGTACTATAATTTACCTTTGCAAAATTTAATGAAAAAATTGATTTGGTTTCAGTGACTGTATACTCCAAGCTGAAGTTCCAGAAATAGAAACCGAAGACGGGAATTGGATTAATCCTTTTACTTGTCAGTTTCCTGAAGGTTCAACTTTGCCATTTCAGAGTGAAACCATTAAAAGCGTAACATGCTGCATTACCTTCTGTTCATTCAGTCCAATTTCAGTATCAGTGGATGTTACATTAATTGATCAGGACAGAAAAAGGTAATAAAAAATGTCAGTACACAAAAGTGCACTGGTATTATAGAGTTGTTGGATTTCAATGTATGCAAATAAATTGATATAAGAAAATATGTTCAAGCAACTGAAATACTAGTAAACCACATCCTTTACTTTACAAAATACCAATTTCTGGATAGCCAATTTTGTTCACTCTGTTGGATTTTATTCATTGACTATTTTTATGGACTCTGCAGTGTTCAGTGTTAATAATAAAAGTTGAATACTTCAAGGAAGTGTCTTCATATGAAAAAAAGATCCTTTATCAACTTTTGGATAATAACCTTTCATTTTGTAATGTATGATTTTTTGAATAGATTCATCCAGGATTTGACACCTAAAGCTGCTCTGCTTTAGAATTCCCCTAAATCTGTGCAGATGTAGAATGGATATGGAATGAAACTTGCTTTCTTTCTTTGCAAATACTCTGAAGAATAGATAACTTGAAGGTCACCTGTAATGATTGGAACTAGGTGGATCTCGTTGACTATGAGATCCTTGATTGGGTTTGTGAACCTGGTCCAATCAGGAAAACCCTGGTTGACCGATATAACCAGGGGATTAGAATCTCCTCAGTCTGGGGACTGACTCCGAGCTGGCTGGCCTCAGCCACTGTACTGTGCACAACTAGATAAAAGGTGACTTGGTGATGGGATACTGGCCTGTGTGCAGTTATTTCATCATACAAAACCTAAATGTGATGATGTCTAAACTACTCCTGATATCAAACTCTGTTTATGGCTTTACAAAGGAAAGCTGAAGTACTTTCTGGAACAAAAAGGGCTGTTCATCCTTGTAGGTAGTTGGCAAAGCATACAATAATTTGAACGTAATGGCTACAATGCTATCCTGAAGTCACCACATACTTTCTTCGTAAATAATTTGGGGTTAATTTGTTCATGATTGACAAAGAGGGGGAGATACTAATTTACAGAAGATAGGATTGCATGAACAAGAGTGGGATGTTCAAAACTTTCCATCATTCAGGTAGTCAATGGTTAAATCCATATCCCTCATCTTTATTAGCTAGCTTTGCTCCATATTTCTTGATATATTTACCTAATGAATATCTTTTGATCCGAGTCTTGAAAATGTGGACTAAACCTTTTGGAAATAATTAGACTGCTGCTACTCTTTGTGTGTAAAGTGCTTTACTAAATTTGGATTATCAAAAGTTTGCCTTTAAAAGTTTGATTTATTGTGCAGTGCTTGTGACAAACTGTACTCTTGTCCTGGTGCAGGTTTGCATTACCAGTCTCGGCATCTGCAGATAATTGCCTATTATCTGTATATAGGTATATTGCCCTCCACAGTGCAGACCAACATGTTGTCCTCAAAACTGGTAAGTGTTCATGAAATTACTCTTTTATCAGTGTACATTAACGTTAACCCTATTAATTTCCACGGGTGATGCCTGGCTTGTTGAATATTTCCAGCATTTTCTATTTTTGTAACAATACATTAACAAATTTTAACTTGTTCTGGCAGTAAGAACTGCTACTTTCAATCCGGTTATGAAGATGTTTCATACAAAATTGACCACGTGATAATCTATAACAGAAGTTCTTGTATCAGAGAGAAAACAAGACTAATACTTTCTGCAACAAGCATGAAGAATGCTGGAGAAGCTCAGCAGATCTGGCAGCATCTGTGGGGGAAGAAACAGAGTTTTTGAAATGCTATCTCTGCTTTCTCTCCACATATGCTACCAAATCTGTTGTTCCCTTGTTTCATGCATCTCTAACATCTGATTTAATTCTATCCCCTATATCACCCCCACAGTTTGGAGGCCTGTAAAAGAACTCCCATTAAACTTTCCACCACTTGTTGCTTCTTAGTTCCACACAGAGTAATTTTACATAAGACCATAAGACATAGAAGCAGAAATTAGGCCATTCAGCCCACTGAGTCTGCTCCACTATTCAATCATGGCTGATAAGTTTCTCAACCCCATTCTCCCGCTTTCTCCCCGTCACCCTTGATCCGCTTGATAATCAAGAATCTATCTGTCTCCATCTTAAATATACTTAATGACCTGGTCTCCACAGCCTTCTGTGGCAGTGAATTCCATAGATTCACCTCTCTCTGGCTCAAGAAGTTTCTCCAAATCCCTGTTCTAAAAGATCTTCCCTTTACTCTAAGGCTGTGCCCTCAGGTCCTAGTCTCTCCTACCAATGGAAACATCTTCCCAACATCCACTGTGTCCAGGCCATTCAGTATTCTGTAAGTTTCAATTATATTCCCCCTCATCCTTCTTAATTCCATCGAGTGTAGACCCAGAGTCCTCAAACATTCATCATATGTTAAGCTTTTCATTCCTGAGACTATTCTCGTGAACCTCGTCTGAACCCGCTCCAGGGCCAATACATCTTTCCTGAGATATGGAGCCCAAAACTGTGCACAATACTCCAAATGTGGCCTGACCAGAGCCTTAAAGAGACTCAGAAGTACATCCCTGCTTTTATATTCAAGTCCTGTCAAAATAAATGCCAAAGTTGCATTTACCTTCCGAACTACTGACTCAACCTGCAAGTTTACCTTGAGAGAATCCTGGACTAGAACTCCCAAGTCTCTTTGCACTTCAGACTTCCAAATTTTCTCCCCATTTATAAATAATCCCTACTTCTATTCTTCTTGTCAAAGTGCATGACCTCACACTTTCCCACGTTGTATTCCATCTGTCACTTCTTTGCCCACTCTCCTGACTTGTCCAACTCCTTCTGCAGCCTCCCTACATCCTCAATACTACCTGTCCCTCTACCTATCTTTGTACTGTCTGCAAATTTAGCCAGAATGCCCTCAGTTCTTTCATCTAGCTCATTAATGTATAATGTGAAAAATTGTGGTTCCAACACTTGTCACTGGCTGCCATCCTGAGACAGACCCTTTTAATCTAGACTTTGTGCACCAATATTCTTTCTCACTGTTACACTGATTTGATCTTTGCTAACAATGCCATTCCCCCTTTTCTACTTTGCCTGTCTTTCTTAAAGGTTGAATGACCTTGGACATTCAGTTACCAGTCTCATTGGTGCTGACAATGGACTACAACCAATTGTCTACAACCTCTGGCTGTTCTCCCTCCCCCCTCAGAATGTCCTGCAGATGATCAGTGACAGTCTTGACCCTGGCACCAGGGAGGCAACAATACCATCCTGGCATTAAGCCTGCAGCTGCAAAAACTCCTATATGTTCTCATATGATAGAATCCCCTTTCTCATCTCCTGTGCTGCTGAATCACTCCTGGTTCCACAGATTTGGCTGATGCTATACTCTCCCGAGAGACCATTTCCTCCAACAGGTGCCTGGTGCTTTTACGTTGCCTGGTAGTCACCCATTCCATTTCCACCTGTACACTCATTACCTGCATGTTTTTCACAAAGATCTCAGCTTTGTGAACACTCCATTGTGATTGCAGTTGCTGCTTTGGATCCAAAAATTGTACTTTCTGTACATAAGAAGTGTCCCTGACATCCCACATTGGACAGGTGGAACATTCTATTGCCTATCCATAACTTACCTTGAAGTTAGTCTTTTCTGTTTACTTCCTTTAGTTCAAAAGTATTAAATATATGCAAGAGACCTTACATTATCTTTCCTTACCGCACCTCTCCTCTTGTTTCGGGTCCTCACCGTGTATGCTGTTCTTAGTAATTTGACTCCCTATCTCAGGATCCTCACGACCCTGTTCCTCTCCAAGTGTTGCTTTACTTCCCCTACAAGACTTTCTATTGTGAGGCAAAGAGGTAACTAGAAAGGCGTTAGCGTTCACTTTCATATAATGGCTCTTGATGTTTTCCTTTGTTCAGAGCTGGCTGGGCTGGAAACAATCAATGTTTCCTGTCCCTGTGTGTCAGCTTTAACTGGAATATCTACATAATGCAGGGCGTTCAGAAAATTTTGGAAATATGATCATGTGATCAGCTTCAGCCATGGTTGAGTCCAGCAGTGTTAACCATTTTAAAAAGAAATAGAATTTAAACCCACATATGTGAAACCCAAACGTAAAAGTTTATTTTGAAATTTCTCTTCATGGTCTCTGATAGACCTCAAAGTAAAAGCACATCTAAGTAGCAAAAACAACAATATGATTGGATTTATATTCATCTGAAACAGAGGAATGTGATGACAATATTTTAAATTTAAATAAGGATAACTCTATAGGCATGAAAACTGAATTAGCTGATGCTAACCAGGATACCAAGCTAACAAATCAATAGAGAAACAGTGGTAGATATTACAGGAGTTATTTTAGAATATTTACAATTGTACATTCCTACGACAAAGAATAATTCCAAAAGAGGACTCACTATCTGCAGTTAATTAAAGAGTTAATTAAAACATTAAACTTAAGTAAACAACATATAATCACACAAACACGAGTAGCAGACAATTGGTCAGAATATTCAGAACTGCAGAAAATGACAAAAAGATTAATCAGGAAGAAATTAGAGTATGGGAAGAAGCTAGGTAGAAATGTAAAAACAGTAAGAGTTTCTGTAGATATCTGAACAAAGTAAGTAGTAAGTATTGGTCCTCTAGAGAGTGAGAGTGTGGTCTGAATAGGTAATAAGGAAATGATGGGTGATATGAGTGAATATTTTGTTTCTATATTCACTATAGATAATACAAAAAAGTTACAGCTGTAAATCGGGTGGTGGAGGAAAGAGACGAGTTCGGTGAAATTACAATCACCAAGGAAGCTGCATTGAGCAAATTGATGCAGTTACAGGCTGACAAGTCCCTGTGTCGTCATGGACGTTAACCAATTGTCTTAAAAGAGGTGGCTAATGATGTAGCGTTAATTTTCCAAAATTTGTTAGGTTCTGGATAAGTTCCATCAGATTGGAAGATAGCAAATATTAACCCCTCTATTTAAGAAGAGAACGAGGCCGGAAACAGTAAACTATAGCCCAGCCCTCTTGACGACTGTCTACGGTCTTTTTCTGAATGCGTCTTTTTCTGGATGTGATGAATGGAGTTTCAAAGGGGTGAGCTAAGGCCTCAAATGGCAGTGTCCACTGACACCAGCAAGTGCGAGGCAACCATACTCATGCACTTGCTCTGAAACGCGCATGACTCGAGACCCTTTATGTCATTGCATCATGTGCAAACTCCAACACTCTGCATGTACACAGAACAGGTGCGACGTTGAAATGGGAATTGGACAGGGCTGGCTGGGGAGGGAGAATGGATCAGTCTGCATGGTTGGAGAGAGAGAGAATGGAGATTCTCCTGTTCATCCACAGGCTTGATTTCTTCCACCACTCCAACAGGCCTGATCTCTTGTCCCACCACGCTCTCCATCCAACCCCACCCTCACCCCAAGTCAAATCTGTTCCCATCTCCCAAGCCCGATCACCTCTGCAATCCCCTCCTCTCCAACTCGATCTCTTTCCATTAGGTCTGACCCTTCCCCAACCCCTGGCCTGTTAATGTGTGTGCATATGGTTGTGGGGAATAGCACAAATGGTCTGCGGTGTCATCAAGTGCAGCCATATCAATTACTAGTTGCAGGGAAAGAAGGCGTGGTAGGTAAGTGTCGGTAACACACAGGTTTGTAGAACAATATGTTGGGAAGAGCAAGTAAACAGTAAGAGGTAGTAAGAACTGCTGATGCTGGAGTCAGAGATAACACAGTGTGGAGCTGGAGGAGCACGGGGGCCAGGCAGCATCAGAGGAGCAGGAAAGCTGACGTTTCGGGTCGGGACCCTGCTTCAGAAAATTTTCTGACGCTGCCTGGCCCACTGTGCTCCTCCAGCTCGACACTGTGTTATCTTTAAGCAAACAGTAAGGTTCATGGAATACTGTCCTTTATTATGAGTGGAATTGAACATGAAAATTACAAGATAAAGTTTCACTTACGCAGGGCATTGAGAAACCACATCATGAATACTGTGTGCACTGTTGATTTGCTTACTTGTGCAAGGATGTAAGTATGTTCAAAGGAGGTTTTCTGGATTGATGCTTGGAATGAGCATTTTGTCTTTTGAGGAAAGATTGAACTGTCAGTGATGGAAATCTGGCCTGCATTTAACTGCAGACCCTCAGCAATGTGATTGATTCTTACCTATCCTTTGAAATGACCTATCAAATTATTACAGAAAATAGTCACTTGATAAGGCAGAACTTATGTATTGGTAAAAATAAATGGTTCGTGAAGCTTCTTATCTTGTACTCAAGAGGACAGGCTCAAGATTAGCTGAACTTCAAAGGGAGTAATAACTTGTACTGCATGCGACAAGATTTATGGTTCATTAGTGGGTTGACTTTGATTGGTTGAGGAGTTGTTATGGATAATGTCCTCTTACTTTTGTTTAATATAAAAAATGTACTATACCTTGTCATGGTTCTTTTACCTGCAGAGGATAAGGACCTGCAATAAATGTGTGTAACTTCTGGCAAGCATAAATGAGCTGATGGATGATTTTAATTTTGCTTTTAATGTAATTCTAAACACACTCAGGGCTATTGAGCAAGTGCTGTTCAGTTGTGGAATCGGATATAACTGTAGACGTTATATTCTGAGTTTTATAAGCATGGGCTGGTTGGGTACAACCATTTGAATAAAATATTGGTGAACTGTTTACCTATTGAAAGTAAATTAACATTTTTGAACATTCTGATGGTAGATGTTTGTGACCAATTAATTTGATGGGGGTAAAGCAGCAACCATTATTTATTATTATCATGCTTATTTTCTTCTCTTCCAAATTTTTAAATCTGTAATCATTTTCTGTTACCATTTTATTATTTCTGTGAGGTCTGTAGCCATGGATACAAATAAACTAATCCCATGAAGTATAATGTTTTGAGTGATTAAATTTGTTCTGTGTGTGGTGGTTCATGAAAGATGATACATTTAAATTGAGGGGAGAAGACCTTAGATCATTCAGCAACTAAGCGTAGAACTGGGAAGTTACTTTGAAATGAGTGATGGATTGAATGATCCCAAACTAAGATTGCCCATGTGTGATGAAGAACAATAGGTATAAGGCATTACCTGCTGATCTGGTTTTCTAAAAGCTGATTTTGCTGTGGCATATCAGAAACAGTTTAAAAATATTGAATGTGAAAAGACCAGGTTAAGAAAACAAATAGAGGGACAACACAAAAGCTAGTGATTAGGAGATAAGTAAGAAAGACAAAACTGTGAGCAAGTAGATACTGTTACCGTCTAACTGATATTCAAAAACCAAATAATCAGGTCTTTGGGAAAAGAAGTGACAAATGGGAAAGAAATATGTAAAACAGAGTGAGAACATGAAAGACCCAGTTAATTGTCAGAAGGACACCTAAGAGAAAGAGAGAGAGAGAGACAGCCTGACTGATCATTGGAAGAAGAATTCAGAACCTTGGGAGCAAGGCACTTCTGGAGATTTTGTGACTAGCTAGTAGCATATTTTAGCTAGATATTGTTGAAGTATTAATTGAGGGAGCTAAGGTCATATCTGAGCATTCTGATGCGAGAAGTGAATTATGTTTTCCTGATTACAAATTCACAAAGCAGATGCTTTATAGTGTCGTTATTTTGTTATATTTCTCATTTTTCTTGATCTGTTTTGTAGATGATTTGCAATTATTTTCTGAATCTATTTTAATTTTCCTGTAATCATTTTCAATCTCTGGCAGAGTTGAAACTATATTCATGGGTGCAAATAATTTTCCCCTATTAAGTGTCCATAATATTTTGAGTGAATCAGTTTGTTCTGTAAATTTCAGGTAACGAGAACTTTAAATAAGATATATTATGAAAGTCAGAAACTTCAAAACTTCTCTCTTTTAAAAAGCTGCTTTTTATGTGATAACACATTGGGCCATCCATCCCTTGAGGAAATTGTGAGTTTTATCCAATGCAAATATTCAATAACGAATGGGCTTTTGCTAATAATATTTTCTGTTCTTCTCAGGAACTAATGCAAGCAAACATGATAGTATTGGAAAGGTTCTTCTACAAAGCTATTACACTCCTGCCGCTTCCTCATGCAGTTCATCTACCATCACAAGATTCTCTCCCTCCACTTCTTCTTTTGTGGAATCTTTTACAGGTGAACTACCATCATTCTCAAAAATTGAGTCTGAACTTGTCCAATTTTAGATTTTGTGTTTCATCTGGACTGACAAAGAATGATAAAATTTGACCTCTGACCCATCTGGATAATGATGACAAGGCTAAGGTTATGGGCTGGGCCAGGGGAGTTCCTGTCAAGCCAGCAGTGTGGACAGTAAGGTCACAATGTTTCTGCATCGACAGGACAGATCAATGCTGTATTCAAAGCACCTGCAGGGCCGCATCTGGATAAGAGGTCTTTCCATTGATATTACTTGTGCTGGCTAAATGGTTTTGGAGGGTACTTGCAGCTGAAAATAAACACCAGAACTGCATCATGTGTAATTGATGGCATATGGCATTGTCACTGGACTAGCGATCCAAAGGCTTGGAATAATGCTGTGGAGATATGGGTTAAAATGCCATCATGATGAGTTGAGGCTGATGAGAAGCTGGCATGAAAGAGGAGTTGAGGCCTTGGGCAAATCAACCATGATCTTGTAGAATGCAATGTAGGCTAGAGGGGTTGAATGACCTATTCCTACTTCTATTTCTTATGTTCTTATGACAGCCGGTAGAATTTAACTTCGATTAATACATCTGGAATATAAAACTAGTATCGGTAAAGGTGATCTTTAAACTATCACCGATTGTTGTAGATTTGGTTTAACTCTTACCTTCCAGGGAAGGAAATCTAACCATCTTTTCCTGCACTGCTGTACATGTATCTCCAGACCCACAACAATGTGGTTGACAATTAACTGCCTTCTGAAATGGTTTTACAAGCCACTCAGTCCGAGGTCATTTAGAATTGGGCAACATATGTTGGCCTTGCCAGAGATGCCTACATCTCTTTAAAGACTAAAGAAAACAAACTAGTAACCAGTGCACCCAGCTGTAAAGTAAGTAACCTGCAGGAATGAAAAATATGTAACGTCAAAAGAGGCAGCAAAACAATCACTAAGATCTATATAGTAGGAAAAATAGTTCCTGGGAAAAAGTGAACAAAGTGGATATCCTGTACCTATTTCAGGTTTTTTATCTTGCCCTTCATTAGCTGTTCAGAAGAGCTATGAAGTCTGAAGGTGTCTTGTATTGAATATTACTGAACATTGTAATGTATTTTTTGATGCCATAGTATGTTTGGTTACGAAGAGCACTGAGATTTTATCCAATTTACTAAATATGTCAACTTTATTAATGATTAGGCTTTATGACTATGACTATGCTCATGGAGTGCCATGATAGAAGCGACAGGACTATAAATAGCTTTTGTAGCAAATAAATGTAACAAAGCTCTTTGTTGAAAAAAGGAATGTTCAGGAACTGAAAGTCTTTGATTTTTTCATCCTTCTTGATGTTTTGCATATTTTTTAGTTTTGTCAGTGACTGGCTTAAGCATGAAATTTCCTGAGATGTTTGATCTGCCAGTAAGCATAATTTGTCCCATTGCCTTCTATTAATTTTTTTTATGATGCTATTTATGTTGGTTTAGTTATCACTGGCACTTGTTGTTGTTTTGCTTGCAGCAATTTACAGCTGTATCTCCTTGCTTGTGGACTTAGGTTCAGTATTTCATTGTTATCATTCATTAAATCACAAGCTGAGTTTGCAAAAACTTATTTCTGTTTCTTTAAAAAGTATATTTTCCTTTTGTTGAGGCACAAAGTAATTATACTAAGCACTTGAAATGCATATCTTGTTTATTACAGATAGTTCTGGAAATTCAGATTCCAAAGAAAAGAAAGACATGGAGGGTGAAGCTGAGCTATTAGGCAGAAACAACAATTTGGGAGATCTCTTGTTTTCTGCTGAGAATGCTACTGAAGATATGTTCTATCAAAGGGTTCTAAATGCTGTACGGACTTGGTTCACCCTATTTGGTTGGCCAGAGGGTATGAATCCTGTTTCTATACCAGAGTCGCTGCGAAGGTAAGTGTAGCAAATGTTTAAATCTTGTGGTAATGGGGAATTGTAATGATCATTTTTTAATAAGTCAATCAATGTTTGAATATTTAGTTCAAAACTTGAGCAAGAAAGAGAAAACCTGTTGTTAAAATACGCGTTTCCCAACGTCTGAGTGTCCCAAAGCATTTCATAGGCAATTAAGAATTTGAGTTGCATTTACTGGTGCAATGTAAGAAAATGAGGCAGCTTATAAATAAATGATGAGATAATCTGTCTGAAGTGGTTGAGACTGAGGGGTGATTATTGGTCAGGGTGCCACTTTGCTGTTCTTTAGTGCCATAGGGTGTTTGATGTGCGCATGAAAGGTATGTCCAGACTTTTATTTAATATCTCACCTAAATGGCTGCTTGTCAAGTAATATATCCATATTACACTGAGGTGTCAGCCTAGATTACTGACTGGACTTTCCAGCAATTTCAGGAACATGTTGTTGGGCCCATATTGAGCATTAATGCAGCCATCTGGAAACAGTCTCCTTATTGGCTCACCATTCTACTGAGGAAGACTGGTAAGTGCAAGTTTATAACACTTTGACATGAGCGCTCCCTCGATGCTTCGACGTGGAGGCTTCCATGATTGCCTGTCACGAGAAAAAAAAACAGTCAGAGGCCATAACAGGATCATTGGTTTGGAGGGGAATCCCTTCACAGTCTATAATGGAGGGATTGTAGTGTTTCATCTTTATGGCCCCATCACTGGGACACTGTACCTCTCTGCTTGAAGGAGAAACCATTCCAATTTGTTTAGTCTGCCCATATTTCTGGAGTCTCTGATCCCTAGCAGCATTCTAGTAAATAGCCTCTACTCCATCTTGAGAGTCTTGACACCTTTCGCAAATCTCCCATGTTCAGATTCGAACTCAGTGACCAGAATATTCCCATCAAAGGTGGAATTCCTATTTCTGACCAAGTTTAAGCACTTAGTGTGACGGGAGTTTCCCGGCTGAATCTCTGAGACAAGAACCTTCATAACTGAAGCAGTGTTGTTCAGTCCAGTTCAGCAATCCCTGCAGGCACCAGTGTAATGGATCAGCCTGAAACTCTGCCACTTTAAAGGCAATTACTATTAGGATCCATATTTTATTACCCTGAGTACGTGGACAGCTACTGAGAGAGGGTGAGTGTGTAAGGGAAATGAGGGGGTATGGTGCCAGGTGGGCGAGGCATACATGATTCCAGGTAGGTGGGAGACTGGAATGCAATGCAAGTTGGTAAGGGGTTGCTGTGGAATTTCAGGTTGGGATGTGGAATTGCGGTCTGGCAGTGATTGTTGTGGAGTGTTGAGTGGGATTGTGGGCACGTATCAAAGAGTTGAGTTAGAAAGTGTCGAGGCGGGGCATGGGTATGTCTGTACGTGAGGATGGTCAGGTGTCTGTCAAGATTTGGGTCAGGTGGGGTGTCATGGCAGGGTTTGGAGGTCTCCAGAGCCTCGAGGGGGAGTTGTGGATTGGATCTGGGCATTAGCCGGACATTGGGTTGAAGTCTGAGTGGGAGAATCCATTAGTGAGTCAGAGAATGGGTTTAGGCAGGGCTAATTTAGAAATCACATGGGAGTGAGAACAGAGTTTAATTCCTTTAACTTTTTCAGTATTTTTTAAAAAATTAATTATTGGGAAAACAGAAGCCATTATCTTCAGCCTCTATCATACACTTTTTATTCATTAGCCCTCATCTGTTTTTGAAAACATCATCCATGTTTACTTAACCATCCGACATTTTCCTTTACCAGCTGCGCTATAAATCATTCTATAAACTTGAGGTTAACTAAACTCTGCTGACCTGTTGCTAACTCCCACTAAGTCCTGTTCACCCATCACTTCTCTATTTGGAAAGCTTGACATCAGTTTGTTGATTCTTGATTGCTGTCTTCACTTTCAAATATTGTGCCACTGCAGAAAAAAAAAATGAAAAGAATAGAGTGAATATAGATTAGGAGAGCTTTATTCAAAAGGTTAGAAAAAGGAGAGTTGGAGGTGAGTACAGAGGTCAAGATAACAGCAGAAGTATGCAAAGGATACTGAGAGAAACAGAAAGGTTCTAAAAGACTAAGACAGAAATAGAGACCAAAATTAGCTAACTACAAGATAAGAGACCTTTCTAATCTTTATATGTATTATAATAACTTGGTTATTTTATGCTCTCATGCTGTGGCTTTAATAAAGATCACATAAATTCTGATTTTGAACAAGAATCATGGGCAGATTATGAATGCTTTTTCAATAGCTGTGATCAGTATGTTTTGTATGGAATGTGATGTGCATTTTCTTAGCCTTTCATTGTGTATTCCAATTAAATGGAGGATTGTAACTTTCAAACATTGGACTAAAATGGAAACTGCTAGTAACAACAAAGCAAGAGAACTCCAGAGTGACTACACATTTAAATGTGAAATTTCTTCTCAATGCAGCACAAAACATATCGGGAGAGATACAAAGACAATTTATGAAATGCTCAACCATCTGAGTGGCCAATGGCTACCAGGATTCACTGGAAAGAAACCATTGCTTGGTGAACCTATGGAACGTTTGCTACAATTGCACTGGCAATATTCAACACTTCTTACATTCTTAAAGTAAGTGAAGATGTTTTTTGTTTCAATATGTGGCTGCTTTGCTAATTTAATGCATTATAACTTGGGTTCTTGGATGTATTTTGACTTCTGCTTTGCATCAATCTCCCAGAAGGAGATGAGCAATTTCTTGAAGGTGCTGCTCCTCGACTGTTACAGAAGTAAAGTACAATTATTATTGAAAATCTGAAATAAAAACAAAACATGCAGGAAGTACACAGCAGGACTGGTGACATTTTTCAGGGGAAAAATATGGATAACTGGCAGAATTTAATGCTAATGGGAAGGGACAGATCACTGACAATGCTGCCATTTCCCACAATTTCATGAGGCTATTAAAAGGTGGGAAGCAAGGCCACCTTGAGCCATCCCACCTCAGACTTGCAAGTAAAGAGTCAGGAAGACAGGAGAATCTCCATTCCATACATTCCTGCTCGATCAAACAGCACCCCACTCCAAACCTCCCTCCAGGGAAGCATTAATTACTGCCCGGCAGACTTTTCATAGAACTCGCTCTACTGGCTCGAGGGTCACAGTCTCAGAATATAGGAATTGTCGATTTAGGACTCAGATGAGGAACAATTTCTTCACTCAAACAGTTTTGCATTTCCACTACATACATCTCAGCCCCTGCAAACATTCAAGACAGAGATCAATTGATTTTAAAACATTAAGAGAGGATATGGATGTAGCGTGGAAAGGTAGAGTTGAGGAGAAGATCATTTGTGATCATATTGAATGGCAGGGGGTGCTTGAGGCACTTAACGGCTTATTCCAGCTCCTTTTTTGTAATGCTGTTATGCAATTTCGCTGGAAGTTTTGTGGAAAATGCAATTCCATTGGAAGTATTGTGGAAACCGGTGAACAGAGGAATTCCACATCCTCCGATAACCCCTTCCAAACCCACAACCTCTGCTACCTAGAAGTCCAAGTGCAGCAGATGCAAGCAACACCATCATTTGCAAGTTCCACTCCAAGCCACACTACATGCTGACTTGAAATGCAATCCTGATTTGGAAAGACATCATTATTTCTCTATTGTTGCTGCGCCTAAAAGAGAGGTGATGGTTTAGTGGTCATACCATTGAATTGCTAATCCAGAACTCCAAACTATTGTTCCAGGGACATGGGTTCAAATCTTACCATGGCAGATATTATGAAATTTGAGGTCAATAAAAATTTTAAATGAAAACGAACCTAATGATGATAATGTAACCACTGTCAATAGTTATAAAAATCCACCTGGTCCAATAATTCCTTTAGAGAAGGAAATGTGCCAACCTTGCCTGTTCTAGCTTACATGTGACTCCAGATCCACAGCAAAGTGGTTGACTCTTAACTGCTCTCTGGGCAATTAGGAGTGGGGTCAATAAATGCTGGTCTAGCCAGCAATGCCCACATCCCATGAACATAAAAATAATTCCTGCAGCTCCCTTTCTAACAGTAATTGATAGAAAGTAATTCAACAGTGTGGCCATATACAGATTGCAGTGGTTTAAGAAGGTGAAACACTGCCACCAACAAATAACCTCCTTGCTAACAATGCTAACATCTCATAAGGGAACCAAGAAAATATTTCTCTGCCAGACACACGTTATTTTGATTTTGACTAACATTATGATTCCTTCTTTTTTGCTGTGTCAAAATTGAATACATTGCTACCACTTTCTGAGGAGATCTAGAATCGTAGAATAGAATCATAGAATCCCAACAGTGCAGAAAGAGGCCATTTGGTCCATTGAGTCTGCATTCCACCCAGACCCAGCTCCCCACCCTATTCCCCTAACTTTGTATGAAGTTTTTACCATGGCTAACCTACCTAACCTGCATATCCCCAGACACAATGGGGCAGTTTTTAAAATGGTCAGTCTACCTAACTGTACATCTTTGGACTGTGGGAGGAAACCGGAACACCTGGAAGAAGCCCATGCCCAGAAATGTGATTTATGGTTTATGGTTATGACTAATGATTCTTCCAAGTTGAAATAATTACCTTAACTTCTCTAGGCATATATTTGTGACAAATCTTTGTTCCAGTATTAATGATTCATTAGTACTAATTCCTACCGTTCCCCAGGTTTGGAGAGAAAACCGAGATCCTTTTTAATTTGCTTAAACAAATTGTTCTCAAGGTCAGGATTATCACCTTCAAGCGAGTAGCCCTATTCGTTTAACTATTGGTTTGATGCCCAGGAGAATATTAACATTGTGAAGACACCTTTACCGCAGGCAATTGTCGACATTATCCAATCATGCGTCTCAATGCCCCCCTTCCGGTAGCAATAGGTTATATTTTCCAGCTGTTGATTATAAAATTCTATTATCTGAGGACTTTCCTATTTCATAATTGTAATAAATCTGTCCAGAAATAACATGCTGTTTTCCCAGAGGTAGTGTCGAATAGAAGACACATGTAGTCTTTGGTTTTCAGGCATAATGAATGACATTTTTTCTGACGTTTTAATTATACATTACACAGAGCTCAAGGAGCTTGCCTTGCTCATGTGAAACCAGAATTCTTACTTGAACCTGAGCAGTTCAAACAATGGAACCAGCTACAGGTAAGGATCCTACTTGTTTAGTTGGCAGATATGAGATTCTCTGCTAAATTTATTGCAACTCAAATCTGGCTGGCCTCCCTCACCTTTCCATCTGTGGTTTGACATCATTCAAAACTGTTGTCTATGTCCTAACTCACACCAACTGGCTCTCACCCATTTTCCATATACTTTCTGACCTATCTTCATTCGGAGTGAAGCACCACCTTGATTTTAAAATCCTTATCCTTGCTCTCTCATTCTTCAGCTGCCTTGCATCTCCCTATCTCTGATTTCCGTCAGCCTTATAGCCACCCAAGATGTTTGCCCTGCACTAAATCTGGACTCATCGGAATTTCTAACATTAATTGCTCCATCATTGTCATCTGTCTCTTCAGCTAACATGGGCTAAAGCTCTGGAATTTACTTCCTCAAGTTCTCAGTATCTCGACTTGCATTTTAAAATATACTCCAAAACTAACCTGTTTGCCAAAGTTTTTATCGTCTGACCTAATTCTTTTTAATATAGTTTGATATCAGTTTCTGCTGACAATGCATGTAAAGTGTTTTGGGGCTTATATTATGTTAAAGGCACAGTAAAATTGCAAATTGTTGTTTATGGGTAACTGCATTTCACTACACTTCAGAATTATCTTTGTCAAGAGGTAAATGGTACCTTTTTAATGACTGTGTATGTGAACTCGATTATTATTGTAATTGTGTTATCACAGTGTTATATATTTGTCAAACATTTATGATATACGAAGTATCACAGTTCTTCATGTCATGTAGTAAACCTGCTGTGATAAGATTACCATCAATACTTTTATTCACTGTCTTTTGTTAAGGCATGCATAACAGAAAGCACAACAAACTCCAATCATCCTGTGTTTTACAGAGAAACAATCTGCGCTGAGATCTCACTGGATCTTTCTGCATATTGGTCTAATGTGGACATTCAGTTGTCTAAGATCTGATATGCTCACTCCAAATCAGAGTTTTCATCAGATTACTCGGGTGCACCAAACAGAGGAAAGTTATGCAGGAAGAACTTCTTGCCCAGAGAGGAGGCTAACAAGCAATTCTCTTTCCTTCATTTTCACTGCACTATATGGCCAGGCAAACCAACGTACCCAGGAATAGGAATGGAGAAATCTGCCCTGAACTATCTAAACCTAGATATGAAAGACAGATGAAATAGTTCATCTTAAACTATTCAGTAGGGTCATGAGAAAAGATAGGTTAATATTGTGGGTAAGTTCTAACTGTCATCTTATTCACATAATAAAACCATTTTATAGGTTTACATTTTATGTTTCATTCAATACCATCCTTCCTGCAAAATTTCATTAGCTCATGTTACAAATGGTTGAAAGAGGATTATAATGCCTTTTTACACACTTTGAACAATGATGCCAAATTATTAATGCATTTGTACAGCATATGTTTCCTTTACTATATTATAGTAGCACTTTTTGTGTTGTTAGTCCCAGGAAAAGTAAAGTAATGTATACCCGATTATTACAATCAATGTCATAAAATAGCCTTTGAATATTAACACTAAAACTTGACCAAAATTGGTGTGGTGTTATTGAAGGACTATACATTAAAGACTCTGCTAATCAGAATGTCTGCCTTCATTCTCATTATCCACATTGCACTAAGATCAAAGATCTTATGCTGTTGGATGAGATCTATAATTTTTTAACAAACTTGTTTCTCTTTTGCTTGTCTTCTGCATTAAGTAAACATATTATAAATAGGAAACAATCATGTTTGTAATTACAGTCCAAGTTGTTCTTCGTGTAATTAATTTCACTTGATTATCCATAGCTGTTTTTGTCACGCTACATCAAAAACAGAGCCATATGGAATGTTCTTTAATTCTTTTACCTGTGTAAGCATGGAAAAACAGCACTGTGCCTAAATTGCATTTTACTTTTTTAGGGTTGTTCACAGATCACTGAAAGCATTGGAATTTTTAAACTGGGTGATGATGTGTTTGAGTCTGTTAGCAAACGTTCATGGACCGACTTGCTGCTACAGATCTATAAGGTAGAATGTCTAAAGACACATAACCTTGTTGTTTAGAGATGACATTATCAACTGCATTCATCATGTAGTGTGAACACTATACCCTGTTTATCTGGATATCTCAATGTTGAATTAATTTAGATTTAATTCTTGCAGCTCATGCTTTTTTGAAAATGTAAGGGAGTACTGTAAGACAATTTTAAAAATATTTGTTCAACAGCAATTTATATTCAATTACTTTAACTAGAAGGGCTGTAAGTTATTAAAGGTTGATTGTGCAGAATCTTTGGCTGCTTCAGGAGCAGTAAGATGTGTGGGGAGGGGAGCTTAATTGGGCAAGAAGCCAAAAATCAGATTCCCAGTGGTCAGATGAAAGTTTCCAATTAAGTTCTCTGAATTGAAAGGTCATTGAGCTTTCCAATAACAAGAATCAGGAAGCCTTTTTGCATGTATTTGCATATCATGCTTATTAAAGCCAGCTCACCTGAATTCCCAATTAAGTTCTACACAAGTGAGCTATACGTGCCTTCAAATTCATGACTGCTTAAAGTGGCATGCAAGGCATAGTATCCACTTTCCTGGCCTTTGGAATGAGTAGCTTTGGAGATGCTGTGCCACAATTGAGATAAGCTGGCCGTGGTCTAAATTGTTTGAGGCACAGATGATGATCGAGGAAGGTCGACCAAGTGTGGAAGCATCTCTCCATCCGGGGTGACAGTATGTCTGGGCAAGGGTAGAAGGGTGGAAGGAAGGCAGGCTGACTGGGCAAGAGAGGCAGACTGACCAAAGAAGGATGGTGGGCCAGAATATTTTGCTGCAGGCTTCCTCACCAAGAACTCGAGTGATGCTCCTGAATTGCTGTGAATGAAGGCTGTCCAGGTGTCCTTTAAATATGGTGCCTGGGTTCCATGAACACAAAACCTGTAAAACCAGCAAGTGGGACATACTGGTTGACTTGTATGCTTCAAAATGGAAGACCTATTCAATCAATAGGTTCATTTACAAGTATTACATTATTTTCTCTTGGATGTTCCCATTGGGAACTCCTCAACCCCATAAGGTAACAGAGGGGCTATCTCCTTCTTGCCTTCCCCTGCCTCCAACTTCAGCAGGCTCCTTGCACATGCATTGTGTAATAAGCTGACAGCCATGCCATTGCACAAGAAAAACCAACCTGCTGCCAAGCAGAAGTGACATTCTCTTCACACCTGCAACCCAACCCTATACTTCAGAATAGTGTATTCCGCCCACGGAAGGAAATGTAGCAGGCTGAGTGGTGTGTGCTGTGGTGAAATTATGGCAGAATCAGATGAGATGTTTGGTGAAGCCCATCTTGACGTTGAGATTATTGCACCTCATTTTGCTTGCTTTTCTCAAGTGAAATAGCAAGATTCTTGCTTGGCAGTGGCAAGGTCCTGATTGATGCTCTTTATTGCTTGTTAAATATTTTGTTAACAGTCCAACTTCCCACCAGCTGAGAGTTTAGAGCCATAGAATCCCTGCAGTGCAGATGTAGGCCATTCAGCCCATTTAGCCCAACTTAGCAAACTCACCATACAAACTAGCAATTAGAAAACTCGACGTGGAAACCAAAGGGAATTCCTGGTGGGTTCAACTTGCCACTTGCTCCAGAATACACCAGGCATCAGCATCTTTGTGCATGCTCCATGGACACTGGTTACATGCACCCAATATAAATAGGCATTGTTATTCAACATGTGCTAGCCTGTAAAAATTCTAATCTCTGATCCACAAATATACAGAATACTTCTGAATTTCAATGACGCACTTCAGGCTGCACCAGAAGCTATCATTCTAATGCTGCAGCAAGGACACTGTATGCGCAGTGAGACATATCCAGTTCGTGGACTGGATCAGGCTGTATCTCCAGGCTCTTCACTCGCTGTCATGGTAATCACTCACTCTGAACCTGCCTGGATGTTTGCAGCATCCTTGCTTTGCATTACCTTGCCTTTCCTTTTTGCACGTTGCCCCTCAGCCAGAGATATTTGACCCATGTTACTATTGTTCTGCCATGCTGTTTGATGCAGACAAAGCCAGCAAATTTGCCACTAGTTGCCAACATTCCTCAGTCTACTCAAGGACAGCCTCCAGTACCAGTATAGCCTTCTCTTGGCAGTCATGGTTATGATTTGCTTCTCATAAGAGGTGAGGACCTAAATGATAGGCTGCTCACCAACCATCTTGACTCTTTCTGTCCAATTGTGGATTGTTATGTTTTTGGATTGAGAAAGAGGTGTTATAATGGATAATGAAAGTGTGTGCCTTAGTTATGACTGCTGCTGCAAGTGGGGAGGTTTCCTGAACAAGTCACTAGGCTGCACAGTGGACAGGCAGGGTTAATGGTGTCTAAGTATGGGGTAGGTGAGGGTGAGTGGGGAAGACGTTGTAGGCAATTGTGAGAATGGTAAAACACAAGCCTTGGTGGGGTATGGCTACAGTAGCAGAGATGAAGAGAATGAGATGTATTGGAGAGGAATGGTGGCACTTACACTGGTGGAGTAGAAAAAGACATTGACCTTCTTCCTACACTGATAGACATTCCTGCAGGTGGCTGAGACTGAGTCATAGAGTCATGCAGCACGGAAACAAATCCTTCAGTCTAACATGTCCATGTTGACTGTGTTTCCCAAACTAAACTATTCCCACTTGGCTACATTTGGCCCATATCCCTCTAAACCTTTCCTATTCATGTCCCTTGGAAATGTCTTTTAAATGTTGTACTCATTCCTGCAGCTACCACTTGCTCTGGCAGTTCATTTCACACACAAAAACACCCTCTGTGTGAAAAAGTTGCCCCTCAGGTCCCTTTTAAATTGGAGGACACCACATGTCTCTAGAAGGAGTGCTCATTAAACCAAACATAAATCTTCTCACTTATATGGATCTCTTCCTGCTGCAGATCTATTTCTGCCAGATTGGCTTGGTGTGCTCAGGGCCCAGGAAAGAAATGCACTTGGATCTTAATTACATCAGCTACTGCTTTTGGGTGCTATCACTTGCAAATGTTAACATCAGTACGTGAAAGTGGTAAAAAATTTCACAGGAAGGTGATAGGATGGGTAGCATTGTAATTATTCCAATTTTAATTGCACATTGATCAGTTTTTGCAGCTCGTAACAGAATGAGGGTTTCATACTGGTACTTTGGGCTGGTTTAAAGTAAAGCAAAACTGAAGATGTTGTAAGTCTGAAACAAAAAACAGCAATTGCTGGAAAAACTCAGCAGGTCTGGCAGCATCTGTGGAGAGAAAGCAGAGCCCATTGACCCTTCCTCAGTACATTTAAAATGACATTCATCAGATTTAAAAGGACTCTGTGCATATTTACCACTGGATACTAAATCCAAAATTTTTCTTTGTAGTGAAATGAATAATGTAGTAGTCAATGAATTTGACATGTTTTTTAGGTTATGGTTCTCTCTCGACTGACACTGAAGGACATCAACGACATTTTAAGCGATCAGAAACACTTGGAAAATATCCCAAGGATAAATGTCGAGCCCCTTTCCAGCAATATATATTCCACTGGTGAACTTGTCCTGCTGACATGGCTCAACCATCATTATGAAACAAAGAGAAGTGTTGTGTGGGAATGTTGCCAGAAAGGTGAATGTAAAATGTTTGAATTTTGTCTATTTGGGTGGAATTTAGAACAATAAGACAGACAGTGTGGAGTGCAAATTATATCATTATCTGTACAGATAAATTAAATTAATACCAATCAGATTTGCTTCAGTTTTCTAATCGGCTAAATGTGGAATTTCGGGATTGAGATAATATACCCGATTCTTTCGCACCAATTTATTCATATGTCTTTGAATGCTGGATTCTGTTCTGACAGAGAATACATTACGGGGGACAGATTACATCATTATTGATTATCATTAAATCTGTGGTTGAAGCTTTCTTCTCCTGTGCATATTTCCTCATTGCTGTAATTGGTACAGCACTTTGTTTCCAGGGCTAGATTCAAGATCAGTTACCCTGTTTTGAAAAAAATGATAGAGGTCACTAGACAAACAGGTAAACAATGCTCAGAGATTTGTATTGAGTTGTACTGGAGATTATCTATCGTATTTACCTGTGTCCTGTCCCTTGTAATTAAAAAATCCTGAAGAAAATTTATTATAAGTTCCTAACGACCCTCTTTTGCCTTCTCTCTGAAACAACTCCACAGAGGCTGGTATCCCATCACCAAGTTACCTTTTATTTACACAAGCACTGCAAATGGACTCTGACCAGCTAACTCAGAGCCAGGCCCTCGAGTGAGGAGAATCCCTGAGGCTTCTGTTTATATCTGTCAGCCAGAACTCCCTGAATGGCCCAGGTTAACAGGGAACTCATACTCAATGAGATCCATCTGGCCAACCTCTTTACAATCACTGCAGTCTCACAGACTAATTCTCAAATATTAGCTTGTTCAATCATCTCCCAGAGCTTCTATTTAATAATGTGGCTGCTGAAAGACGTGGGTTGGAGATCTCTGAGGATGCATACCATTCTTATGCCCAGAAAATCCTTAACATTATAAGAAAGAGACTTATTCTGTGATATCCTTGAGATTTGAACCATACTGATAACTGAAACCAAAGGCAAACACTTTAAGTGACTTTATGCAGTGCAGGAAGGGTACAATCCCTTGCAACTGACCAAAATCTAGGCCAAACACATCCAACAAATGGTGGTGCAAGTGTTACAGGCCTGCTGTTGCTTCTCCTTTATTCATTAACGGAATGAGGCCGTTGCTGTCTAGAACAGATAAGGATGGCAGTTTTCTACCCTAAAGGACATTAGTGAACCAGATGGGTTTTTCCTGACAATCGATCCATGGTCATCATCAGATTCTTAATTCCAGATGTTTTATTGAATTCAAATTTCTCTATCTGCCTTGGTGGGATTCAAACCCGGGTCCCCAGAATGTTTCAGAGATATTAGGAACTGCAGATGCTGGAGAATCTGAGATAACAAGGTGTAGAGCTGGATGAACACAGCAGGCCAAGCAGCATCAAAGGAGCAGGGGTCTCGGCCCGAAACATCAGCTTTCCTGCTCCTCTGATGCTGCTTGGCCTGCTGTGTTCATCCAGCTCTACACCTTGTTATCTCTTTCCCCAGAATGTTATCTGGGTCTCTGGATTAACAGTCCAGTGAAAATACCACTGGGCCATCGCCTCCCCTTCTGGAGTCTGAAGAAATGCTGGCTCTTGCAGACACATAGGCAGAAGTCTCACCTGCCAGTAAAATGGTCTATGAGCATTGAAGACAGGAGAAGACCGTTTGACTAACGCATTCTGCCCCACACAACTGCAGTTCCTTGTGTGTCACAAGAAATACACTCCCCCGTCCTTCCTAAAGCCTTATACTCTCCTGGGAAATGCAACAGTGATGATATCAGCTCATTAGGAAAAACGAGTAAGAAAATTCATTGTCAAATCCGTTGGGAAACCACTCTGGTCTTGATTCATATTCTATTGCAATACTTAACTTTTGCATGGGGTGATTGCCACCCCAGCCAGGGGTAGTTTTCTTTGAGAAATTCAACAATTTGATGTACATTGCAAGAGCTGGTAGTCTGTTTCACAGATCCACTGTTCTCTGTGAAAAAACCAATTATCTAACATTTAACTAGTTCTGGTTTTTCATCACTTGAAATTGTGATCTTAGATCATTTTTAATCTTTAAATTGATATCAACTGTTTATACAAGCACAATCTAATCCCTGTTTTATCTTATAAAAAATCAAATTGCTGTAGTCTGTGCACCACTAAACTGTAGAACATTTACTCTTTGAGTCTATCTTGGCCATTAAGTTGGTTTAAACAATTAATTGTGTGGTTCCCCTCTGCACTGCTTTGAAAACTTCACCATCAATCTCTGTAAGAGAAACTAAAACCAAAAACTGTATTCCAACTGAGGTATTATCAAAGCTCCATCATTCTTGGTTCAACTGCAACCTTCATAAAATTATTTGCTCCATGTTTGTCTACATGATCTGCATGTTTTGTTGGAGAATCTCAAACATGTGAGAGATGGAACTCTCCATCTTCTATTCCATTATGGGCAAGTTCCCTGGCACGCTGTCCACAATATCTAAAATGCCCTGAAATATTATGGACCGGTCTTCATACCAGTTCTCTCTGGCCTTTGGAACAGGACTAGGATGTAAGCTGTCCATCTGACTAGCTGTTAATGGATTGTCCCCTGATCTATCCCCTTTCTTCTCTTCTGTATATCAGTGTGTGGTGAATATCCTAATGCAGACCGCCTCCACCCCACCCCCAGCCTATTGTTGATTAACCATGCGGTGCCATTCTCCATGTATGAGTTTGCAAAAGACAGGCCAAATGATGCAAATGCCATGTTCAGCAGTGCTTTCTGTTGGCTCATTTTCTTCACCAAGTGCTTGACATTTTAATAGCCTTAAAGAGAAGAGTGGGGTAAGATCAAGTTTAATCATGAAGCATAAGTGGCAACAGATGAGTAACTGTTGGAAAAAGGCAAGGGGAAATTTCAGTGTAGGACTGGATGTTACTTAAGAACACTCAGATGTGTTCTCTTGCTTGTCTACTTGTGATGCTCCGAATGGGACTCATCCTCATGGTCACTATGACTTGATCCAGGGGTAGGAGACAATCTGAATAGATGCTTTGCCACTGTCACCAACTGCCCTTAATATTGTTTGCAAGCTTTGCCTGAAAGAAAGCAGTGAGAATGTTAAAGGTTGCCGAATGAGATAGTTTAAGGATATGCATATTAAATAGTGGGGAAGGTGAAGGGAGTGTTCGTGAGGAAAATAGGAGGTGCATGAGATGCAGAAGATCGTCATGCTTTGTTGGTTAAATGCTGGTTCTCATGGGTGTTTAGGTGTTGGATCAACTTATATTGCAGAGTTATTGACGATGATGTGAAATCATTGTACAAGTGTCTTAATTTAGCATCCCCTGGTCAGGAAATGAAACATTTTCTTACATTTAAACCAGGTGTATGGGATGATGCTGTTTGCAACAATATCCTCCAGAACCTGTGTGCACTTCTGCTCAGAAATGTGGTGTGGTAAGGATACCCCTCTCCCACTCCAAATTTCTCCGGCAGAATCACTATTGTGCTGCTGGAAAGTGTGGAGCCCATGAAGAATTTGTTTCTTCTGTCCCATGATTAGCTAATCTCAGACTTTAAGAGGTGCAGACTGTCTTCAAGTAAAATCAATAACATCAGAAAATGAAGGTCCCATTTAGACAATCTGCTAATTAACAACAACACTACCACAGGCGATCTGCTTATCTATTTATCATTTATAATAAGGGGCTCCAATCAATTTCACAATGATTCTTCACCTGAAAATAGGCTGACACAGATTTCAACCAATTAATTTGCCATTTGTTTAAGACGAGCTTCAAATCCTTTATTTGTACCTGCAAATATTGTCATTCCTTCAATGTACTCTACTTTTGACACCTCCACCCATTTGCTTCAGTTCTTTTAGTCTGGCTTTCTGCATTACTACAGTCATGAGTTTTAAAAATAGTTCTTCATTAATTTAGCTGCAGTGAGAGCATAATGTAAAAAGATTTCTGGTACTATGCGAACATAATGGCATCTAAAAGATTCATTTCACCAGCACAATCCCATACCATACTTTATGGTTTAATCTTAAAGGATCTGTTTTTAATCATTCACAATGCAATTTTATGTAGCATAATGGTTGGACAATCTTCCTATCATATGAATTCATTCAATATTTTGCATCAAACTTTGAAGCAACACAAAAGCCAGGGTGCTCAGAACTACATGAATAGAACATTATCATTACTTGGTTCTAGTACAGTAGATGGTCTCTAATTGCATTTTTTCTCTTGGTCTCGAAAGGAACTCTTTTCAGGCCAAGGTAGAAGAATGAAAATCTTTTTGCCAGTACATGTGAATATGTAACAATAAAACAAGACCATATCTTTAAAATCTAACACCTTCAAAGTTTGCAGATGACACTAAGATGAGTGGCAAAGCAAAGTGTGCAGAAGACTGTGAAACTTTGCAGAGGAACATAGATACATTGAGTGAGTGGGCAAAGGTCTGGCAGATGGAATACAATGTAAATAAATGTGAAGTCATACATTTTGGTAGGAGTAATAGTAAAAAGGATTATTACTTGAATGGTAAAAAGTTGCAGCATGCTGCTATGCAGAGGGACCTGGGTGTCCTTGTGCATGAATCACAGAAGGTAGGTCTGCAGGTACAACAAGTAATTAGGAAGGCAAATGGAATTTTGTCCTTCAATGCTAAAGGGATTGAAATAAAAAGCAGAGAGGTTATTGTTGCAGCTGTACAAGGTGCTGGTGAGGCCACACCTGGAGTACTGTGTGCAGTTTTGGTCTCCTTACTTGAGAAAGGATGTACTGGCACTGGAGGGGGTGCAAAGGAGGTTCACTAGGTTGATTTCAGAGTTGACGGGGTTGGCTTATGAGGAGAGACTGAGTAGATTGGGATTATATTCATTGGAATACAGAAGATTGAGGGGGGATCTTATAGAAACATACAAAATTATGAAGGGAATAGATAAGATAGAAGTAGAGAGGATGTTTCCATTGGCAGGTGAAGCTAGGACAAGAGGGCATAGCCTCAAGATTAGAGGGAGCAGATTTAGGACTGAACTGAGAAGGAATTTCTTCACCCAGAGGGTTGTTAATCTATGGAATTCCTTGCCCAGTGAAGTAGTTGACGCTACTTCAGTAAACGCTTTTAAAAAAAAGGTAGTTTTTTTTGAACAATAAAGGAATTAAGGGATACGGTGAGAACGTGGGTAAGTGGATCTGAGTCCACGAAAGGATCAGCCATGATCTTATTGAATGGCGGAGCAGGCTCGAAGGGCCGGATGGCCTACTCCTGCTCCTAGTTCTTATGTTCTTTTACCTTTTAGTTTTTCAAGATTGTCTTATCTTTTCACTTTCCTCTCTCTTTTTAATAGGTGCTATACCACCAACACGCTGGATAATTAACTTTGATTTAGATTTGTTGGATGGTTTAGTGCTTGCAGCTGTTGTAGCTGCTTATTGCCCCCATCTGGTAGGTATATATTTTCTATTATACTTTATTTAATGTTTTTTTCTCTTTAATCGGTTTCTGACTTCTAACAGGGATCAAATTTGACCAGCTGTTGGAAGATGCTGAGATGAATCAAGTTATAGTTGTAAATTTTCATGGTGCACTAATTTACATCATTGTGTATCATATAGGATGAATTCAGTTTGCAGTCAGGATTAAGTAAGAAGTGCTTCCAGTCTAATTCAGATCCGATAGCCCAAACTAAATTTGAAGGGAATCTTATTGGATTTATTTCCGTAATTAAGTTGTATTTACACAGGAATAGCAGTTTATTGATTCTATGATTACAGCCTTACAGCCTGAACTCCCTTATTCTTGTGAACTCCTTACCGTAAGCAGTATGCTTTATTTTTGAAAAAGTTGGGGTGTATTTCTTAAGCCCCTGTTTATGAACTCAATTTTAAGGCAATGTGCGCTGATTCTCTTAGATTAAACTAGGAGTATTTATTCCTTATATTTGATCCCAGCATGGTCTTACACAACTTTGCATGTATGTGGACATGCTCAAACACATGCAAGAGAAAGGGGGTTCAAGTCAATGACTATTAAAACCAAAAGTATAGTTTTGAGTTCATGTGAATATCAGATTTCAGTGGGAAGGTTAACATCCAGACTGATCCAAGGTTTCAAAAAGTCTGTTCAAAATTCTTCAAAATTCAATGGAGTATTAATCATATGATGCTGGCCATTGACTTGCCATTCATGCTAATAAAGGAGATCCTATCTCTTTGTAAAATTCCTTTGCATACCTTTGAATATAGATGCATTGTTGTTTTTAGCATCTCTGTGGGTACAATGAGTTTTAATTTGTATCTTCAGTTATAAGTGTAGGCCTGGAGACAGAGCCTATGATCTCTTTACTTCAATAGTTTGCAGCATATCCAAACATTAGTCGGTGCAAAATTTCACACGGGTGATCTGTCCAGCCATGCTTACTGTTGAAAGTTTCCAGAATGTTGTCAACTTATAAGCCATGTGATCTTTGGCCTTTTTAAAAGTCTAACGAAGTCCTTACAGTATTTAAACTGTTTGTAAGATCCTTCATGTCATGAATGTGATTGTACCCATAATTTATTTTAGCCACTTATACTAATTTGGACACCACCAAATCTTGCTTCACAACTCAAGAATTTAAATCAAATAAATCATAACTTTATTAGCTGCATGGAGAATCTCTGCTCCAAGTTCCTACTGCTGTGGAAAATATTTTGTTTAATCCACATAAGATGTGTAAGTTCTTGCTTACGAGATGGATACTAATTAGTTTCTTTATGAACATGTTAAGAAGAAAGTGAGAATAGATACATTTCCAGGTTCACCAGTGCAAAGCTAAAAATGGATTATCTTGGCTTGCTATTAGAATATTATGTCGTCAAGTTCAAATTCAACAGTGAGCCATCACGCGTGTCTGTAACCCATCTGTTGTTGACCTCGGGCCTAATTCACTGAGCTCTATTCCTTTGCCTGTGTTGTGATGAATTCCAATAATCTACCACAGGAGTCTTCAGCACAGGGTATTGATCCATTTGTTCAAGCATATGCAAGGACAGTGTATTTGAAGGCAAACCCAAATAACCCTGAGGAATACAGGAAAAAAGGCAGAATCTTTCCAGAAGTGTTTTTGCCACACGGCCATCTCATTATCCAAATTCCAACCTTGCTTTATTAAACCATAAAAGACAGATATCTACTCCAGGTCTTAGCTTAATGTTGTTAATGTCAAGGAACAATTAATCTTATCCTAAATATTGTTGTTTCTCCATTTCCTGTCAGTGTCTGGAACCTCCTGACTCTAAACCTATCTCCAAAGCCTGTAAAGAATGTTTTGAAAGCACAAATTGCTCTTTCTAGTTTTTGCTAACATGATTCTACAGGATGCTTAACGTTCATCTCATACAAGATTCATTAATTGAAGTCTGCTCTTCAATTTTGCATTTTTAATCCTTACAGCTAACTCGCTTAATACCTGTGGCAATTACATTTGAGCAAATTACAGTGACATTGAGTAGAGGGTGTTATCACTGTTAGTTAATGGATCAATAGCCTAGTGGATTGAATTAGCTAAAATCAATTGGCTAAAATCTCCAACATAATTCGATGTTAGGCCTGGATTAGTAAGATATGGAAACTCATGCTAACATTATTATCTAATAATAATAACATGCTTCTTTATATGTCTAGTCAGTATATTTGATTTAAAGAAACATCCATAATCCATGTGAAGTTTGGCAGCTGCCAGAAATGCTGTTTTGGGTCTGTCCCTGATATGGTGTTGCAAGTTTTGTTCATTCCAGGCTTCAGGGACCTTGCTTATGTTGTATGACTGGTTCAATGTGTACTTGACTGATAATTGTACTTTGAATTTGAGAGGTTTAATTTGAATTTGGGGAGTCTAAGTAACTCTTTGCTGGCATATTAAAAATGACCCACCTGTTTAACTTGATGCATCTGTTAAAATCCTGTGGGAAGAGATGGTTTGAAACCTCAGAGAACAAACCAGTCACTAATGATCAACTTGATTTGTTCAAATAAAGGACAAACACTACTTTTGAAAATGTTACTAGTAGAGGTTTTGTTTAACCTTAAAAATTTTGTTTGCTATTTAAAATTTTGTACACTCTATTGTATATACACAAACATATTATGTTTGTTTCTTTAATGCCTTTTTTAAAGAAATGAGTAATATGTTTTACTTAAAATTAGATTTCATGCAGTACAATATTGATTCTGAAGGTCAGAATAGAATCTTGAGAAGGTATAATTGTATAATTAGCTAAAATCAATTGTTCGACACAGTTTGTTGTTCACTTGGAGTATATGCCATTGAAAACTTGCTTAAATGTTGAAGAATGAATAAATACCTCAAAATATATTGACTTAGGACTAATGAGAATGATCCAAAGCTCTGGAATCAAAATAATTTAGAAGTAGAAAATGGGAAAAGATCTGAAAATATTATCGTTAAATTACCACAAAAATCAGCTGGGAACAATTTGGACATGGAAGACAAGGAAATACCCCTGGGTTTTGTTTTCTGCAATTATGCTTAAAACTGGTTAAGACACACCATTTGTTTTGCCAATCTTTCTCTACTTATCCAAATTACACTTTCTGGATTTTTAAATAAACAATGCTACATTTTGGTTGGCGTGAAATCATTATTACTGGTTTTTGTTTGTAGATCTGTGCAGTCAAAAGTACTACGCATTCTGTTTTTTACAGATTCCAACTCATTTTGAAAATATGTACACTTCTCCAGCTGCTCCTGAGCAATGCCTACATAACAGTCTAGTACTCCTAAAAGCATTTGATGCCATTGGCTTAGATTTTGATATACAGGTAAAGTGAATTATTATTGCACAATTTAATTCGTTTCAAGATTTAAATCATGTCACAGACATCATTACTGCCTTGATCAAAACATGGACAAAAGAGCTGAACTTCAGAGGAGAGGTGAACATGTTTACAGTTAATGTCAAGACAGCATTTGACTCAGCATTTTGAATCAAACACTCCAGTGAACAACAAGTCAATAGAAATCATCGAGGTGGGGGATGGGATGGTGGTGGTCGTGCAGTGGTGAAATGTTTGGAGACCAATATTTCAGGCACAGGACATTGCTGGATGAGTTGCTCAGTGCAATTTTATCTGTCTTATCAGTGACCTTCCCTCATAAGATCAACGATGATTCATTTTTCTGTGTTCAATAATGTTCATAACTCCTCCAATAATGAAGTCAGCAAGCAACAAGATAACACCGAGTTTTGAGTTGAGTGACAAGTAACACCCATACCTAACAATTGCTAGCTAATGACCATCTCCAACCAGAGAGTCCAAACACTACCCATCTGTTAATGACATTACCATCACCGCATTTTCTTCCATCAACGTGTTGCATTGTTAATATTGACCAGAAACTTACCGTTAACAAGATCAGGACCATAAATACTGTGCATTTGTGGAAATTGATTTTGCTGAATCCCGAAATTCTTTCCACCATCTAAAGAACACAATTCAGAAATGTGATGGAATATTCTTTGCTTGACTTGATGCGGATCCAGCAACGCTTGAGAAATTCCATCCAGAGCAAAGCAGCCTACGTGTTTTGCTTGCTTTACGTTCACTACTTCCAAATACTGAAAGAGTGGCTGTCGTATGTATCATTTACAAGGTGCATAGTAAACCGTCAACAAGGCTTCTTTGACAGCAGAAGTGAAACCTGGGTGCATTACTGCTTTGAAGGATGAGGGTAGCAGGGGCATGGGAATATCAACATCAGCAAGTTTCCCTTAAGATTATGCATCATCTTGAATTGGCATCATGTAGCTAATCCTTCATCATTGCCGTCAAAATCATGGAATTCCCTACTCAAAGGCTAGGTGGAAGTAACATCAGCCCACAGATTTCAGTGATTCAAGAAGGCTGCTTCTCCAGGTCAATTAAGGATGGTAATAAATACTGAAAGAACAAGTGACAATCCCTTGAATGAATATAAAAATGAATACATCATCAGGTTCTTCATGTAAACACAGCTAGCATTAGTGATTGGTTAATGCTAAGATAATCATATGATTTCAGATGTTATAACATTTTATTTTACTGAACAATCATCTTTTTTATGTAATATATAAAGCTACATTTTGTTGTAGTTTCCTGCAGAGATGACAAGTACATTTTATCTCTGGATAGTGACTAAAAATAGGAAAAAACACATTGAGAATCATAGGAAAAAGCACTTTGAGAATCATAGGAAAAAAGACATTGAGAATCATAGGATATCATACAAGGAAGGTGTTAAGGAAACCCCCCCCCCGCCACTGCCCACCCCACTTCCCTGCCCTATCTCACCACCACCTCACCCATTCTAGCGATCTGGAGGAAAGATCCTTTTGATCTTTTTTCCTGCCCTTACTCTACAACTTAGAAAATTCTTAAATTTTATGACTATTTACTCTCTTTGCTAAAAGCCATTTTAGATTCTGCTACCACCCTTGTTTCTGTCAAGGTATTCTGAAACCAATGAGGTTTTGTGTAAAAGAAGAAAATCTCCTAGCCCGTTTCCTTTTAATGACCTTAAATTTATCTTTCTGGTTTCCACTGTTCCAACCAGAAGAAACAGATACTTTTTCCAGCTGATGTATTGAGTCTGTACATAGCTTTGAGCTCTCCATGGGCGAGGCACCTCGAGATACTACCACCAATAGTAGACTATAATTGGGAATCTACAAGAGGCCAGAATAAGAGGAGTGCGCATACTTTGGCTGTTCATTTTGTTGGATGATGTGGCAGACATAGGGAAAGGCAAAGCCATGAAGGGATTTGAAGACAAGAATAACTGTAAAACTATTAATGTTAATCTTTTTGAATATGATGATATTCTTGTTAATTAAACAGGGCACTGACATCTCAGATCCAAATCCTATCGCAATGCTTATGCTGTGTGTTTACCTGTTTGAAAGACTACCTAACTATCGCCCTAAGATGACTGTTGAGTTCACCGGTGAACTTCATGCTACAATTGTTAAACATGTAAGTAAAACAAAGCTCCTTTTAGGATCATGGGAAGCTAATTAAAGTAAGGTCAACATCATATCTGGAAAACAGCTGTAAACAGCTGTGTTTTTGGCCTGCCCCTTTTAATTTAAACTGGCAATCTGTAGAAAATACTGAATGAAACAGCAACTGTTTTAAGACCCTGGAGGCTACAATTTAAATATCTAATTCACTTTACTTTTTCTACTCTTGAGCTCTTGCATTTGGATCAAGCTACAGTGTGGTTTAAATTATCTCTTAAAGGAATTGCAGGGAGACTTCCTGTTACTGTACTAAGCAAGGTGAATGATAACCTTCCAATCTCTTGAGAATTCAACACGTTTTAATGCATTTCCTTGTGGAACAATCAATGTTTTTGCCGTTTGAAATATAAAAGCATTTATTTTAAGGGGTCTGTTAGCTCATTTGGCTGGTTTGCAATGCAGAATTACACCATCTAAGTTGGTTCAATTCCTGTACCAGCGTCCCTCGCCTGAGGTGCGATCAGGTTAGATCCTCAGGTTAGATCACCACCAGCTGTCTTTCTCTCTCTGATGAGAGAGCAGCCCTATGGTCTTCTGAGATTATGGTGTCTTTTTCTTCTGTTGCTCCAGTCAAGTTAAGGCTGAATTATTATTTTAATACAGGTTCGATTACAAAATCCCTTCATGAAGGATTTAGTGTATTTTGCAACAATTATTGGGAAAGAGGCAAATGATTTTACTTTGCCCAATGGAAATGAAGTGGTCATCCCAGAAAGGTAAATTAAATTCCTTGTAAATTGTCTTGTTTGTACCTATGATTTGTTTGATGTTACCCTTTTTCTTTAGAGTAGAAACATGTAGGAGTAGAGGTTTTTTGACCCGGTTAGCAATTCTGGCCTATATTGCACCTGTTTTGAAGTATTTTCATTCCCATTGCCACCTAGTTTCCACTCACACTCATTTGTAAATTATTGAATTCCATAATTGACAAGATTGGGTTAAATATCCCTAATATATTTAATAGTGACTATTTGTTTAATTTTGATCAACATATTAGAAAGTGTGGTTTTTACCACAAAATATAAGCATTAAAAAAGTCATTCCATCAGCTTTGAATAACCTGATTTTAAACTGCTGAAGATAACTTTTAAAGGTATACAAAACTGTTTTCTATTTTCTTCTTAGAATGGGATATACCAGTTAGTTCCTGAGTAAACATTTTTTTAAAGAAGCTCAAAACATACCCATTAACATTTTCATGAACCAAATCTCCAACAGCATCAATAATCTGCAATAAACTCAGCATCAGGCAGGACAAATTCACATGCATTACTGATGCCCCACACACCATATTAAACATTTAAACTCGCTACCATCTTTATACAATGGCTTAAGCATGTATTGTCTATAAGATGCACTGCAGAAACTTGTCAAGTATCTTCCCAAAGCATTTTCCAAATCAGCCCCTGCCATCTGGAAGAACAAGATCTGCAAAGATGGGAACATTGCACGTCCAAAATCCCATCAAGTCTCACACCATCTCACTGTTCCTTCACTGCCAAAAGGACAAAACTCTGAACTGCCTCCCCAACAGCACTGCCGGGAGATCTACCCCATACAGACTGCAGTGATTCAAGAATGGCACTCCCTAAGGTCTTACTGAGGTCACCATTACAGATATCTATGTAAACCCAGACAGTCATAATTGTACGATTTGCTAATTGTTAATCCCATCTCTGGTAGTGTACTGAATGTTGAGCCGCACATCTGACCATGGATCAACACTGTAGTTTTACTTAAAGAAACATGGTTCTTGAGATTCTTCATTTTCTTTGTAAATTAATATTAGCAGACTCATCATTATATTCCCAATATCATTTAAGTGTTGGAAATCAATGGTCTTGCCAATGATACCCAGATTCTATGAATAAGTAGAAAAAAAAGTCCAGCTTCATATTTAGAACATTCCGAAGATCATCAATTAAATACAAATCAGTGTCCTCCCAATGGTGATTAGTTCAGTCTGTGGATAATGCTCAACTTTTCCAAGTGAGGTCTACTCCTAGCATAATACTTTGAAAACTATTAAAAGAACATGAAACTTGATTTGCACTGAAGGCAGTTTGCACTTAAAGATTCCGTATGAGTTATGTTTACATCAGTGAAATAGTGCTGAAAAATCCAGTGTAATCAAATGGGAAGTACGATGATCTTTCTTTTTTGTTACTTTTTTTATTTTCCTTTATGGATTTTGATTTTACAACTGCTTCTGGTAGGATATTGTTTCTCTTAACAAAGCTCGATTTTTTTTTTTTCCTGACTGTTCTTTTGGTGATGAACCGAGATTTGTGCCATCTTAAACATTGTGGTTTCATATTGACTGCTTGATGAGGGAAAAAAGAAATCTTTGATATTGTGGGGAAAACCTTCACACCAGCAAAGCAAAGTGTGCAGTTGATCTCAGTCTTCCCAATGAAGAACGCTACTGTCTTGACAAATCCATGTACACACTCTGATGCGTGCTTCTCTCAAGTGAGAAAGAACACAATATACTTCCCAGTCTTGGCATAAAGAGCCTTAGTCACCTTTTTTTTGAAACAGTAACTGGAAAACTGTTTGAAGTTAAAGATATGTCAGATTTCAATTTGAAGGATATGATTTCAAATAAATTCATGGCCATAGTTGCCTTGACAGTCAATGACAGTGCTGTCCTTGTCTGTCTCTGGTGCTACAGGTCTATCTGTAAGAGGTTAACATGGCACACACATTGTCACTGTTGGAAGTGAGAGAAATACTCCCTGATGACCCTGGGTGGATAAGGCTTTAAGCCACAAAACAGAAACCATTCAGCCCTTTGAGCAAACACTGCTATTCATGAAGACCATAGCTGATCTGTTTGTGCTTTGAACTCCACATTCTCATCAACCTCTATAACCTTTGATTCCTTTGTCTAAAAAGGATATAGTTACAACATTTAAAAGGCATCTGAATGGGTATATGAAAAGGAAGAGTTGAGAGGGATATGGACCAAATGCTGGCAAATGGGACTAGATTAATTTAGGATATCCAGCTGGCATGGATGAGTTGGACTGAAGGGTCTGTTTCCATGCTGTACACCTCTATGACTCTAAGGACCTATCACCTCTGTTTTAAAAATATTCAATGACCCCACTTCTACCATCTTCTGAGGCAGAGAGTTCCCAAGTTGCACAACCCTCCGAGAGAAAACAAATTCTCCTGATCTCTCTCTGAGAGCGGTGACCCTTAATTTTAATCCCTAGAATCAAATGCTTCAGTCAAGTTGCCTGTCATTCCCCTGAACTCCAGTAGAAACAAATTAAGACACTCCAATCTTTCCTGTTAAGCCAGCCCACTCTTTCCAAGTATCACTCAAGCAAACCTTCTCTGAATGAGCTCCTAATCATTTATAATTCTTAAATAAGGAGACCAAAACTACACAAAATTCAAGATGTGGTCTTACTAGTGCTCTGTATTATTAAACATAACATCCTTACTTTATGTTCAATTCCTTTCATAATAAAAGGTAACATACCACTAGCCTTCCAACTTACTTGCTGTACATCTCAATTGACTTTTTGTGATTTAAGCTCAAGAACACTTAAACCACTAAGCACCTTGGAATTCTGCAATCTCCATTTAAGTAAGACTATGTTTTTTCAGTCTTCCTGTCAAAATGAGCAACTTCACATATTTCTGCATTATACTCCATCTACAAGATTTTTGCTTAATTGATATTCATATCTTATGAAAACTCCTTATGTCTTCTTCACAACATACTTTCCAACTATCTTTGTGTCAACTGCAACCTTAGCAACAATGCCTTTGCTCCTTACATCTAAGTAATTGAAGTAAATTGTAAAAATTTGAGGCTCCAACACAGGCTCCCGTGGGACTCGGATCATTCACATCCTGTCAATCAGACACAGATAAATTTATGCCTTCTGTCTGTTTCCTGCCAACTAGCCAATCTTTCATCTGTGCTAAAGAAGAAGGGTTACTGGACCCGAAACATTAACTCTGCTTTGTCTGCATAGACACTGCCAGATGTCCTGAGTTTTTCTGTCAATTTCTTTTTTGTTTGTAACTATGCTAATGTGTTTTTATCTTCTACCATACCCTTCGATGTGCATCTTATCAAATGTCTCTCAAAATCCAAGTACAGTACCTCTGCATGCACCCCTTTATCCCAGCACCTATTATTCCTTCAAAGAGGAAGAGTAGTAAGGGTCTGGAATGCACTGCCTGGGAGGGTAGTTGAGGTGGGCAATGTCACAACCTTTAAAAAGTACTTAGAATGCAGTCTGGAAGCAGGCCATTTGGCCCATACCAAACCACTGAACAGCACCCCACCCAGAACCAAACCCCTACTGTATCCCCATAGCCCTTCATTTCTCATGGCCAATCCACCTAGCCTGCACATCTTTGTACTGTGGGAGGAAACCCATGCAGACCCAGGGCAAACATACAAACTGCACATAGTCACCCAAGGGTGGAATTGAATCCAGGTTCCTGGTGCTGTGAGGCAGGAGTGCTAACCACTGAGCCACCATGCTGCTCCTGGACGGGGCACTTGGAATGTCATTACATTCAAAGCTATGGCCCTAGTGCTGGAAGGTGGGACTGTGTGGATTTAGTGCATCTTTGGCAATATAGAGTCGATGAGTTGAAGGGCCTCTATGGTACAGTATTATTCAATGATAAGTCTAATAAATTGCTAAAACTAATTTCCTCTGCATGAAACCATGCTGACTTTTCCTGATTATCACTTATTTTTCTAAGTGTGTGGCTATAACCTCTTTAATGATCAATTCAAACACCTACCCCATGATAGACATCAAATTAACTGCCGGATAGTTTCTCACTTGCTTCCTCCCTAGGGTTTTTCTTTGCTAATTTCCAGCCTGAGAGAACCTTTTAAGAATCTAGGGTATTTTGGAAAATTAACACCAACACCTTTGCTGTCTCGTGAGGTACCTCACTTCAGACTGTATGATGCAATCCATCTGGACATGGAGAGCTTGCTGCTGATAACCCTTCTTCCCCTCCTCCTGCACCACCCGCAGATTTCTTGATCAATGCCTGGCAACTTCTAGAATGCAGATTCACATCTCCTGGCTGCACAGAATTGCTTTGACTGTTTCAAAATGTAACTTTACCTGTTGAAACTTAGACATAGTAGAACAATCTAGAATAAAGTCAGCCCTATATTTGGTTTCTTCAATCGAAACAAGTGTCTCCAGGTTGGCCTAAACACCTAGGCTGTCCTATTTGCATATTTAAGGGACCCAATTTAATTGGCTTTAAATTCAACTACCAAGAAAAGGCAGACATTTCTGATTATTTTCTGTTTTGACCAATACTTGAATTAGATCGCAATAGCACTCACAATGGCAGACCCATTGTAAGAGCATATTCCTTATATTTGAATAAAATTTGTGTGTGATAAAAACTAAAGTCGAAATTGAGATAGAATGCTTGTGAAGACTCAATCATATTGGCATTGTCTTCTGAGTATGTGCCAGTGGCATAAGCTTTACCCAATATTGGCTACGTATTGGAACATTTTGAATGCCCTACCCGTGTTTTTCTGTACGTTATATTGATCCATTTGATTGGTGAATTGTCAACATTTCTTTTAAACAGGAGTCATGTTGATTTAAGTGTAGAATTCAAAAGCCGGTTCTTGAAGCCGGTAGAAGCTTTGCTAATTTTTGCATCAAGGTTGGGGAAAGGAGTAGCAGCCGCTACAACTACATTTTTACTGATCTCACAAATCAATGGCGTTAATCCTACTGTAAGTGAACACTAATATATCACTTTATCAATTTACTAATATATCAACTTATGTGTATGCATTAATTTAAAAACTTTTGGAGTTTTTTGATGAATCTTATTGTTCAGTATAAATAACATTGCTTTGCAAATTGAATGATGCTGTCTAACAATGTCACATTGTTAATATTTCATTCCATTCAATGCACTTACTAGTAATGTAATTGTTTTGACTTACCATATGATTGGCCTGCTCAGCATTTGTTTGATGACAGTGATAAGGACAGCCGAGGAGGAAGATTGTTTATATGATTCCTAGTAATTGCCTGACATTTTCAATTGCAGCGACTACTATTGATTTTTCAATTGAGCTTGGGTGGGAAACTGTCCTTGGTAACTGCTGCTTTCTGTGCCATGACCATACTGAGGAATAGTGTCATGATGCATTTTGAAAATGCAACCGTTCAAACTTATTATTTTTACTTCTTACTTTTTTTCTTTTAATTCATGTACTTTTGAGATTGTGAAAATACCCATAATGGGCCAACCTTATCACTGGTTATGTTAAAAAGAAATGCTTTTGTACCATCCCCAACTCAGTTTTGAGAAATATCTTATTTGTGCACTGTTTATACTTATTTTGTTGAGCACAATACTTTTATTTTGTCAGTGTTTTGTATATAATTGTGCTGTTTGAATTGAGTTTTCTTCCTTCCAATTTTCAGGATACTTTTAAATGTGAATCTCCATGCTATAAGCAGAAAATAATGCAGTTAAACATTTCCAACCCCTTAAATTTAAGGGGACTTTTCAGGTATGTCTGAATTGATAAACATACAAACATCTAAAGTAAAAGCCATCTGATAAGATGATATTCTAATATATAAGGTAAATACATTTTTGTATATGAATTTTTCTGTGCCAGGAATTTGATGACAGTGAGAATTCAGTGCAGAGGGGAAAGGAAATGCTAATTTTACTTTTTACCTGCCTCCAATGGTTAATGTTTTTCTTCCGTCTCCAAGCTCAGCTAATAGTTACGACTTAAGTAAATTAGTAACTTAAACCAGATACATAAATTAACAAAGAATAATTAATTCAATTAGAATAACTAGATAAGCCAATGAATAGAACCAATAGTCAATTCAAATATCTTATCAAATAAATAGTTAGATGGGCAGTCAGGGAGAATATGTAAAAAGCTTTGTGATTCTGGACAGCCATATCTATGATAAGTAAGTGTATCTTGAGAAACTCAGCTTACACCTGGAGTTCGAGATGCAGATGTTGTAGGAATAAGGGAGTGGTCAAGCTATCTGGACTCTGTTCCAAGAGAACTTTCAAGTTGGTGAGTGGTGAGGGACAGGGAGGTGCAACAGAGAGTCAGGCAGTTATGAGGATCTAGAATGCAGTGATGGAAGAGTCTCAGCCCTCAACAATGAACGATAGGTATGAGGTACTTGCTTCCTGTACGGATGAGAACAAAGATTTCAGGCTGGATGGTGAATCTGATCATAACACTACGATGCAGGAGGCCATTCATATGGGCAGAGTGAAAAGGAACGTGGCAGTGACAGGTGAAAGTACAGCCATGGAAATGGTGTTCTCCAATGCTGCGACCAGGAGTTTCAAAGGTTGTTCCACTGTTTGGTGCAAAGATTAAAGATACATCTTTTGTGCAGGATGGACTGGGAGTGGAAGGAACCTGTTGGCATGGCCCATGTAGGAACCAATGGCACAGGTAGTACTAGGAATGATGTTCTGGTGAGTTTGAAGTCTAAATTAACAGGCAGAACATTACAAGTTAATAATCTCTGGATTTGTTACCAAAGCCATGTTCAATTTGACATTGCAATAAATAGATTAGAGGTTTAATTGTGTGGCTGGTGAAGTGACGTAGGAGGCAGGATTTCACTTAAAGAACCACTGGCATCAGTACAGTTCCACTGGGAAGGTCACCACTTAAATTAAACTGGGTCCATTGTTCCAGTGAATCCAAGTACTACACCAGAGACGGGAGATGGAGTAATAAACAGATAAGGGTTTGGGGCTGTGGGGAAGTGGTGCTGATGGGTCAGGATGTGACACGGAGGCTATCAAAGAAAATCAGGCATTTGTGACTGAACAGATATCAGGTAAAATTAGAGTCAAAACTGAAATCACATTATTGCTTATCAAAATGACTGATTTCACAAAGCAAATTAAATCAATCAATAACATAAATAAATGTAATAGGAATGATTGAATAGCTATTGCAGAAATAAGGCTGCAAAGTTACCCAGGTTAGGTACTTAATATTAAAGGATGCTTAACTTTTCAAATAAATTGGCAACATGGAAAAGAGGAATGAGCAGCCTGGTAATCAATGATGGGAAGAAAATCAATAAAGAGAAAGTAACTTAGAAAATCAATCAGTCATTTCATTTGGATGGAGCTAGAAAATAGCAAAAGGCAGAAAACATTGATGAAAATCTTTCTAAACCTCCTAACTATGGTTGCAGTGCAGGGCAGGGTATAAATCAGGAAATTAGAAGGTCAGGTAGTAAGTGTAATAAACCAATACGGAACTTCTTGATATCTAGTCTGGGGACACCAAATTTATAATAATAGTCTTGGGGCTGCATAAAAAGAATGATTTCAAGGTCAATACAGTTGCTACATTTCTCGCTATAGCCCATGTGAGTAGGCTTGTGGTCTCCATAGCTTTGAAGGACAAATTGGCTCGGTAGATTGGGAAAGCATATGGGAAGGAAGCACTAAAAGAATGAAGTCATAATTTGGAATAAATATACATATTTTATGGGTTAAAAACCTGACACGAAAAATGGGTCAACCGTGGCTAATAAGAGTTGAAGCTGAGAAGGGGACAACAAACTGGCCCAGTTAAAACAGTTGTGAAATGTATTTTGGGACCAGTTCAAAATAAATTGAACCTTTTGCTCTCTGGTTGGCTATATCCAATTGGTAACAGTTGGTACTGGTTACTGGCCATTTTGTGTGTACTGGATGAAAGTAATTGATCCTTGTTGCTGTGCAGTTGAATTTCCTAACTTAAAAACAATTGGCACTGTTTGCTGGCCAGTTAACTATTACTAATCACTGGCTAGCTTTTCCCAGCTGAAAAAGAAGTAGCATGCCCCAGTTGAACTTAACTTATCAGAAAGGGAATTATGGGACCCGCCACAAACAAACTAAGGCCTTGTACATCAACATAGTGATGTGTGCAATCTGAAAACTAATGAAGAAACTGAACGAGAGTCTGACTGCGGCAGCAAACTTCAAATCTTAACTTGGATAACAAATGAAATCAAATGTTAATTAAAACATTAATGAATCCTATTCATAGATGTGTCCTTTAGAAAATTTATATATAACCTAATAGATCTATTCCTGTTTAAGTCCTGCACTTTATCAGAGATATAGTTTCCATCTTCTTCGTTTTTTTTGTCGCATCCTCCACCCTTGGCCCTGAACGGTTATGGAGGTAGCACACTGGTGGGCAGAGAGAAGAAAAAGATATGTGAGGATTTTAGTTGACTTTATACAGCAAAGCAGAAAGGATGTTCTAACAAAATTACAGCATAATTTCAAAGCAGAAACAAACGTGTTGCCTAAATAAACTACTCTGATTTATTCCGCACTATATACTTGTCCACAACATCTGAAATAAAAAATGCAAGAGCATAAAAATTAGAGACAACACGTTATGGAGCCGGAAAAACACAGCAGGCCAGGCAGCATCAGAGGAGCAGGAAAGTTGCAGTTTTGGGTCAGGACCCTTCTTCAGAAATTTCTGAAAATGGGTCCTGACCCAAAACGTCAACTTTCCCACTCCTCTGATGTTACCTGGCCTGCTGTGTTCCTCTAGCTGCATACTGTTTCGTCTCTGACTCCAACATCTGCAGTTCTTCTTATCTCTTGTTTAGTCAGCATAAAAATTAGTTTCTTAACTGCCCAGTGACTACATACCTGCAGGACTTTGTGGAAATTTGACTCTAGTCTTCTGTCTCTTTGCCTCTTTGTCTGTCCATCTCTCTTTTTCTACTTTTTTTCCCTGTCTCTCTCTCTCTCCCCTCTATCTTTCTTTCTCTCTTTCTGACTCTGTCTCTCTCCCCACCTGTCCCAAACCCCATCACCCTCTCCCACTCTCCAACCACACTATATGCCTCTTAGAAGTTTGAGATTTCAATCTAACTGTCCCTGCTGAATGCCATTTTCAAAGGTTAATCAGCTCAATGTGTCACTTATACTGATCGATCAACACACAACTGAAGTGGTTAATCTAATTTTAAGATGGGGAGAACTTTCAAGAACAGGCATTGAAAACACAGTGAGCCATTGAGGTTCCCCACATTAGGGGCTATTCCAGGTAGGTTCCCACTGAGGGTCAGGATTATGCTTATGGCCATCTGTTTTGCTTCAGGGAGAAGTAAGTCATGACTGGTCACAGCTGATAGAATGATGTGTGGAATGAGTTGTGGTTGGATTTCCCAGTTGTTCCTAAAATATACCTCCTTTCCCAGTTAGATACAGCTGCAGCCTTGAATTAGTTTCAATTATTTTTCCTCCTGGAAGACAGTATTAAATTAAAGGAACAGACTGACAATATCTCCAAAAAGGAAAGTCAACTAAGATTCACAGGATTTTGGAATTCAGCAACGAGGTTGATAAGGAAATAAAAGTAGGCAGGCTGTAACGAGCAGGATAACTCCAAGATCAGTATTTGAGCTTAGAAATTTTTAGTCTATATTAATGACTTAGATGAGGCAACTGTGTGTGACATTTCCAAGTTTGATAATACAAAGTTAGGCATGAAAGTAAGAAGTGAGTAGGATACAGAAAGACTCCAGAAGGATAATGACAGATTGGGTACATAAGCAAGAATGTAACAAATGGAATTACAGTTTGAAGTGTGAAAGTATCCATCCAATTATTTTGTGGGCTAACTAATAAAGCAGGGTACCTTTGAATAGTGAGAGACTGAAAAATATTGGCATTTGGAGGAATCTAGATGTCCTTACACAATGAATCACATTAAGTTAGCATGCAGGTACAACAACAATTAGAAAGGCAGAAAGTATGTCAGTTTTTCTCACAACGAACGGAGAGTAACGAAGTATTAGCACAATTAGACAGGGCACTAGTAAGGCTGCACCTGAAGTAGACTATTCGAAGAACTTGTGTCTTCTTTGAAGAAAGGATGTAATTGACCTTGAGGAGAGACAACCTGATTGCACGATAGCTGATTTCTGAGATGGTGATTATCCAATGAGGAGAGATTGAGAAATTTAGATCTATACTCCTTGAGGTTTAGAAGAATAAGAGGTGATTCTACTGAAACATCTATCCTGAAAATCTCTTAAGAATTTTATGCCAACAGAATATTTCTGTAGGCTTGTGAATCTAGAAAACAAAGTTACAGTCTTGGAGTATAGATTTGGTCATTTAGGGTTGAAATGAGGAGAAATTTTTGACTGTGAACCTTTGGAAGTCTCGACCTCAAAGAACTGTAGATGCTCAGTCACTGAATACATTTAAGACAGAAATTGATTGAATTTTATGTACTAACAGAATTATGGTATATCGGGATAATGCAGGAAGGTGGAGTTGAGGTAAGGTTGATGGTCAGCCATGAACTTGTAAATAATAGCAGGCTCAAAAGGTCAAATCATCCATTACTGCTACTCCCCTTTCTTGTGTTCTTATGTAAAACTTCCATTTTGCTCCATGCCATGTAGGTGTGCATATGTTTACATAAAGACTTGATATATTTTATAAATCTTTTTCACAGTGGAAATTATCCAAGCATTATTGAAAAATAAAATTGTGATACTTGTATCAAAAATGAGTATGTTTTCAAATTGATCTGCTTATTCAGACAAAACTAATTAATCATCTATAACATTTTTACACTTGTGCCAATTTGGATCTGGCAATGTCAATGAGACAAACCAAGGCACCTTTCTCTGTGTATAGAGTTTATTAGCTACTCAGTCATATAGCTCATTCCATACATTTGTCCCACTCATTCCCCTTTTTATACCTACACAGACAATTAATTAATCTATTAACCTCAATCGTCCACTCAACTACTTGGTATGTGGTCAGCATATGTCTATTTGAAGACTCTGATGTATGTGGACAGTCATTGGTGTTAAATATAACCTGCTAAATACATAGTGATTAATTACAAAAAATTATTCATTTTCTAAATAGGGGAGAAATATCAGAAAAAAAATTTGAACTATGATGTACTTTAGCAAATTGCTTGCATCAAGCTTTATTACAAAAAAGTCCTGATAATAAGTCATATTTGCTCACCTGCAGCAGGTAGGTTTTAAGAGTGCAATAACTTAGCTTGCAAAGGAACTAATGAAGTTAAATTTCTTTCGGGGTTTTCTTCATCTTCCACACTACCTGCAGCAGAAGAGCTGTAGGAATCCTGGATCAATGGCCTGGGCATCAAAGTTTCTGTAGCTTCTCTGCAAAAGTTACTGCAGATGAACAGAAGAGCCTCCAAATTCACTTACAAAATCTTTTGAGTTCAATCTTCTGTTTAAGGTTTTGAAACATTACTGAGATAGTCGTGAATATTTTACACAAACAGTACTGTTTTCCTTTCTAGGATAGTACTGCTGCAAACCCAGATCAGTCTTTTTAAGACTGAGGATATTGCATGCATTACAGCCTTACTTGATAAAGTGAAGATGCAAAATCAAAAGTCTAAAGTAACATTTAGGTAAGTTTTAAACTAAATTAGATTGATTAAGTAATTTATTTTCTTGTCCAATTAATTGCTTTTTCAGTTGCTTTTCAATTGATGACAATGTAACTAGAAAGTCAACGGTTGAATTTAATTCTGTACTTAATAATGCTTTCAAATCATTACCTCACAAGGATTATATAGAGTGTGTATTACAATCATAATCATAACAATTAAGAGTTGGAGCCTTGCAAACATCTTTGGAGTTTCTTGAAATGAGGTAATTTAGCCAATTGTGGTACATTTACGAATACTATGGATGAAATCTTGAATTGGAGTAATATAGGGATAAAGGAAGTGCTTCCCTATTCTGTAAGGTTCACTATTATGAGGAAGTGCATTTACTTCCTGATGACTGTGCCTTCAATTTAGGAAGTTTTTAAAAAATTTATTCTTGGGTATGTGTGTCATGGCATGACTAGCTTTTCTTGCCTATCCCTAGTTGTCATTTTGTTTGAGCCAAGGATTATGAATTATACAGAATACAGTTACAAATGCAAATTGTAAACCTGGTTTAGCATTCTGTTACAAAAGCAAGTGTAGTGGATGCTGAAAGTCTGAAAAAAAAAGCAAGAAATATTGGAAATACTCAGCAAGTCAAGCAACATATGTGGAGACAAACAGAAGTAAATTTTCAAGATAATAACCTTCCATCAGAACATATCTGACATTTAATATTCTATTGCTTTACTTGACTGACTTTTGACATCAAAAGGGGATTTTGCAGAACTTTGGCCAATGATATTTTCATTTTTCAAGAAACTGACCAGATTGGAAGACAGCATGGATTTAATAATCTATAGAAGAAATGTGGTCATTGAGAGTCTTACATTCTTCAGATGTGACATAGAATACAGCATTCGTTCTAGAGACTTCAAAGAGCACTGACATTTCAAAAGTTTTGAGAGCTTTCAGGAGTTTGTCACTGTGAAGTGGAAACTTTTCCATGTTACCCGATTTGTAGAGATGAGAAATCTGACAGCTTGTTGATTGTTTTCTGTCCCATGATGCTGATAGATGCTACAATATCAATGAGGGCATTTACGTTGTCACCATCATACATAGCAGGTTTTAGTGCCTGAAAGAGAGCCCAACAGTATATCTACTCTCATCTGCATCTACATTGGCTACATTTTCTCTTTTTTTCGTTGCAGCATGTGCATGGGGCACCACTCTGATGGTATTGATTTTTGTTGTTGAGTTCACTGATTAATGATGAATGCAAATAAAATGGTTGTGCATTCCATCAGCTTTGCCAACAACAGTATGTACTGTCTGTTGTGGGAAAGAACCACCATAGTGGAAAAGTGCTTTGAACAAGTCGCATTCAGATTCTTTGTAGGTGGCCATAGAATCATAGAGATCTATAGTTCAACCAAAGGCCCTTTGGCCCATGTTTTCCAGGCCAGTCAAAAACAATAATCTAACTATTCTAATCCCATAGCCTTGTGTCACTTGGCATTGCAAGTGCACATCTAGTGCACATGAGCAACGAATATTTAGAGTTTGCTTGTGACTGTTCTCTACTTCAGAACCTTTCGACTCATAAAATGGTACTGATGTGGCAGACTCGAGCAATGCTGCTTTTTGTCTTTCTGGCACAGTTGACTTGAGAAGCAGCCTTCAATTATTTTTGTTTTGATTTCCCATTTGACATGTTGGATAAACAGCCAAGGACTTTTTTCAAGTTTAGGGGAGTTTAAAAGTAAAGGGCATAGCTTTAAAATGAGAGAGGAAAGATTTAAAAAGGACACGAATGATAACCTTTTCACGCAGAGAGTAGTGCATATATAGAACAAGCTGCTAGAGGAGGTGGTGGAAGCTGGTACAATTACAACATTTAAAAGGCATCTGGGTGGGTACATGAAAAAGAAGGATTTAGAGGGATATGGGCCAAATGTTGGCAAATGGCACTTGGTCAGATTGGGATATCTGGTCAGCATGGATGAGTTGGACCGAAATGTCAGTTTCTATGCTGTATGACTCTATATTCAACATCACTGAAGTCACATTTGGTTGCTTGTTGCCAAATCACGTGCAATATTGATCATTTGCCTCATTTGCTTCTTGCTTAGTCTGTTGAAAGAGAGTTCATTTGCTGAGTTTAGTTTTCTTGGGTATAAAATAGTTAATTGTGCACCTTTTGTTGTATTCCTGCAGGTGTAAGTGTCTCAAAATATCTTCTGATCTTTTTCATGTCCTTAGTGAACACATAAGGTCTAACTTTCTTTAGTTATCTGTGATTGCAAAATCTGCCATTGTACTTTTAAAATTTTTCAGTCACCCCTGTTAATGTGGGAATACAGATGATGATTTTGAACGCTCATTGAATTCTGGCAGATTTGTATAGACAAAAAATCCTGATCAGTTGTGCAGCCATAGTGCCTGATCAAAGATCTGGCATTAAGTTCCTTTCAAAGAAAATTTTCCCTATTGATCTGAGATTATTTTTCTTTCTTCAGAGGGTTATTTTGGTGGGAACAGAGTGTGTATATCCTGCAGGCCTTTTTGTTGCTTATCCCGAGCTACAGCACCTCTTGTGTGTCTGACACCAGGGTACACTTGAATTTTGTTCCCTCTCAAAAATACAATCTTCCGAAAGCTTGATACCAGGTAGCATAGTTTCCTATTTGTCAGCATCTTCACTGTCATTGTGAAGTTTTAGTAAAGAAACAAAAAGATTTAGTAAGGAGTCAAACTGCTGCATGTACTGTTCAAACATGGATTTCTTTATTCTAATTCTAGTCTCCACCTGCTGGTACACCTGTAAATAAAAGCCTTAAGTGGAGAAAATCCAATTTTCAATGCACAGTAATTGGAATAGAATTTGGTTCTGCAGAATTTAATTATTTAAGTCAATTAATTCCGGTCTAGCTTGTAGTGCTTGATGCACCAAAGCACTGTCATGCACAAGGGGCGCTTCCTTCTCCTCCATGTCCTCATCTTCTCCCTTGGAAGACTGCTCCCATTCACCTAACTCCTCTCCACCCAACACATCATCTGATTAGTGGCTGCAGAAGCGCAAGGCACAGCACAGCAGAATGATGTGCCCCACTCTGTCTGGAGTATGTTGCAGCAACTCCCCCAACCCAGCCAGTTCAAGCAGTGGAACTGAATTTTCAACAGCCCCTATAGTCTGCTGCACTATAGCTTGGTCAAAGCTTTATTAGTATCAGATTGAAAAAAAACACATACAAAGAATCAAAGAGTAGTTGGAAACTAGTAGACTGGGAAATCTTTAAAGGCCAACAGAAAGCCACAAAAAAAGTTATAAAGAAAAGTAAGATAGATTATGAGAGTAAACTAGCTCAGAATATAAAAACAGGTAGCAAACGTTTCTATAAATATGTAAATCGTAAAAGAGTGGCAAAGGTAAACATTGGTCCTTTAGAGGATGAGAAGGTCAATTTAATAACTGGGAATGAGGAAATAGCCGAGACATTAAACAGTTATTTCGTATTGGTCTTCACAGTAGAAGACACAAATAACATGCCAAAAATTAATGGCAAGAAGGTTATAGCAGGCAAGGACCTAGAAACTATCATTACCACTAAGGAGGCAGTGCTGGGCAAGCTAATGGGGCTAAAGGTAGACAAGGCTCCTGGCCCTGATGAAATGTATCCCAGGGTACTAAAAGAGGTGGGAGAAATAGCAAATGCGCTAGTAATTATTTACCAAAATTCACTGGACTCTGGGGTGGTTCCCGCAGATTGGAAAACAGCCAATGTGACGCCACTGTTTAATAAAGGAAGTGGACAAAAAGCAGGTAACTATAGGCCAGTTAGCTTAACTTCGGTAGTGGGGAAAATGCTTGAATCTATCATTAAGGAAGAAATAGCAAGACATCTGGATATAAATTGTCCCATTGGGAACACCCAGCATGGGTTCATGAAGGGTAGGTCATGATTAACTAATTTGGTGGAATTCTTTGAGGACATTACTTGCATGGTGGACAATGGGGAACCTGTGGATGTGGTGTGTCTGGATTTCCAGAAGGCATTTGACAAGGTGTCACACCAAAGGCTGCCACAAAAGATAAAGTTGCATGGTATTACAGGTAATGTATTGGCATGGATAGAGGATTGTTTGACCAGTAGAAAGCAAAGAGTAGGGGTAAATGGGTGTTTTTCTGGTTGGCGGTCAGTGGCTAGTGGTATGCCTCAGGGATCAGTGTTGGGACCACAATTGTTTACAAATTACATAGATGATTTGGAGTTGGGGACTAAGTGTGGTGTGTCAAAATTTGCAGATGACACTAAGGTGAGTGGTGGAGAAAAGTGTGCAGAAGACACTGATAGTCTAAGTGAGTGGGCAAAGGTCTGGCAGATGGAGTACAATGTTGATAAGTGTGAGGTCATCCATTTTGGTAGGAATAACAGCAAAATGGACTATGTTTTAAATGGTAAAAAATTGCAGCACGCTGCTGTGCAGAGGGACTTGGGTGTCCTTGTGCATGAATCGCTAAAAGTAGGATTGCAGGTGCAGCAGGTAATTAAAAAGGCAAGTGGAATTTTGTCTGTCATTGCTGGATGGATGGAGTTTAAAAACAGGGAGGCTATGCTGCAGCTGTATAGAGTCCTGGTGAGGCCACACCTGGAGTACAGTGTACAGTTTTGGTCTCCTTACTTGAGACGAGATATACTAGCACTGGAGGGGGTGCAGAGGAGATTCACTGGGTTGATTCCAGAGTTGAAAGGGTTGGATTATGAGGAGAGACTGAGTAGACTGGGATTATACTCATTGGAATTCAGAAGAATGAGGGGAGATCTTACAGAAACATATAAGATTATGAAGGGAATAGATAAGGTGGAGGCAGGGAGGTTGTTTCTGCTAGCAGGTGAAACTAGGACTAGAAGGCATCGCCTCAAAATAATGGGAAGCAGATGTAGGACTGAGGTCAAGAGGAACTTCTTCACCCAAAGGGCTGTGAATCTGTGGAATTCCCTGCCCAGTGAAGCGGTTGAAGCTACCTCGCT